ACAGGCCAAGGGTACCACTATAAGTATGGGGAAAGGAGCAGGGGGGCATCTGTTGATAGCAAGTTGGTGGGCTCTTAGAATCAGGTGTTAGAACCAGGTCTCGAAATACCTGTGAAAGAGGAGGGTTTTGACTGCATTACATGGCGTGGATGTCATTCACTGAACTGGCTTCCAGGATTCAGGATTTGTTCTGCAGAATTTCAGGTGCTTGATAAATAATTTACAGTGGAAATGGTTGTAATATGTTACATTTAGAGCACCCAGCTAGTTAATTATGCTGATGTTATCCTTGTGGCTGACAAACCAGACAATGCGCCACACCGCCTGTCAAAATGCTATTAAAGATCCAAGAGCGGCTGTCCTTTCTGTCTTTAAAGTTTGTTACCCACCTTGAATACTCCAATCTGGATCTCTAATTCTCCATCAATAGACAGCAGTCTTCACCAACAGGGAGATAAAGGAGTCTGTTTTCCAGGGCCAGAATATTTGTTCTATCATTAAAATGCAGCCACTGTAAGAAAAGAAAAAAGAAAAGAAAAGAAAAGAAAAAAGACAGTGCCTATGTCAGCGGTCACATTTTATGTTAATTGAAATAAAATTCCCATCAGGTATATCTTGGTTATAGCTTGTCTCAGGGCAGGGATGGCTGTGACTCACAGAGAAGCCTGTTAGGTTTAATGCTCAAGCAGAAGCTTATAAAAGCATATAAATAGCAAAGCTGCATTAAAATCTAAACATAAAAGTGGAAGGAGAGAATAAATTTCTCAGCAGGGTGAGAGATGTGGAATTTCATTATGGTTGTGGTTTGTGAAATGGGCCAAATTCTTTCTGCACCAGATAGCCTGCGAAAGTACAGAAATTACAGAAGCCCATTTGGCTAGCAGAAAGGCTGCTGCGCCATGAGGTTCTGTAAAAGCTGAATTCATGCAGAGAAGCCAGATTTAGCTGCATTCAACCTCCCCCAGCTGGGCCCCACCAGATACGTTGTGCCTCAACAATTCCTGTCACTTCCCGCCAACATAGCCATGGCGGTTGGGAATAACGAGCATTGAGCTGGAGGGTACCCGGTTGTGAAAACCTGGCTTAAAAGAAGCCACACTCCGACCTAAAGCTCAGCCAGAAATCTGCCAGTCTTTGGGGTGAGCATGGTCAGTTCCGAGGCATATTTGGAACTCTTTGTGGCAGTGTCCACTGGCTTGTTTCTGCCCATCCAAGGCCTGAGCCCTGCCTGGCTCACTTCTGGAAAACACAGATGCATTCACGCTGCTTCCTGGAAGCGGCGCTCTGCTTCACCTGACCATACACCTCAGAAAGAGCCTTTCTGGAATTCAGTCTTCACTCTGCCCACAGGACCTGGGCATGGACTGAAGGGAAATGGACACATGAAGTGGAAAAAACCCAGCTCATGACAGAACTGGCCTTGAAATGGCTGGCATTGTGAAATGACATTCCCCTCTTACTCTGTTTCTGATGTTTTTGCTCCATCGGGCAATGGCATCTGCAGTACAGTTACAAAAACTGAACCGGTCCCTTCAAGCTAAGGGTTTCTGCTCGCTAATCTTCCTCCCAGAAAAACCTGAGGCTGAAGGAACAGAGTGAAAATGTATTGGAGTGACACTCGAAATCTGTAGTTGCATCCGTCATCCTGTCAAGGACATGGAGAGGACCTGTCCAAACACCAGCAGGAAAACCATTTGCTGAAGCCGCTGAAGCAGTGAGTTACAAGTCATTGCGAACCAACCCAGTTGCATGATCAGCATCGGCTGGAGAGGGACCAGAAATTCAGGCTCGATGAGGCAAAACGGAAGATACATAAAGCGTGCCATGCAAGGACTGACCTCCAGTTGGTGAAATTTGATCAGCACCATCTGCATCTCTCAAGGCCTGCCTGTACTTTGTGCGGCAAACCACATGAGGTGTAGTCAGAAAAGACTGCTTGGATGCAGGAAGCCGGAGGGTGAAACAGAGGGGGCCTGCATCTTCACCGCCCAGGAAGGGGCACTCCTCTTCGTCAGGGCTGACCCAAAGCATCTTGCCGCCTGAAGTAGGGCAGCAAACGGCAGAAAGCTCATCCACCCACCCGTTTGCTTGCTTCCTGCCTCTCTTCCAGCCAGGAAGCAAGTGATACCCAAGAAAGAGGAGGCACCACAGCAGCCAGTGACAGCTGCAGTGAGAAAGTAGACTCACTGGAAATGGGAGCACATTCAGGGAGCTTTGTACAACAACACAAAACACCAGGAGCTGGCTTTGCCCAAATGATTCCAGCTCTCCAGGTGCTTGAGCCAGGAAATCCCACCATGCCTCTTCTCCTCCCTAGCACAAAAAAGTACAGCCAATCAGAATAATATTAATAGCTACTCACAATGTCCTACCCACACATAAAGCCCAGAACTGGCTACAGGAGGCAGCTGCCTCATTCCATCCCAGGGCTGGGCTGGCTGGGCTATCAGAGCTCTGGCTAGCCGCTGGGCTATCCTGTCCACCCCAAAGACACAGCACACCAGGGAGACAGGTGCCTCCACTCCCCCTCAAGCTCCCCCTCCATCACAGCTTTCTTCTGAGCTTTGTAGGAGCCAGCCATGCTGCTGCACTCCGACCCCTAAAGAGGTTCACATCCATGGACAACGCGCAAAATAAAAGCTGCAGTGGGTAAGGTCCTCTGCTGATTTTGGAAACACCAGCCTCCCTGGACTAAGAACTAAGAAGCACCAAAGCACAGTCTTCTGTTTTCCTTTTCCAGCTGTCATTCAATGTCCTGTTTTGGGCTGGGTTTTGCTGCACCCCCACCCCATAAAGTATTAATAGGGGGATGTTTGACTTGTCTTGTCTGTAGTACCTTGGTTCAATATACACGCAGAGGCTTTTTCCACTATCTTATTCTTACACAGGTAGTAAAGTGCTTTAATGTTGACCCTGACTTCTCTCTCTCTCTCTCTCTGTCTCTCTCAAGCTAGCACTTGGTCTGTTGCACAGCTGTAATCAATATTTATCTGGGGTGAGGGGAGGGAAGAGGGGAGAAAACTCAACAACAAAATGACAATAGATAGATTTTATTTTTTCCAGTAGCCTTAGTACAATGTCCAGCTGTTGATGCCCTTTATAAATTGGTATTAGCATACGGCTTACTGCTGCTTTTGCTGGCAGGACTGACGTATTCCATTCACACACACGAAACGAGCTTTATACGTTTTATTTCTGGCCACAAGATGGCAACCTTTCCCTTACCTCCTCTTCTGCTGCATGCAAGAACCTTTAGCGACAGGGGCTGCCTGCCATATGGCCAAGCTCAGTGTCCTCAGTTTTGCTATTCCTTCCTCACAGCGCTTCAGACATCTTATATCAAGAGTGCATGCACCAAATCACTTCACAGCTCAAGGAAAGCTCATCAGTCTCTGTGGTCCTGAGTCTGCACTCTTGCTTCCAAATGCCTGCACCAGACCCTCCAGTACAGCATTTGGTGCAAGAACCCCAAAACCTAGCAGAAGAGAGGCAGCATCCTTCTGCAGGCAGGCCTCAAGCCCATCTGCTCCCCGGTTTGCCCCTGCCCCTGGCCAGTCCAGTTACTTTTTTGCTGTCTTTCTTTGTTCCAGTGCTGCAGTGCCTGGTGCCTCCAGAAGGCCTGCAAAGAGGACATAATGGGCCAGCCCCTTGCACAGGTGCTGCCCACCAGCAGATGAGCCTTCGTACACCCCGGTCATTCCAAAGCACTCTCCAAAGTGGCCATTCCCACAGACCACAGCCGGAAAAGAAGCGGGAGCAGGGCTGCTCCATCCAGCCTGGCCAGACCTGCTTCCTTCGGGGACACCCCTCCTCGAACTTTGTCCATTCCAGCTGAGCATTCGGAGAACTCTGAGAAGCTGTTCTCCTTGTCTGCTATTTTCCCCTCCTCCCACCCAAGCTCTTTTCCTTTCATGTTTGTCTTTTGGATTTTAAACCCAGGGCTGAGGCTATCTTGCTATGCATCCCTGTATGCCTCTCCAGGAGCCTTACTGGGTCAAAGAGCTGGATAAGAATGCATCCAATAAATGCAAACACCGCCTTTGAGCATACAGCAACCAAGCTAATATTGGGCGAGTGGCCGACAACAGACCAGAGCATACATGCTGCTGATCAGTAAAGCACAGTGGGCAGCAACCAAGATGCCTGGGTCAAAGGGCTGCTTTTCTCTGAACTTGACAAAGCTAATGCACTCTGCACATGTTCAGTGGCACATTTCTTTAAAATATACCCTTCTTTAAAAGCTCAGAGATACCCAAACCAGGTAGATTTCTACTTGCTAGAAGGAGCACCATACATGTTCAGAGATACAGAGTTGGATGAATATCAGCTTAGCAGAAAGGAAATCTGTACATGGGCAGAGATACACAGATCTGAATGAATGTCAGCTTGGGGGGAAAAGATGCCTGTACAATGTGCTTGGCTTAGCAAACAGAGTAAAACAGTGTTGCTTGGCTGTGGATTTTGGAAAGGTGCAATTAAAGCACGGGTTGGCAGCTCGTGGTTGTCCAGGCATGTTGGCCTACAGCTCCCATCCACCTCAGACAATGTTGAGGGATGATGGGAGTTGTAAGCAGAGGAGACTGATGACGTCTTTGTCAGTGCGGCTCCTTATCTGTTACAGCTTTTATTTTGAGCAATCATGGAGCACAATGGTGAGGAACTCTCTATAGCGATGTTATTCAGCATTATGAACAGCTCCTATATAGCTGAAAAGCCTGGGGACCCCGACATCAGCCTCCCCGGCCTGCAGGCCTGATATAAGAGCCTCCCCTGGTTGCAGGCATGGAGCTCCAAGCGAGCAGCCCACCGCTTTTTTATCACCTTCCCCTGCCACTCTTTGAAAAGCCGCTGGCGAACGAGTACCGGAGGTGGTGCATTCCCCGAACGCTTTTCTCTCGATCTCTCAGAGGTTTCTTCCCTACGCGTCATGCCGTAAGGGAGCGTCCACGGAGGGGGCGTGGTCGACGCAGGCGCGGGCTCCACCATAGAGATTGAGCAAGAGAGGCGAGGTGTAAAGGGAAGCGGATCTTCTTCCTGGAGAAGGGAGCGGAGGTGGCGACGGGTTTGACCCGGCTCTGTCGGAGCGGCTTCTGCTGCCAATACCTGCCCAGGTGAGTGCGATCCTCGCTAGGTGGGCGCCCCGACTCTGCTGCAGGAGCTGTTTTGAGAGCTGCCCCCCCCCACGCCTGGATCCTCACTGGTTGGCTGGACTGCGCACAGGGCTCCCCTTCGCCCAGTCTCCTGCTTCCAACCGTGGTCAGCCAGTTGCTTCTGGAAGCCCCACACCACGGGTGATGCTTATAATGGAGGGTTCTCTTCACTCTCGTCACTTAATCTGGGTAGGAAATCGCGCTACAGATTTGTTTTCCAGGAAACCAGCACAAGGCAGTTCTGGATTATGGCTGCTATGGAATCAGAGAGAAAAAGGCTGACCTCAGTTCAGATCGTCTGCGGTTAGGCTATCAGTGACTGGTAGTGCTGATGGCCTTATGCCAACTTCAGAATCAGAGGCAGAGTCCCTGTGCGCACAAGTTGCTGAGTACATGGTGGGAAGGCTTTCCTCTGGAAGGCTGGTTAGCCATTAGAAAGATAGGCTAGGTGAACTTCGGCCTGATCCAGCATGTCTCTTCTTATAGATACATAAAATAGTAGAGTTGGGAGGGGCCATGAAGGCCATCAGGTCCAACCCCCTGCTGTTGCTGGACACCAGGTTACACCATCCCACTCAGATGGCTGCCCAGTTTCACCTTGGATGTCTCTAGTGTGGGAGAGCCCACCACCTCTCCAGGCAGCTGGTTCCACTGTCGTATTGCTCTGTCAGTGAGGAAGCTTTTCCTGATGTCCAGCCTGAACCTGAGTTGTCGTAACTTGACTTGATTATTCCGTGTCCTGCACTCTGGCATCAGCAAGAAGAGATCTTGTCTTTCCTCTTTGACCGTCCCATCCCTACTTATAGAGGGATAGTATGTCTCTCCTCAAGTCATTCATTAATTCATTCATTAATTCGATTTATATCCTACCTTTTTCCCCAAAGGGCTCAAGGCAGTTTACATCATTCTCCTCCTCCGTCTTATCCCCACAACAACAACCCTGTGAGGTAGGTTGGGCTGAGGGTCTGTGGCTGGCCCAAAGTCACCCAGTTGGTTCCATGGCCGAGCGGGGACTAGAATCCAGATCGTCTGAGTCCCAGTCCCAGGCTCTTAACCACTACACCACATTGGCTCTCAAGTCTTCTCTTCTCAAGGCTGAACATGCCCAGTTCTCTCTGTCTCTCCTTATAGGGCAGTGTTTCCAACCCCTGGATCATTTTTGTTGCCCTCCTCTGGACCCTTTCTAATTTTTCCGCATCTTTCTTATGTTAGATGTTAAATCATAATTTTGATCAGTGCTGTGCATGTCCTTCTGCCAGGATTCTGTGGAACCTTTGGTTTCCATGGGTATGCTTTTTGGATTCTGTCCAGTTTTACCACTTTTTCCCATCTTGACCAGCTGGTCACCTTTACTCTATGAGTTAACATGCAGCCTAGTCTAGTTTCATGACATTCCTTGCAGCCTTCAGCCTTTCAATGCTGAGGGGTCGTGTGATGAAACAGGTGTGGAATATATTGTTGTGATTTATTTATGGTTGGGCAATGGTATTGTAACTGGGCTGTGGGATTAAGAACTTTTCTCCCAGTCTCTAGGAGGTTTATTCACTGCTCCCCATGCCATAAGGGAGTTTGCCCATGGAGGGGGTGTGGCCGAAGCAGTCGCAGGTTAAGAAAAGAACAGTTTTACTACTTAATCCTCAGTATTAAGAACATCGCTAGGCTAGAAGGATGTGAGCAGGCCCATGGCATTTGCAGGACATCATGAGATGCTCCTCAGCAATTACAGATCTATTAACCATTAAGTGCTTTTTCTGAATAGAGGGATTAGTACATAATAACATCATCAATCCCACAACTCTCTTGTCAGGCCACAATGAGATTCACTCCGCTCCTATTTGCTTTCCTCTATCGCCCCATCTTTTACAGAAGAAAGCCATACTTCATAGAATATGTACTCATCATCACAGGGAAAATATTAAGCTCTTTCATTTAAACTATTGGAAACAACAACTGCCTTTCTAAGATGGTAGTAATTCCAGAGGGGTAGCAGTGTTAGGGTGCAAACCTATACAAGATTCAACAAGGGGGAAAATAGCTCTTTTTTCTGTCTCAGCTTACGCAGAATTGTACCTGAAATCTGTTGGGGCAAAAACAACAAAGCCTCTTGTGGCTCCTTAAAAGCTAACAAATGTATTCTGGCATAAGCTTTTGTGGATGCCTGATGAAATGGACAGCTGCAAAACATGGGCAATATCTGTAAAAGCTTGTGCCAAAATAAATGCATTCATCTTTGCAGTATCACAAGAATCTTGATTATTTCTTTTCCTAAGATAAAAAACAGAAACTAAAACATGAGTTTCTTTTAGATCCCCTCCTGCTTTCCATTCTTGTAACAGGGTCTTATTTCTTTTCCCAGGATGTGCTTCAGATGCACAAGTTGTCTGCCCTGCAAAAACCAGCTATCAGGCACCCATCGCAAACAAGATATAAAGGGCAATCCTGTACATATTAGAGAGTGAGGAAGTCAACTGTGAGATGACTTGCCCATCCAGCCCTCCATTATTACTGGCCACACACTCCAGCATTTAAAATGCAGGGTCTTTCTATCACTTTAACTCATGGGTGGGGGCGCACAGGCTAGAAACACCAGAAACGGAATATGGGCCCTTGTGCATGAAGGCCACGTGCTCTGCTGCACTGAGCTGTAGTCATTCCTCCTGCTGTCCTGAGAAGAAAGTCCTGCACTGTTGAAAGGGTCAATAAATGTTTCTCAGGACTGCAGCTACAGTTGGCTATACAGTGGAACTTGTTTTGCAGGTATTTCTTGTGCATTCAGTCAGCATCTGAAGCCCTTGCCACATATCTCTGGTGAGGGAGGATGGCAGCAAGGACGAGGGTCTTCTCAGAAGTGCTCCCGTCCCAACAGTGAAATGATTTCCTCTGTGATAAAACACCTGGAGCCAGTGGTTTCACCTTCTGGGCACCAGATTAAGACTTTTCCCTACTCCCAGGTGTCCGACAGCACATGATTTTTAATGTTTGTTTCCTGTCTAGGTTTTATTGTTTCTGCTTTAAAAAAAATGTGTGAGAAGTTTTATATTACCTTTTTATCATGTCATGAACTATCCAGAGAGCTTTGGCTGTGGGGCACTATAGAAATGGAAGTAACGAACCAATTTTAACAAAAGGCGTAACATGTTGTCCCTCTCGCTCTACCCCTACATGATGGTTAATTCGCAGATCTTGGAACCATGATTGCTGAAAGTGGCTCCTTTGTGAAGGGCATGATGCTTGGAGGACTCTTCTGTGCCTTCGTGACTCTTCTAGGACATATTAAGACAGGTCACAGCACCAAATCTCACGAGCACCGTCACCTCCAGGCTCCGAAAAGAGAGGCCATTTTAAATCTCTCCAAGGATGAGCGCCTGGAACTGAGCCAGAGTATCCGTGTGTATTGCATCATCCTTGTCAAGCCTAAGGACCTCGCCCACTGGGCAGCTGTAAAAGATACATGGAGCAAGCATTGCGATAAGGCCGAATTCTACAGTTCTGAAAATGTCAAAGTCTTTGACTCCATTGTTCTTGACACAAACGACATGTGGACAATGATGCGGAAAGCATATAAACTTGCCTATGAAAACTACAAAGATGACTACAACTGGTTCTTTCTGACCCATCCCAGCACATTTGCCATTATCGAGAACTTGAAATATTTCCTCTTGAGACAAGACTCGTCCCAGCCCTTCTACACAGGTCGCACAGAGACATCCGGAGACCTTCAGTACGTGAATGGGGACGGCGGGATTGTCCTGAGCATTGAGTCATTACGGCGGCTTTACAACATTTTTTCAGATCCGGATAAGTGTCCTGAACAGGGGGGCATGATTTGGAAACTCTCTGAAGATAAACAGCTAGCTGTGTGCTTGAAATACACTGGGGTACATGCAGAAAATGCAGAGGATTCTGGGAAAAAGGACATTTTCAACACCAAACCAGTGGGATCTCTCATTAAAGAGGCCATGTTAAGTCATCCTCAGGAGGTGGTGGAGGGCTGCTGTTCAGATATGGCCATCACCTTCAGTGGGTTATCTCCTAACCACATGCATGTCATGATGTATGGTGTTTACAGACTCCGAGCATACGGGCACAGTTTTAATGATGCTCTGGTCATTCTACCTCCCCCTGGTTCCGACAACGACTGACGGCTGTCGTCCAGTCAACCTGTATGTAAAGCGTGTAGTCTTCACGTGGAGTGCCCTTCAGCAAGCAGCATGCATACACGCCGGTACAATTTTTTGTATTTGATGGTCTCAGTGTATTGACTTTTTTGCCACAACCTGCTTTTGTAATCTTTACCAGTGGTGAACGGGGTGCTCTTTTACAAAACAAGCCCTTTTTTAATGAATTTTCAGCATCTTCTGAAAAAATGATCACATCTCCATTGTCCATGAAAACTGTGTAGCGGGTATGTAAATACTTAAAATCAAAATTTATCCATAATCTACTGTAAATTAAATCTATTTTTGCAATCTTGGGGTGTTTGTGTGTTCTACCCATTCATCGCTGCAACTTTTCTAAGAGGTTCAGTTGAGATAGAAAATGTAGAACAGGCTTGTTTCTGTCTGCCTGGCATACAAAGTTCAGTAGCTCGCCCATTCTGTCTGTAGGTTTTAACTTAAGGGCTGGGGCATGCCCATTATAACTCCCTCATTTTCCTTTCGGTAATAGATTTAGACCATTCAGAGAACCACCTTTTAATATTATGCAAAACATGTAGTGGCCATTGTGTTTTAATTTGAGGCTTTTGTCTTTTAAGGTTGGGGTAAGACCTCAGATGTCTCTAACTTGTGTATGTTTTTTCTTAGAGTTCAAGATCTACCTGCTGGAGCCAGGTACAAAACAGCTTGGCATGTGGGGGGCGGGAGGCAGTAAAGAAACAAATAGGGAACAGCATGCCCCTAAGCCCATGCATCTATTACCAAAACCAAACTGAAGCACGCAAACCATTTTACATTTAAAAATCCATTATTTCCGGCTTTCCCTATTTTTTTTCATGAGGCAATATTCTGACAAACCAATTCTCCCTCCTTTTGTTTTTGTTTTTTTTGGGGGGGGGCAGTGCTACTAAAAATGGCAAAGCTGCCCCATCATTAGGTAGGAGTTCCTTGCTATGCATTCCTCTCAAACAGGATCATAGTTCTAGAGAAAACAGATTTCATCTGTATCTTCTTGCTTCTCTTCCTCTGCTACAAGATGAAATTTTAGGTTCAAGAGAACAACCTGCTAGAGTCCCAAAAGGGCTGTTAAACTTCAGCATGCAGGCACATGAATGGATACCTCAGTGTGGTGGGAAGCCAGTATACAAAGGTGAAGAGTTCTACCTAAGCCATCACAGCACAGAAATAATTTCTACAGACTGACCTGTAACATGAGGAATGATGGTTTGCAGCAGGCAAGGCCGCATGTCATAAGGACTCCTCCTTGTGGGACAGCCATGATCCACACTGACATAGAAAATTCTTCTGCAGGTCACACCTACAGAGACCCAAAACTTCTGCTCGCTTGTCAGCTCTGGTCAATAAAATTACTGCATCATCCTGGTTTGTATGTAAGGACAAGACTGAATATGAGTTGTTGAACTACATGTTGCAAAACCTGTAAACCCTGCACTATGTTTAACAATGGGATGTTAACCACGAGCAATTCAGGAGAAGAATCCTTGATTTGATGATAGTTAACAATAAACAATAAACCATAGAGCAGGTCTGCACATAAACCAGAATTCAATGACAACCCATACCCTGGGGTTTTTAATGCGGATGAGATAAATTTTTCTAGATTTTTTTTAAAAATTGAAAATGCTTTCAAAAATACCTAAGATGGATGTCTATCAAACCATTTCCGCATTCACCTGATTTATTTAGTATAGCCACAGAACAAAATAAGTTTGTACATTCAGTCACACATTAAAAACAAAAGAATTACAAAGCAGTCCATGCTGATAGGAAGCACGTTCCCTTGGGTGTTGCAGTAGCTGATTTATTTATATGTCTTCATATGCCAGAGACCATCATTTAAATAATGGATGTTTTCAATGCCAATCCCTTTGTTGACTTTCTCTCTGTGGAGAGAATTGGGGAGGGGAGAAAAGAACAGCAAAAAGTTCAGCTTCCAGAACATCGGTGAAAGTGGTTAGAAAATGGCAGGGCAAAAGTAGCTTCTAAAATGACTTGTTAAATCAAGGCGGAGGTTTACTACAAGCATCCAAATGCAGCAGTACATGATTTATTATGAATAGCAATGGCAACTCTGTTAATAACTTTTTACCTTAGTTGTCTTCCTAACAAACTTTAATAATCAAAGGAGTCTCAGAATCATAGCTCTCACTTAAAAGAAATAAAGCAAAGAAGAAGTAAGAAAACTGAAGCACAGTAACAGCAAATGAAGAATGAGGAATTTATTGGTTTTCCAAAATTATTCTGCGGAGATGAATCTGAATGCTCACTTATTTTGAAGGGCAGAATATGATAAACTTTCACAGTAGATAATGGAATAGGTTTAAGTAGCCATATTTCTAATATGCAGGGCAATTATATCCACAAGAAGCCATTTGGCCTGTGTTTGAAATGCATTAAAATAGCAAGCCCTTTTTCCACATATGATGCGACTCTGCAGTTACAAGAAGGTATGGGAAAAACATTAATGGATTTAAGATCCCCATGAAAGCTGCAGTGCTTCTGCTGAAGCATGTGCGAGTCCTTTCATTCAATATTAAGATAATATTATCTGAGAGCAGACTACATTAATACGATTTAATCACATAGACCTATGGATAAGGGCAACTGGTGCATTATGCTATACACTGTAGGCTAACATATAACTTAGAGATTCGTAACAGCTATGACTGCAGCTACCACAACTATTAACAGAAAATGCAGAACACAAATGCAAGGTAACGTGGAGAGCATGGGGTCTTTTCATGCCACTGGGGCACCCCTAAGGGCAACTGTTGAATTCACTGATGGCTTCACCTTTCATTCTAAGCCTGAGGCAGCTAGTTTTGCCATGTTTCATGTCAGCCTGAGCTATCCAGCTAATGGAGAATGACAGTAAAGAAGTACATCGTTTTCCTTTTAAGATCAAGACTCACATATCATCTGCTGACATCTTCATGACTCCAACACACAGTGCATGTTGCTTTCCTTCCGCCATTATTGCCTGCAACCATCAGCTAAGGAAAACATCTTGTGTGCAGTGTTTTAAAAAGAGAAGAAACAAACTCTTAAAGCGAAAACACCATTGCAAAATGACCACTAGAGCTAGATCTCACCCAAGAGACCAATCAGGTCCAACCAGATCTGCCTAGCTTTGGTAGCGCTGCAGCATCTGATGTTTCTAATCAATCTCCTAGCCCTACAATGGTTACCTCGTGGCTCACCCATCCCAGGAGAAAAGATCACACTGAGCTATAAATCCTAAAAGTTCAAACGTCTACACCCCAGAATTCCAAGAAACATACAAGTCAAAGAGGATCACCACAAAGCCAGAAGTCCATTTCCATTATGACCTACAAAGATCAGTTGATGCAAACCAGAATTTCCACACCACAATTAGAGAGATGCCCAATGACCAAAGAACAGAATCTGCCATATGCTCCATGCCCAGAAAAAGTACAGTTTATATGTTAACATTTCACATGTGAAACAAATCCCAAAGTGATTACCAAAGTATAAAAACAGACAAAAAATGTGCACATACATACACAAATACTATCACAAGGCAGATACAAATTTATGTATGGCTAAGGAAAAGACCAAATAGATATGTTTTTAACAAGCGCCTTAAGCACACCACTACTGAGGCCTGATGTACCTCAGAAGAAAGTTCATTCCACCGGATGTATATTATTGTAGAGGAGGCCTGTCCCTGCACTGTTATCACCAAAGAAAAATCCATAGGCCTGAGGAGTGTAGTGGCCTGGAGGGCTGGCATGGGGGAGAAATCCTGGTGGTAACTTTGTCCCAAGTTGCACAGAGCTTTGTATACAAACCCTTTAAGTGTACCTTGGGAAGAGACCAGGAAACAAAGTAGATCCTCTAGCAGAGGCATAATATGTCTGGTAAGTTACCCCAGTAAGTCATCTTACTGCTTCATTCTCTGCAACATCCAAATCTTTCTTAACAGTACCTCTACATACAGCATGTTACGCATCGTACACCTGGCGAACCATTGGAAGATTAGAGTAGCACACCTAAACTCAGAGGTTACTTAAGCCTCCAGTGATGATTCCAGGAGCACTGACAAACCATGAACCTGTTCCTTCAGAGGAAGTACAACCCCATCCAAAGCTGGTAATTACTTTGCCCCAAACCTGGAAACCGTTTGCCCGGTCTGCCTTCATTTTATTAGGATTCAACTTCACCTTACTGGCCCGCCTCCAACCCAGCACTGTGTTGAAGCACTGATCCAGGTAGCAAAGGGCCTCTCCTGATTTACACGTACTACAGAAATTGAGTTCAGTGCCATCAGCAGACAGATACAGCATGCAGGCACTTGAAATGCTCATGAAAGGAAACATGCCAGCATCAATTTTGAAATAAGACAAACTTCAGCAACTAGTTAAATAGAAACACAATTACATTACAAAATGGTCCTTTGATGCTACACTGCCGAACATGTAGCTCTACATGTTAATAAACATTATTTAAATACAAGTATTAGTTTTCTTAAAAAGCGTAACACCTGTTACACTCAACAGTGAAAAAGAAAATCAGAACCACTGACAGCAACTATCCAAGGATACCACAATTGTATCAGCAGCAGCAGGATAAAGTTTAGCTCCTGGAGATGTCAGCCCAGGACACATTATATTTGCTCCACTAAGTACAAATTTAATGGCTCCTTTATCCACTTGTTGATGTGGTAGAATGAATGGATCTAGAAAAAAGAGAGAGAGAGAGATGATGCAGAGCAGGCTTAGTAGCACCTCTGGAAAATACATTAAATACACCGATCAACTTGAGCTTAACTAAGCGAGTGTGTCTTTCGTAAATCCATGAAGAAAATACATCCCTGGCAGGATTATCTATGGAAATGAACTAAACAAGCAACTGTGTGGTGAAACTGAAAAGCAAGCCTCACAGACAGCAAAGTACCGCTTGAAAAAAAGCAGTGGGTAAAGTATGCAAGTATGGAACAAAATGAAAATCCAACACTTGCACACTAAACGCAACAAGAGCAAAATGAAAACAGCCACACTACCTGAAACGATAAGTGAAAATGGAGAGAATGACCTGGTGTGCACATAATGCCCTGTTCCTGGGTCATCATGAAATCCAAACTGGAAACTTTGGGCTCTTCAGGAGATAAACAACTCAGAATTGGCTCAACAATCATTCATGGATTGGGTGTTACATGCAAAGTAGGTCAATGTGCAGCTTAGCAAGCTAGAATGCCTCTTCGAGTTACTTGTGAATGTAAAACTAAAAATAAAAAGTTGAAACATTTCAGTAGCTATGACAACCCCCTTCACTCCCATTTGTCTTTTCAAAACACTTACATTTATGAAGTAATCTCAGTGTGGGATAAAAAGGCCCTTCCCTTTGCCTGAAGAACAGCAATTCACCATTTACTGTGAGGATTTCTATATGTTCATGACTGGAATAACAAAATTAAAGCTTTATTGTATGCATTTTTTAAACAGGAATCAGAAAGATTTTTCTCTGCTAAAGGGGGTATTTAATTTATTGCATGTCTCCACTATTTTACATATTTCACAAAACAAAGTTTAGATATCCCAACATTTATATATCTACACATCTGAATAAAAATGATAGGGAAATATTCCAATATTATTATTCCAGTAAACATGAAGGACCAGATTTTACCTTTGCTGAAACTCTTTGGAAAGTATAGCAACTTGAAAAACGAGGGAAAGAAATACTTACCATCGTACTATCTTAACAGGGTCTTTCTTTGGCATGATTTGGTTAAGCCATGGTTCAATACCAGGAAACTGATCTATCAGTTGATTCTTAATGCCTTTAATAACAGATGTTTTCAGCTGGATGCAGTTGGATACATTCTCCTTTTCATCAAATCTGTCAAAATAATTTTACAAGTGACTTAATATACCACAACACCAATCATATAGATGCCTACTCAGAAGTAGGTTCTGATGTTTTCAATGAGACCTACATCCAAGTGGTCTTTACATCCATCCCTCTAAGCATGCGTAATATTGTTCCTTAAGCTTAGACAGAAAATATCCTGGCATTGCACAGCCAACCAGAAATAGCTAGGGAATGCTGGAAGTTGTAGGCCTTATTGCTTTATAAATATGCGTAAGACTGAACACTTAACTGCAAGTCAGCAATACGTTTTGGATGGTGTGGCTCAGAACTTCGGGTTGGAGAACTCTGTCACCTAAAAATTTGTTGTTAATTCTCTAAAACATTATTCTCATACCTAATCCTTGGTATTATTCCCCAGCGCAGGCTTTAACACTATTATTAAACACAGAGACTCTCAGATATTGGGCATTATATAAATGAACTGAATAAATAAAACAAACATTTAAGGTGAGTTAGAATGAATAGAAAATAAGTCAATATTAAGAATTATAGATCAGAATTTTTTTCTGTGAGTTGTAACTTAGTTTAGTTAATCTAATTGAGTGTGGAAAGGTTAATAATTCATTTAGTGCAAGACATTCTGAATTTTGGTATCATATGTAATATCCATGTACGATCCCTTGATGTTTTCCTTCTCTCTCATTATGAAAATAAAAAGTTAAAAAATAAAATAAATTACGGCATTCTCTTTCAGGAGAACTTAGCAACCTGGGCCCCTCCAGATGTTTCTGAACTGCAACTTCCATCAGCCCTAGTCAACATGGCCAATCGTGAGGTATGATGCCAAAGTGAGAGATTTAGATTTTGGGACCATGGACTACACTTCCTGGAAGATGGACTGCTGGCAAGCAGTGGGTTGTACCTCGTAAGAACTGGAGACAATGTGTAAGACAACAATGTGAAGAAGCTTATCAAGGGCTTTAAACAGAATCATACAGGGAAGGAGAAGTTCATCTGAGCATAACATCAACAGACAAATGCATATATACCACAACAGAGAGAAAGCACTAACAAATGCCTAATAATAGCTGTAGGAAGAAAACTAGAGTGTAAAGCACAGGGTCTTTGATATCTAAATACTAATGCCCTGAGTATGGGAAACAACATGAAAGTAAACTGTTTAATATACAAGGGCAGATACAACCTGATGGATATAAGCAAAACTTAAGCTCAGAACAATGATAAACAAAGTCTCATGGCAAGTCACTCTAATGGGAAAAGGAGTGCAAGATGGGTGGGAAATCTTCAAAAAATAAATTCTGAAGGCAAAACTGCAAACAATTCCAACATGAAAAAAGTGTAGATAACAAGAGAGGAAACACATGAGGCTTCACAAAAAGCTGAGAGATAATCTGAAAACAAAAAGGACATGTACAGGACATGGAAGGAAGGCTCGACTACAAAGAAAGAATACAGATTGGTAGCACAGAATTGCAGGGATGGCATCAGGGAGGCTAAAGCTAGGAATGAACTGAGGCTAGCAAGGAATGCTGAAAACAACACTAAAATCTCCTTCAGATATGTCCAAAGTAAAACATAGATGAAAGAAAAAGAAGTTCAACTACTCAACATGGGTGGTAAAATAATAACAGACCACAGAGGAAAGACAAAAGTGCTTAATTCCTACTTTGGCTCAGTCTTATGCCACAAAAAAATCTAAAGTGTCCCTAACCAAGGGAAATACAAGCTGAAGATGCAGGATGGCAGCCCAAGAGCGACAGACAAATGGTCAATGAACACTTAGTCAGGCTAAACATGTTCAAATCTCCAGGGGCCAATAAACTCCATCCTAGAATCATAAAAGAATAGTAAAAGAACTCTGAGAATCACTGTCTATTATCTTTGAGAATTCATGGAAAGCAGAGGTAATGCCAGATAACTAGAGAGCTAATGTTGTCCTTATCTTCAAGAAAGGAAAAAGGAGGAACCCAGGAACTATGGGCCAGGCAGCCTAATATCAATCCTTGGAAAAAATCAGGAGGAAATTATAAAGCAATCAGTCTGCAAGCATCTTGAAGGCAACCCAATGATCACTAAAGGCCAGGATGGATTTCTCAAGAATAAATCCTGTCAGACTAGTCTAATTTCATTTTTTTGACTAGGCAACCTCCCTAATGGACTATAGGAATGCTGTGGACAGAATCTATCCAGACTTTAGCAAAGCTTTTGAGAAAGTGCCCCACGACACCCTGATTACCAAATCAGCAAAAAGTGGACTAGGCAGATCAACTACTAGGTGGATCCACAACTGGTTGCAAAATCGGAGTATGCATTTAGACTATGTCTAGCCGTATATGTAAACCCAAAGATACGGGGAATCAGATTGCTTATTGGTTTAGCTGAGTATTTAGAAGTATTTTCATGCTACTACTCCACCAAGAGAGACCCCTCCTCCTCCCTCCCTCCCACACACACACACAGCCGCTTCCGTATAATCAATGAAACATATCGTTCCATTTTAATGAATTCACACGTATGTTTGGACTTAGACTCACTGAAGCGTGCGACCTCTCCCGCACCACCCACAACAACGCGCAGACCCTCTCAAGAGGCGGGGAGGCTTCCGGCAAGGCACGCGAGAGCGCAGAGCAGCCCCGGTCCAGGCAAAGAAGCCCAGGCAAAGAGGGCCTGCCCAGGTCAGGATTCGGCCCCCCGCCCGCACTCACTCACTCACTTCTTGAACATCCTGGGGGGCGCTGGGTCCCCACGAGACCGGGAGGAGCGAGGACCGGGGAGGTGGGGCCCGCTGGCCGGCCACTGGCTCCCGAGTCGACCCCCCTCGCAGCTGCACGGACGGCCGCACGAGGCCTCTCAGGCCCTCCCTTCTCGTCTGCACCTGGCAGAAAGGAAGTCGGCTTCGCTTTACGGCCCCCGGTGTCGCGAAGTGTCGTAATCGCCGACGCGCCTTCGCAGAACGAACGCGAGACCCCGCCGCCTTTGAGATTTACGGGCAGCGGGCGAAGAAAACTGGACCTGAGACTACGACGCCTACCAAGCGGTGCGACGGGAAGGTGGCGGGTTTCTCTAGGGCGGAGGCGGCGTTGCCGGGGAGACCCATCGTCCACTTCTGCTGGGCCTCAGCTGTTGCCGAGGCGCGAAAAGCCACTTTAATGCGTACTCTTAGGCGAGCGACACTAATAATAGTTGCCTCAAGCACCTCTAAATAGGCACTCAATGGGACTTGAGTTTATAGGATTGTGCTGTTAATACAGCCCACTCGAAACAAAGTCAGGCAAGGACGCTAAAAGATAACAGAATAAAAGCAACCTAATCCCCCTGAGCCCACTGGAATAAACATGCTAAGAAACACCATCGTTTCAGATAGATCTACTCTTACTGTAACAAGTCTGGTTCCATCCAGTGACGTATGTTGCCGACTCCCCAATGCACAGAAAGTTGCAGCCTTAACCTGCTTCTAAAATTTAAAAAGCAGCATGGGGATCTTCTACTTTTTAATCAACATTATCAAAAAATAGACTACAGGTCACAAGACATGTTTTAAATAATGTCTTTATTAGAATTAATATTGTGTTGTGTTTTTATAATTTATATGCTGCTCCTGGCAAATAGGCTAGAAATTAAACAAAAATTTAGAAAAGTGTCACAATACTTTTGTGATGCTTTAAGAGATAGAATGCAATCCTATGCACACTTTGGTGTTCAGCCGTTCAGTTGTGTCTGACTATAAGATCCCATGAGCTAAATCTTGCCACACTTTTTGACCTCACTGTTTGGCAACCTGGTTTTCTCCTGCCACTGAGCATTCCAAGCACTGCATCTTTATGTGTGCTGTCCCAAGCCTGGAGAAATGGGACGGGTTAAGGAAAAGCCTGGTGATCTACCCCGGAAAATCTCACAAAGAAAATCCTATGGAGCAGTTCTCAAACATACACATTTACTAGGGAATAAATCCTATTGGATTCAGTGGGACCTCTGAGTAAACACAAGCTGAATTGCTTTATAACAAGACAATCCATCTGGAATCCTAGAATGGCTGAGACAGTCAGTTCATGCTAACATTTAACATGCTGTTTGTGAAACACAATCAGCATTTGCTGGCAGGAGTGTTACTAATGATCACTAGCGCAGAAGACAAGTAAGAATTACCCAGCCCAATTTTTACCAACCATTATAAAAGATCTAAAAATGGACAATTTCTGGATCTATAAACTGTCATATTAAATAGTTACAATTACTGAAATGTTCATTATTGTTAATCTGATTTGGCTGATCTTTAAAAAATGCTGTGCCTTATAAATGCTTTATTTTGTTTGGAATAACAGTTGTTTATATTGATGATTGGAAGCCAACTTGTTTTATCCTTCAAAAGTAGGTTATACTTTTAAATAACTTATAAAAGTTATTTTTAACTGTTTGCATTTTAAAACATGCAGGGGCAAACCACACACTGTCACATCCAGTTTGACCAATAACTCCATTTCAGAAGAAGGGTGTCCCTGCTACTAGTTTTACTTCAGGCTTTGTCAGGAGTTGCAGGTGTTTAGAGCTTGTTTTGTATCTGGATTTCATCTCTTTTTTTCTCCTTTCTTAAACTTGTTTTACCTAAATTTGTTTTTATTGGTTTATGTTGTCCATTTCTCCCACCCAAATCTGGTTTTACCCAATTTTCTTACCTTTTATTTTTATGTTTTTAAACTTAAACATCGTCTAGACTATAAATTACTGGTCGGATTCCGTATCAACATCTATTACAATAAATGCGCAAAACAAACACAAAGGCACGCCCACAGCCCTGTCTGACGCCGGGCCTGTGCAGTGCGAAATGAGAGGGTGTACCCTAGATACGAAACGAAAGCAGGGAGGCCGAGGGGAGGGCGGGAACCAAAGACATCCCCTCCCCGTTTCTTTCAACCCGTTCCTGACCAGGAAAGAAAGAAAAGGAAGGGGGAGAAAAAAGAAGGGGGACACGCCTCTTCACCCTGCCGCCTGGAAGGAAGGAAGGAAGGAAGGGAAGCCACGCTCGGGAGATTCCGCCTCCCCCCCCCTCTTCCGCCCAGCCCCGCTCTGTGTTTCCACGCGGGAGGGGGAGCGCCTCGCACTCAGGAAGCCGGCCGGGCTCAACCCGATGGGGGTCAAACCCCCCACGCGGGCCGAGGCGCGGGCAGCGAGGCAGAGGAGGGCGCGCCAGCAGCAGCAGCAGCAGCAGCGCCTCCGCCGCGACTACGGGAAGCGGCAAGGCTCAGGACTCCTCCCGCCAAGCCTTCGCGGGGCCGAAGCGCGGCGGCGGCCCCGCCTCTCCCCGTAAAGCGTGGCCGGGGCGCGAGGCCTCCCACCAACGAACCCGTCGCCGTCCTTCCTTCCTTCCACTCTCTCGCTCGCTCTCTCTCTCGGCCCCCCCCCACCATGGCTGGGCGCGCGAGGGACCCGCCGCAGCCTCAGCAGCCGCCCGGCAACATGATCACTTCCGGTAGGTCAGAGGGCAGAGGAAAGCGGGCGCCAGGTAGGGCGAGAAGACGCCGGCGGGAGGGAGGGAGGAAGGTTATCGCAGAGGCGGGCGAGCGAGAAAGAAAACAGGCGAGAGGCTGGCCGACTGCCTGCTTCTACCGTCACTGTCTTGAGTGAGTCTGCAGTCGAGGACGCCGACCACTTTCACCCCCCCCAGTCGCTCGGCAACGCTTCCGGGCGGGTCGGCATCCCGGCATGCCGAGCGGCCGGATGTGCCGCCATTTTTGAGCTCCTGCTTTGACTATAGTATTGACAATAACAAGCTCCGATCCCACCCCCCCCCTCCCGCAGAACTGTCTTTCTTTTCCCCTCAGCTGGACTCGAAAGGGGTGAAGGAGAAGCGAGAGAGAGGGGAGAGAAAGGGAGCTCGACTCCCCTCTCCTCTTCCTCAGGAGAGGGAGAAAGAGGCGGCCCCTCAGGCGAGGGAGCGAGAGAAACGGACAGCGTTCTCTCCGTGGCTGGGAACCGAGAAAGGGGCAGCGTTGCTGAGGAAGGCTTGCGGGAGTCGGGTTCTGGGATTGGGCTGGGAGAGCCCCCCGCCCGGCCCGTTGAGGACAGGTAGAAATCGTTGAGAAAGAAGTCGAAGAACCCACGGTGAGAAACGAAGAAAAGCGTACTGAGAATTTCCCTCTTGGAAGGGAAGAAAGGGGAGGGTGGAAGACCCGACTGGCGAAGAGGCATCGGCTCTCTTTGTGGATCCCTGGCGACGAGGCGGAGACCTTCTGTGACCAACTCCCTGTCCCTTCCTTTCTGCGTGTCTGTCACACCAGAAGGATTTGATGCCCTTCAGCCTGCTCACCTCTGTGGTGTTCATGTTTCCCACAGGTTTCTCTTCCCCCAACCCCCCAGCAGCAGCGGCTCAGGAGGTCAGACCTTCCACTGATGGTAGCAGCAGCAGTTCCTCATCATCCTCCAAGAAGAGAAAGCTAAATAGTAATAGCAACAGTAGTGAGAGAGAAGAAGTGGAATCAATCTCCTCCTGCTCCTCTCTCCTTTCCAGAAACAACAACAATTCCTCCTCCTCCTCTCTTATTACCACTGCCTCCACTGCCTCCTGTTCCCCCTCAGGAGTTACTTCTTCCAATCATCATCTGCAAAAGAAGTTACGCTTTGAGGACTCCTTGGATTTTATTGGACTTGATGTGAAGATGGCAGAAGAGTCTTCCTCTTCATCATCTTCGTCACCGGCTGCCTCCTCTCAGCAGCAACACCAGCAGCTCAAAAACAAAAGTCTCTTAATTTCCTCAGTGGCTGTAGGACACCACGCAAATGGCCTGACCAAAGCTGCCTCTTCCACTGTCTCCAGTTTTGCCAACAGTAAACCTGGGTCAGCCAAGAAGTTAGTGATCAAGAATTTTAAAGGTAATATGCTACTGTCCTTCCTTATCTGTGATGTTTATATATATGCAGAGGAATGGCCCTTGTTGTATAAACCTCAGGGTGAGGCACAGCTACTTCCAAATCTCCATCATGGAACCCTTGGTCAGTGAACAACAGAAATGTTATCCCCAAATTGGGTGCTTTATTTTTTCTCCAAACAAATGAGCATAGCTGCTTTTTTATCTTAAGAGAGGGAAAGCCTTGTTTGTAAAGTATCCCTGCGGTGGGACTAAACATTGGTGCTTCCTTTGTTTGGGGAGAGGATCAGGAAAACCTATTTCTATCCAGATGCTGAGAGTCCCTGACCATTTGAACCAGCCCCTGTTCGTATAGCCCTACCCTTTCACTCGTACATCCTTGGTTAAGCTTCCATTTCTTAATATAGTGCTGAAACTTTAAAAGTCTTTGAAAATGTGGCAAAAAAGAGATCTTTGTGGTTTGTGCCAATTCCTGCTATGTGTGAGGCACTGAATGCTAGTCCCGAGCTAGCAAAGAGTAGGACATCTTTGATCCTATTCAAAAATTATGCGCGGGAAGTGTTTGTTTGAATAAGGGAGCATTTCCTCCTTCCTGCAAATTGAACTTGAATCAGTTTGGGGTCTTAGTCTTGTCGGGGAAGTAGGGAGTGGATCCTTTCCTCAGAATAGGCATGCCTGATAGTTTGATAATTATGTAGGATTGTCCAAAGTGACAGATGTAGGCAGGATGAAAAGTTGAATGCAGCCTTCCTTAATTTTGTGCCTTCCAGATGCTTTAGACCACAATTCCCAACATTTCTGGCTATTGTGCATGTTCCCTTGGCTGGTGGAAATTGAAATCCAAAACATCTGGGGATATCTGTCTGGGGAAGGCTGTCAAGTATTTGACTAGAGCCTAAGTAAGGAGCTTAAATTTGTTTGTTGAATTGGCAAATGTGATGTTTATACTGTTATGGACAGGCAGAGTACAAGGGAATTGGAGTAGATCCTGAGTGAGGTGGTAAGTGCGTATGCTTTACATTGGAAAAGTAGGGTTAGTCTATGCCTCTAAGTGGAGCTGCATGAACTATTTTCCAGTGAATTCCTGAGTATGGATAGAGTAGCGAGGTAATGTACTATGAATAATACATGCATGCATGTCCTTCCTTAGTATGCCACTGTTATCATAATTGAAGGGGAATTTCTGAAGTAGGGGAATTTCTTAGACAAAATTGGCTTAAATATTGCCTGTTATAATATAATCTCTACTAGAAATATAAAAACTTTAGAACAAATGAGGAATGTATGTAGTATCTCCAAGTGGGCTTCTTTAAATTGACCCAGGATACCTGGTGAGGCATAAGGAAGGAATCAGTCTCCAAACAGGTAAGACCTGTATTGCAGTTCTAAAGCTGCCACCTTGAATCGGACCCAGAAGACTAAAATGCTGTAGAACACATGTAATATGCTACTAATGCATCTATGCCATAAGCTGCTGAGAATGCTGCACTGTCCATCAGCTGAAGTTTTTGAACGGTCATCAAGGGCAGCTTTGAATTCAGCACATTGCAGTAGCCTTTTTTAAATGCACAAGTGTTTTTGAATCTGAAAGAAAAATGAGCGACAGCCCAAAGCACCTGGTGTTCTACATGCCACTAGCAGTGGTGCCAAATTTATTGGGAAGGTCCCTCAGGATTCTGCAGTCCAGTTGGCTCAAGTGTTCTTGGTTCACCCCAGCTTAACCATTTCACCATGCTGATGTGGTCATAGTTTGGCAGAGTCCTATGTCTCAAAGTGAAGCTATTTGTTTGGTCTTATCTTAGTTTATCTGCGAGTCACTGAAATAACTGATAGCCATACTGTTTGTGATGCAGGAACTGGTATGCTAAATCATTCCTATTGCCTTGACTTACTTGCATGCAAGCATCGATATGGATTCTTCCTTGGTCATGAATTTTGCCAAAATAAATCTAGGGTCAAGGCTGAAAGCTTACTGTGGTCTGATCCAGCAGTGAAGCTCTTTTGTTCTTAAATTGAATACTTGCTGCAAGGGATTCTAATGTTTCAATATCTTTCAGATAAACCGAAACTGCCAGAAAACTACACAGATGAAACCTGGCAAAAACTGAAAGAAGCTGTAGAAGCGATTCAGAACAGTACTTCAATAAAGTACAACTTAGAAGAACTCTATCAGGTAAACATTAAGCATGTAGCCTTCAAGACCATAAGGAAAATCCTACTTGTCTACAGAGAATTCACTAAAGCTTTGGTCCATTTTATTCAGCTCTTGATTTGGGTTAGATTTCACTATGTACTTGTGGTTCCATGATCATTCACTAAATGAGGGACAGCCTCCAGCTGGCCAGATAGCCCTTCAGATGACCAACAAGAGCCTCCTCACTAATTGACTGACAATCATCCACAAGCTAGGCTTACCTTTGTTCCATCAATCCACTAAGAATTCCCAGATAGTAAACACCATAGTTCATGGCTTTAGATGCAATTACAATCTAGGGAAATCTTGGGAATCTCATTCATGTTGCAGAAGCTGCAGCCGGTCTTCACAAAACAATGAGGGTCCTCCAGTTTAAAAGGGGTCAAAGTACATCACCAAGTATACAGTGCTGGCACGCCCCAAGATCCTCTAGATCAGTTTCTTCCAAGCTTGTGCTCCACAGATGTTTTGGACTACAACTCTTGATCATTGGACACCCTGGCTGGGGTGATTGGAACTGAAGTCCCAAGCAGCTGGAGGGTACCAGATTAAGGTAGATTGGTTTGGATGATGGTACAGAGTGTTGCCTAGGGAAACGAAGACTCTTGTTGTTACTTGAATGGCCACTGCCATTTCACTTTTCATCAAGACCTTTGTGCTGATACTAACAGGTTAAGTTGAATCATCCCATGAAGAATGAGGAGGGAATCTCCCTTACAAGGGTTTAGAGTAGTTGCTCAGGAAAGGGAAGTAGGTGAGTTACTTTCACCTTCTTTTCCAGTTTCTGCAGCTGTTTCCCTATTGGTGCCACCAATCACTCCTCTTTTCCTCTTCTACATCCTTCTGTTTCTCAACTTCACCCCTCATAGAGACATTTCTGGTGTACAGGGAGGTACCAAATGATACCTCACCTACTTGTAATATTTTAAAGATGGATTACTCTTGATATTCTACTCATAACTCTTTCTACAGATAGATAAAATTAAAAGCATGTATCACGTTAATTGGAAAAAATGGGGAGAAAGTGTCTGAGAAAAGAATCCAATTTATGATGATTCTAACAATAGGAAACATATATATTATGGGTTTGCAGCTTGTGATTATATGGTTGTAGAAAACAAGAAGCAATCTGGAAATACAGCAAATCCAAGTCTCAAATATTTGAGTACCTGGTATTCTGTTTGCCTTATCTGAAAATTTACCAAAGGACCATTATGGTATTTTAAAAATAGTATCTGATTTCAGATACTATTCTTGTAGTATCTGAATAGAAACAGCTAGTCAGAAGAGGTCTCCCGGGCTATCTGGTCTGACCCCTGGCACCAGCCATCTCCACTCATGACATGCCTACCATGTGCATGTCCAACCTATACTTCAAAACCCTCACTAATGGGGCTTCAGCCTCCTCCTGTGGAAGCCCAGTCCATGCCCTAGGGGTCCTAACCATCAGGAAGTACTTCCTGGCATCCATCTTGAATCTTGATTCCCATTGGAATGCATCCTGCCCTCCACCATGCGGTGTGTGTCTTAATAGGTTTCTCAGGGAGTACTATATTTTGTTTTTCATTGTACTGCTGAGATTTGACAGTGACAGGGGTTTCGATTCTCAGTCTACCTAAAAAGTGACAGTTATTTCTTTTAAATGCACCATCTTTACATAAAGGATAAAAGTTTCTATAATCCTAAATATGTTTTGTGAATTTCTAATAATGTTATCCTCTTCACTTTTTTGGGGGGAGGGGTGTTCTATCCACTTATTCTGCTGATACTGTCCGGCTTGGAGCCTTGAATCACTGCTCTGTACTAGTTCCTGTTCCCCTTTTATCTCCACAGTTACATGATATGGTCAATGTGGTACTATAAGATGCCATATAATTTTAATTAAATGTGTATTTTTTCACTTGAGACGTGGTAGTTAAATGTCAAGCTGTAGCATATCAGTGAAATATTGTAGCTCTACATGATTTGTAAAAGTTTTCTGTAGGAAAAACCTTCCATAGATCCTTCTTTGGTGTTAAGGAGAAGATAGAAGTCTTTCTGTTGGCAAAGCTGTAGCTCTGAATTTTCTGTATCAATCTAAGAATTTGCCGGATGGAATAAAAGGCTTCCTCCAACTCAGTAGTTAATATTAACTGAAAATAAAATGGTAGATGCCCCACACACAAAACGTTGTCACCATTGCCCATGATTCCCATCACCTTAAAAAAATCTGTGATTGTAGTTGCCTTGAGTTAATGTATGCTTGCTTAGACACTGGATTAATAATGAAGTATTCAGTTGGCATTCTGTTTACCGAAGGAACAGCAGGTGTGTGGTCAAAATTGTATTTGTTCAGTCAGTCCTAGGGGCAACCCATCCTAGTATACTTTTATTTGGCTCTTATGTAGAAATCTGTCAGCCACTTAGGGTCAAGGCCTTAGGAGGCCCCCTTATCTGCTGTGTGGGCAGAGCAAGCTAAACAAAGCAAACAACAGTATTTTCTGATGACACTCATTTGTTTGGATCTATTTTTATATGTTTGGGTTAAAAATAGTCATACAAATTGCTGGCAAAGTGAATACTAAATAAAACAGTTCTGCTTCAGAGCAGCTGCTTAGTAAATAGATCCCGTTCTAAATGTGCATTTTCAGGCACCATATTTAAACTTTAAAGGTCCTTTTCTCCCACACACCACCAAAGGATTTCTTCCTGTCTTGCTTTGATAAGCTTCTTAGCATGCTACTTCCGCTGCCTTTATAAAAGCAAAAATCCTTCTGAGGCAGCAGCAGGCATTTTGAATCGCCCACTTCAGCCTCCCTTAATACAGCTTTGAGGTCAACAAGTTCATGCCAGTCCATTTTCCCCAGGCAAACAGAGTTTTTATGTTCAGCCTGTGTTGGACTAACCACTATCAACAAGTTCTGCAGGGCCATTTCAAGCTGTGTCTCATGTTAGTTTAGCTATTTGCCTTTCTAGCGCCATCAATAGACTCAGTTCCTCTTATTTCTTCTCTTACTAAGAAAACCTAAACCATACATTCAAGAGAAAAGGGAGGGAAGGTAAGATTAAATAAAGCAAAATATTAGGGAGACTTTTGGATAAGGTTTATAAGATCCCTTGCACTGTTTAGATATGTTGTATGTTTTCTATATACAAATACATGCAATAATTGTGCATAAACTTCAACAAAGGCAGACCCAATATCCATATATTTATCCATTTTTAAAAATGGACCTGGAGCAACCAGTGCAATAGCATAAGCAAAACAAATACTTGCTCCAAAAAGCTTACAATCATCAAGTTCTAACAGTAGGAACAGAATAAGATTCACATGACCAAATGCAGTAACATGTATTCAGGCTTTGCTTCAGTTGAGGATGGTTCTTAGCATTTATTTATTGTGATTCAGGTGTTTGAAGTACTTCATGTCCTCAGTCAACCAGTAATATCCTACCAATGCAGATGGTGACGGAAGTGAATTTTGAACTGTGTGCTTCACAGCTCATGTAGCCTCTACGCTGTGCCAAATGTCTAGTTCATACTTGAGCTGTAGCAGCCCATAGGCAGTGGATGTTTACTCAAAAGCACACCATTAATGTTGTTGCATCTTGATGCCTAATAAGCATGTTTAGGATTGCAGTTGCATATAAATACTTGTTAGAGCTATGATCTCAAGCAAATTGGTTCTAAGGCTACATTCAGGATCCCAGTTCTTTGCCAGCAGATCTGGTCCTCACTGCAAGGGCTTAGGGTGGCAGAATTTCTGCTCTGAAGTACTGTTCATTTGCTAATCTGGCATTCAGTTGTTTGTCGTTCTTGTTCTTGTTGCTACTACTAGGATATTAAATTAGCTGTGTCAGGTCCAAGGCACCATGCCCAGACCCACAGGGAGGGGACTGCAGTCCATTCTAGCTCTTGGTATCTTGGTTCCCTGAACCAACAGCAAAATTCAGTGGCACATCTTTCAGATGGCTAGTAAGGAGACAGATGGAAATCTTAGATTGTATTCAAGGCTTCCAAACAATCTGAAACTCATATGTTACTAAAGAGCAAATGCAGACACCCAGTTCCATTTGTGCTAAAACCTAGAAACAAACTATGTGCTTTGTCATTGAAATCTTTGTCAGAATGTTGTTGATCTTGATAGTAAATAGCACTGACCTTCGGGAGAAAACAAACAAACCCACCTGTGATCTAGAGAAGCCAGTGTTCAAGGGAACCTGCCCTACCTGCAACCAATGTCACATTCACATCAGCCCACCCCCCGCCCTTGGGTTCTGGAAGAAGGAGGTCCCTCTTCCTTTCTGCCAAGTTGGAGCTCTCCAACACACAATTTAGCAGGCAGGAATTTCCATTGCCATTTTCTCTCCTTCACTACTGAACTAGTTGCCAGGGAGAGGAAGAGAGAGCCTCTCTGCATTGTGGGCCTCTTGCTGTGGGGGAATTTGAATAATTTTCCCCCCATAAGCTTTTTGCACCAGGGAGAACTAATTGGAAAGCCATCACTGGAGATGAAATCACTCTTGCTAACTGAGCCGCATTAGATAAGGGAGGAATGTCCACCTGAACAAAGTATTGCTTGTTCAGTATTGTTTCAGCCTTCGTGTTTTCCTCTCTTAACACCCACCCCCATTCTGTGAATGGTACATTCATGTTATTTCCAGTGGAGCTATTACCTACTGCTGTCCTAGTTAAGTCTCAGTTGTTTCATCCCTATAAATTACATCCTAGAGTATCCAATATGCCCTGTATTCTAACTAATGTCCAATAATTATTGTTTTACTCTTGATTGATCATGATTTCTCTAGAGATTCTATGTAAAGAAAAATATTTGTAGTATTAATTCATTAACTGTTTACTGTTGTGCCACTGATGAAATATATTTACTGCCTTGTATAGTTCACATTGGATCTATAATTTTAAGAATGATCTGGTGGAGGCTAGTTGCTGAATTAAAACTGGATCATTTGATAGCTCTACAATTGAATAGGCCTGGATTGTTTCCAATCCACAGGGATGGAAAGTTTTTTTGTTCTATTGTGTGAAATATATAAATAAAATGTTTTGTACTAGAAAAGGAATCAAACAAATGACTGATTTTCTTGCTTTTTAGGCTGTTGAAAACCTCTGCTCCTACAAGATTTCTGCAAATTTGTATAAACAATTAAGACAGATTTGTGAAGACCATATCAAAGCACAGATTCATCAGTTCAGAGAATATCCTTTTAATTAATAGTAACACATTAATGTAATTGAAAGGACTTTTGTCTGCCAATCTCTAGTTCTTTTAGTCCTGAAAATTGCATTAAGCAACTCCAGTAATCTCATGGATTATGAACCTTTCAGTGATTTTTGTTGTTCTGTTGGTTGTGCCACAGCTATCTGGTACATCTCTGGACCTTTGAGAATCTGTAGTACAATTTAATGGTTATATGCCTATTTGGAATGTTGACTTGCTTGAATAGAATTAAACAGGAAAGGGAGAATTAGTTAATTTAAGTAGTTAAGATACTATTAATACATCTAGTAATACACTTCACAGATTATCAAACAGCTGGAGTTATGCAAAGAAAGATTTAAGATTAATCTTCAACTTGTTTATTCATGTGTTTAATAAAAGGAGAGCAATCTACTCTACTCACACACACACATTCCTCAATTCAGGGAATTATGTATGCCATTCTATACCCAGCAATTCTTATTTTTACTTTTACAATGTGGGTGCCTACATTTAAAAACATTGTGTTTTACATTACAAGAATGGTACTCAGCTATAAATTAGAGCTTCCATTGTGACCTGGTAGGACTTAAAGAACCTCTCTTTCACCTGGTAGCATTTGTTTCTGTAGTGGCTGTAATCTGAAGAGTTGCACACATGCGTTTTCTTCTGTCATTCCTTCTGAGCAACCACATGCCATCAGACCCCAAGGCTGATCTTTAAATCTCCTCAGAACAGTTTCAGGTCAAGGGCAAGAGCTTCTGAAAGAGTAAACAGTAGCAAAAAATTAAAATAGTGCTCATGCCTAGGGGCTCTAGGCATAATTCTGATACCTTTGAGTCAAAGCCATGTTCCCAATATACTACGTGTATTAGCATCAGATATGAGTATCTGGCCTGGAGAGTGACTGGCTGCTTTCTTTGATGACTGCACTTCTGCTGGTTTCACTGGGACAGTGTCACAAATCCACCTTAGACTACTGTCAGGAGATAGTCTAATCTTTCTTTTTCCCAGCTGCTTTTAGATAAATTCTTTCACATAGCCATATGCTAAAGTAAGCCATTTTTAACACTGAAAATGTTAGAAATTGGTGGTGTTAGAAATGTTAGAACTGATTTGGTGGTGTGTTTTCTTTCCAAATGAACAAGCTGGTCTTGTGGAAGAGGAGTACTGGAGAGCTGCCTTATCAACTTAATATATATATATATTCTTAACAGCTTTCTCATGGATTCATTGGACAGTGTTCTTTTTCTCAAGAAAATAGACAAATGTTGGCAAGACCATTGCAGACAAATGGTAAGGATTATTACCCCTTCAAATGATACTCATGCAAGCTTGGGTCAGAAGATAGCTCCCCTCTTGCAATTCCCTAAAAGCTGGCCTAGCAGTGGAGAGGTATCAGGGACGGTTGGAGCCATTTCTGAGGGTCCCATGAGCAAAGGAATCTCTTCCTGCCCTCCCCTCACTCAGGCAGAAATACAGCATGCAATCATAGCTTTGTGTCTATATGACACTAGTGATTTATATTTAGATTTGTTTGTTACATTGCTCATCCTTGTGCTGACAGTTTGCATTCATATGCAGTTCTTGGAAGCCATCAAATGTTAATGAATATGTGGAGAAAATGAAGCTCCACAGGATGGCAGGAAGGGGGACCAGCTGTTGAGAGTGCCTTTCACTCTGCTCTGTGGCTGAAACATGCAAATCAATGAAGTGATTAAGAAGGCGTGAGCCATTCATGATAAAGATCATGCGGGTGGTCCCTAAAATTCTATTGTATTTTTGACTTGCAAAAGTTGCTGCCAATAAACATGAATATTTGGGAATAACTCCTCCTAAAATCGGTGGCTTTCCCTTCCACATAAGCATATATGGGAACAGAGCACAAGAATTATCTTGAGTTGGTACATACAGTAGTCATTGTGCTTTAACATTTGTCAAAATGTTCATGGCTTGTCTTTCCTGTTACAGATAATGATTAGAAGTATCTTTTTGTTCCTGGATCGAACATACGTTCTTCAAAATTCAATGCTGCCATCAATTTGGTGAGGATAAAGAGAGTAGTATTGATTTCAGATTTCTGAAATCTGTGTCAAAATATGGATTAGCAGTTTTTCTTCCCTTTCATCCTGACTTAACCATGGGAATTATCCCCTCCCCTAATTTTCATTTAAAAAAACAACAACTGCTCTTGTGGGGGTGGCAGTTTGAGGCCGAAGTTGAGCTAATTCAGCCCGCTCAAACTTAGAAAGTATTAAGGGTCTACAACTCATAGCAGTGGTCTGTATATGCATTTATTAAAGACTAGCCATGGTAGTAATGCTGCAGATTAGGAATGAGAGAGGTATCCTAGATAAACTTGGCAAAGTGATCCCTGCTTTTCAGAGGTACAAGTTTGGTTTGAGGTGTTTTAAAACGGCTGGTGGGAAAGCAGAAGGCTGCAAATCTGAAGCAGTTGACTGTCCTCTGATTTGTGTAATCATTTTAACAAAATGCACACTGTTAGGTAAAGCAATGCAAACCTCCCTACTTTGCTGATATTCTTATTTATTAAACTCTTTCTTGGTGACTTCTGCAGGAACCATGTAGTAAAGTTAGATCTAGGTTTCTGCCTTGCTTATTCGTTCAGTATCTGTGGGGAATAGATTTCAGAATAGCTAATATGATGTCTCCAGGCTTTTCCCATCCCTGCCCCAAATATTTCTCCTTCCCCCCACTGTAAGGTTGTTTTCCTAACCTTGGAAAGGAACTAGAATGGTTCTTTCAACACTTGGCTGCAAGTAGGAGGGGGTCAGAGTTTCAGTTCCCAGCTCCCAGTGTTAGAGCATTATCTTAAACCTTGGATCTGGGCATAGGATTGCTTCCTCCAATATTTACCCAAATTCCCATTCAAATGAGTTGGTCTACATAATGCATATGCATTCCTGTGCATTGCATTCTTCCACATGTGAAGAAGACAACAGTTTGCAACAAATTTTGAAACTAAAATGTTGCCTCATGATGATCCAGTTAGGTAATTTGAAAGCTGGCAGGCCCTTTCCTACTTGTCAGTGATGACTGAAGCCTGGAGAGGCACTTACTTTAAAACACAATACTGAGATGGTGCAAATATTGGACCTACCACTGCAACTTAGCCTGTCCCGTTTTTTCAGGGTAAACTTTGGAACCAAAGAGTGCAGGTAAAGACAGACAACCACTACTTTCTTCATGGTGGAGAAGCTTATAAGAGCATGGCCCCTACTTTGTCTCAAAGTGTTCAGAAAGCAATATCTGATCTAAGCTGAGAACTATTCTGTCTGGTTAATTGCTCAGACAAATCACAAAGTATAAAAACATAATATTAAATTAAAATAACAGCACAGTTGAATATTTGCTGATGGACTCTTCTTCATTATGGTGATTCCTTTGCAGGGATATGGGGCTCGAATTGTTTAGGACTCATATAATTAGTGATCAGAAAGTCCAGAATAAGACCATTGATGGGATTCTTCTGTTGATTGAGAGAGAGAGAAATGGAGAGGCTATTGACAGGAGCCTTCTGCGTAGCCTTCTAAGCATGCTTTCAGATTTGCAGGTAAGTAAGTGTTGTTTACCATGTAGAACTAAAATAAAAATGTCCAAAATAATGCTTGGCATTCTAAGGAAAATGATCCATTTCTGTTTTCTCAGATTTATCAGGATTCCTTTGAGCATAGATTTTTGGAAGAAACAAATCGCCTATATGCAGCAGAAGGACAGAGGCTTATGCAAGAGCGCGAGGTATTTCAGAATCATGTTTGTAACATTAACTCCTGGCTATGATGGCAGAAAAGTACTTCCCATGACATGTTCTACCCTGGTGAGAGAGCTGCACTGGTATTGGAAAGAGAGTATTGCTGTAACTATAATAGGACTTGCACACCCTTTCCTCCAATTTGGTTCTTGGACGTTATCTCAGAAGAAGTTGTCTGTAGCAGTTACACATAATTCTGATCTTGCTTAACCTTTTCCCCATAACTTCTCCAATCTTGTAGGTTCCAGAATATCTCCATCATGTCAACAAACGCTTGGAGGAGGAGGCAGACAGGATTATCACTTACTTGGATCAAAGCACTCAGTAAGTGTGTCTGGGTTTCTAGAGCAGCCATGTTAATCCGTTAAAGCAAAAGCAACAAGGAGTTGTGTGGCATCTTAATGAATGTAGGCTGTTCTTCGTAGCTTTTATAGACTGTAGTTCACTCCAGCAGATGCACAAAATGTTAATCAAGAATTCCAGGATTATATTCAGTACTCTCACTTGCGGAGTGCAAAGGTGGAATTGTAATCTGTGAGTTTAGAGAGAAATGAAATGCAGAAATACTTTCAGGAGCAAGCCCAGTATTAACAGTGGTCATTGAGAAAATAAATATTGCCCTCTGGTTACAGCTCTGCCTTTTGGGGTCATTTTCTAGACTCAAAAGATGATGCAAGACAAACATGTATTTGTATAGATTGTCTTAATGTAAGCAAGTTAGCGTCTCCAAAAATGACGAGTCTACAGTTCAAACTATGCAAAACATAAGGCTACAGATAAGATGAGTAATATCAAATATTTTTCCTCATCCATAGCTGTATTAACAAGTCATTACTTGTGACAGCACTTTTTCCAAAGAGCAGGTGGTCACCATACACTAGTGAATCCAGTGTGAATTGGCTCTTTTCCCTTCCCTTCCTGCTTCCCCCATGGAAATTGTGAGTTTCTCAGAGCCAGAACCTGTTCCATCTCTCTCCCCCTCCTCCCCATCATACCAATGATACTAATAAGCAAGGAGCCAGTTTTGCAGCTTCTACTTGGAAAAGTGTGTCCCAGGAGCTTACCTGTCAAGCTGCAGTGAGAATTCAGAATGAAGAAAGTCAGTTTCATAACTCTTCAGCAGTTGCTTGAACTAGGCAGTTGTCCCACCTCTTTAAAGGTGATTAGAAAGACCAGGTGAACACAAACTAAGTCTAAAAGAATCATAATGGAAATCCAAAGAACACGACTGCAATAAGAGGGATAGGAGCATATGATATGTAGATTTCCAGTTGGAATGAAAAGGGTGAACAGAAGAAGTGAAATTCTAAATATTTTTCTTCCTTTAGGAAACCACTAATTGCTACTGTAGAAAAGCAGCTGCTAGGTGAACATTTAACAGCCATTCTACAGAAAGGTAATCTTTCTTTATAGAAATTTTTTGTTTTCAGCTTCTTCAGGACTTTCAGTTCCCTTGCTGGCAATTACCCAATCAGCAGCTGCTGCTTTAACCCCCTTGCCTACTCAGTTCATGAATTAACACTGAGCATTGTTCAAGAGGAAAACAGGCAGGTCCTGTTACCATCCTTGGAGTTAAGGAGCCGGAGTAGTGCTGTTGGATGAATTTATGGATAAAAACAAATTATGCCAAAACTGGCTAAGGTCAAAATGCCAACACTTGTCAAACCCGTATGGCACTATGAAGCAGGTGCTTGCTTTGAGACAAAATGGTTGCCAAGCCTCAGGAGGCAGGGCAGATGAGTTGCTCTGTCCTGCAAACAGCATGCATAACTCTGTCTCTTAAACAGTGTAATAAAACTCATTTTATGGTCTGTAGAACAATGCCCTTTTCAATGGGATGACATGCATGCTGTCTCTTAAAGGGCTATTAATGTAGGGTTGTGCTGGACAAGCCTCTTCCTACACTTTGGTGGAACTGGGGACATTATATTAGCTATGGAAGCCCTGAGCAATATCCGAGAATGCTGCTGTAAAAGTTGTACCAGAACTACTGGAGAAAGAAACGGATTATTGCTTAAGGACAGGAAGAGGGCTGCTGAAACAGACCAAAGGCCCATTTTGGCCAGCATGTTGTTCTCACATGGACCAGCCAGCTGTCTCTGGGAGGTCCACAGGCAGGACATGGATGCAATTACACCATAATGTCCATGCTCCCCAGCAGGTGTTATTCAGAAGCATAGTCCCATGATACCAGATATAACACAGCTGTTACGAACAGCACCTTGTGGATATGTCTGACTCCCTTTAAAAGCCATCCAGATTGCTGTAATCACTATGCACTGCCACTTTTAACCCCCCCCCCTTCCTTTAATATTCTTGGGTGTGAAAACAATCACATTGCTCCAATTAATTGTGCAGAATTGGAATTTGCCTTTACACATACTGCTTTCATCCCGCCTGTACTCCAAGAAGCTCAGGAAAAGACAAACACTTATTTCTCTCTCACACACAGCACTGTATACATTTTATCTTGTTTGAATGGACGACAGTAATTTAATGTTAAGTAGGCATCATGTGGAGTAGGAGACACAGGGGTAGGATCCAGTGATGGCTGTGCTCCAAATTGGCAGGAAATAGGTGCCAAAGTGGAAATTTGCCTTGGAAATCTGAGCTTGTTTTTTTTAAAGAGTAAAAACAAAAACATGGACCTTCTTGGTCCAAGTGCTGTCCAGAAGCAAAGAACTCCTTCCATTGTGCATAAGAGTTTCTACGAATGCCAGAACATTTCTTCTTTTTTTCTTCTTTAAGAGCACATTTTATTTTTACCAGTAGAGCTCTAAAAATGGGTAGTGCTCACTAAAATGCTTAGAAGCTAAAGCCTTGGGCTGAGGAAACTAGAACTCTATATTGACTGAAGGTACAATTCAGACAGTAACCTGTAATTAAGCATTAGGGTTCTAGTTTATCTCTGACAAAATTTCCATATCCAAATGGTAGTAGGAAAACTATTTTCTTTGTCTTATGGGTTAGGATGCGATTTGAAGTGTTCTGTTAAGCATATATTAATTCAGAATAGTTGATAATGCACCTTAATCTTGCAGGTTTAAATCATCTCCTGGACGAAAACCGAATTCAGGACTTGTCTCTACTATATCAGTTGTTTAGTAGGGTTAAAAATGGAGTGCAAGCACTTTTGCAGCAATGGATTGAATATATAAAGGTACCAGTGTCTTGCTCATTCCTATCTGATACCTTACTGCAGGGGTGTTGAACCTCTTTCAACCTGTGGACCACATTCCAATTTAGAGGAGCTTTCAGGGGCCACATTCTAGTGCTGCGCGGGAGCAAAAATGCTAGCATATTGTAGTTGAAAGCTCTTTCTGGCAGTAACCAGGGCCTTTTTTGTCATAGAATGCACCGGAATGGTGTTCCGGCACCTTTTTTTGATGGATTTTTCCAAGTGATTATGAATCGCCCTGTTGGGCGTAGCAGGTCGGCAGCAAAAATCTTTAACATAGTGCCTGCGGGCTGCTTGTGTGTCAGCACTGATTGTCGGCGCTGATTGTGAGGGCACTGCTCGGCTTGGGACGCTGCTCGGCTTGGGATCGGTCGTGTGGTCGCGCGCTGAGTGCTTACTGCCGGCGGCGACCATTGTGTAAGAGTGTGACCCCAAGACGTGGGTACCATCACCTTTTTTTTTTAACAAAAAAAGCACTGGCAGTAACTAACTCTTGCAAAAGACATCTCACCAATTAAAATGCGGGAAAGAACTTCACAAAGCTGAGCAGCCAATGGAATGTGGCCTGTGCAGAACCTCGGAGGGCCAGATTGAGATGCTCAGGCCTGAGGTTCTGCACCCTTGTCTTATGGAAACAAGTCAGTTTTTACTGGAATGGAGAAAGATGCATCCATAATAGCAGATTTAAAAAAAGACAAAAGGCTGCCATACTTAGTGTACGTACCTGCATGCATGCATATGCCACACTCATAGCCAGTTGAATTTTATTTCTTATTGTAAATGTGCTACCTCTGTGCGTACATACTAAGACATCCGAAATAATTTAGAATAGTCCACAAACCAGAATGAAAAGTACTTGGACAATTGGCAAAACTACATATAACAAACATCAACTTAGATGTACAACTGTGCAAAAATAGATATCCTAAGATGGCATCCCAGAAACCATCTTCCAAAATCAGAGTTAGTACACATCCATGTGCAACTCTAGGAGGAAGAAGACTGGCAACTCACAGTCTGTTCCAGCCGGCACGCCTCAGCCAATTTTCATTGCCACTGTTAAAGGTTTCGTCACAATTACTGGGTGTTTGAGCTGTGTGGGTCAGCCAGAAGGATTGTGTTAGAAATAATATTTCTCTTTTTCAGGCCTTTGGCAGCACCATTGTAATTAATCCAGAAAAGGACAAAACCATGGTCCAAGAGCTGCTCGACTTCAAAGATAAAGTTGATCATATAATTGACATTTGCTTTTTGAAGAATGAGAAGTTTGTCAATGCCATGAAAGAAGCCTTTGAAACTTTCATCAACAAAAGACCAAATAAGCCTGCTGAACTCATAGGTACATGTTCTATTATGTCAAGAATTGCCAGAGGGGATGCCAAAAGTGCTTATAGCTCAGTGGTATAGAGCATACAGGTCTTGCATACAATCTCCACCACCACTAATTTGAAAAAGAAAATCGGGTAACAGCAGCTTGGAGAGGGCTCTGCCCAAAATCATGGAGAATTGCTGTTAGTGAAAGTAGAAAATCCTGGGCTGGCTGGACAATAGTCAGTGAAAGGAGTTCAAAGCAGAGAGTTTTTCACTTTGCAGTGGAAGGGGTTCAAATAAATTATTTCACAATGCTCCTGCAAAAAATGCAATTGCAGTTAGAACAGCTAAAGATCCCTCATAGAAACATAGAATCAGCACGAGTCAGAAGGGTTTCCCGGGCCATCTAGTCTGACCTCTGGCACCAGCCGGCTCCACTCACGACATGCCCACCATGTGGATGTCCAGCCTATCCTTGAACACCCTCACCGATGGGGCCTCAACCACCTCCCGTGGAAGCCCATTCCACACCCTCGGGGTGCTGACTGTCAGGAAGTGCTTCCTGGCATTCAAATGGAACCTTGGCTCCCTGAGCTTTGCTCCGTTGGAGCGCATCCTGCCTTCCTCTGCAGGGGATTTTTTTTTTAACTGAGCTCTGATTTACTCCAGTCCAGCTGAATGTGAGATGGAATTGGGGCCAGCTTCTAATCAGGCTTGATACAAAGCCTTTACCTATGTTTAGTGAGCAAGGAGGCAGAGTAGAGAGAGAGTTCCTTTTTACGTTTGTGTACACAGTATTAAGTTCCATTCCATTTACCTTCCTGATGTGACAGCTGACAGAAGCAGTGTGATACACTTCAGAGCACTTCTTGTCTTAGAATTTGCCTTGGAAATGAGCCAGTGGAATTTGCAGTGCAAAAGAGGCTGCTGGTGTCCCTACTGTGGTCCTTTGAGCCACCAGATGAAGGACCTTTTACATCTTCATTTTTTAAAAGTGCACTTTGTATGTCTTTGCTGGCATTTATCTTGGTTACTAGAGCATTTATATTCTGTTCTAAAGTCATGGCTTTATGTTTTAAAAAGTGTCAGGTAATTGCTGGCATAGAAATGTAATAAATTGCTGTGGCACAATTGGGCAGCATACAAATGTTTTAAGTAAATAATAAAGACAAATTTTCTTTCTGTAGTTCGTGTTTAGAACTGTTCTCTTCCCTATTTGTGTGTTTTTTTTCCCAGCTAAGTATGTAGATTCAAAGCTTCGTGCAGGGAACAAAGAAGCCACTGATGAAGAGCTCGAAAAGATGCTGGATAAAATCATGATTATATTTAGATTCATCTATGGTAAGAGCTGTGCTTTATCTTAACATTATGCAGCTATATGCACATATGCAAGAGTAGGTTCAGCAAGGATTTAATGAATTTCAAGCTTACTTGCTGTTCTCCCAGTTGCTTTGCCAGGATGGCTACAGTTTGGGTCGAACCTGGGGGTTCAGAGTTTCAGCCCCAGTTGAGGCAAATACCTACAATCACATAACATAAGAGGTTAATGCTTCTATACTACTTTATGCACATAATCAGTTCTTTAAGAATCTTTCAACTGTGTTGACATAAGAAAGTGAGGGCATAAAAGGATGTTGCTTCTGTCTGGCCCGCAAGCTCCCCACTCCATGTCACTGCCTGTCAAAGTAAATTCTCACTGGAGGTGGCAAATGATTCCCCTAGGATGCGAAGATGGCATCCAGAAGCCACATATTGATGATCTGCAATGTAAAGAGACCGTTGTGCTCGAGTAGAACTCTTTTATCAACTAGTATTTCTTCTGCAGGAAAGGATGTTTTTGAGGCCTTCTACAAAAAAGATCTAGCGAAGAGGCTATTAGTAGGCAAAAGTGCATCAGTGGATGCTGAAAAATCCATGCTTTCCAAACTCAAACATGGTAAGGCTGCCCTCTGTCAAGTGCGTGTGGCACACATGTGCATTTTCATAGCAACTCCTCAACATGCGTAATCATAAAGTAAGTTAACTGAACATTCTTTATCGTTATGGGGTGTGCAGTTTTCCTGCACAGAGAATTAACCCCATTAAGAAACACGTTGTATATGAAGTAGGCCTGAAATGCTTCACCTTCAAACATCTTCAAAATGTCCCATTTAAAAGAGACAAATGATTATATTTCTAAGTAGTTATTTGCATGGGAAAGCAAATGGTGAAGTTGGGCACACTGTGCTGGCTTCAGCTGTGTGAGGGCTTTATATCTGGAAAAACAGAATATGCAGAGGCCTCTTACACATGCAGGAGCTCTGAGGTACATGAAGCTCCCATGCATACAGTGACTTCCCTGTGCACATGCCATCAGCACCCCTCTCCCGCTTTGCTCTTATTGGGGATCTTGGCTCATCAGGAAGTCTGTGGTGTATTGCGAGACATCTGCTAAGTCCTGCATCTGTTCATATGTGCTCAAAATGTTCTCTCAGTGAATTTACACATGCTGCATGTCTGTGTGTACTTCATGCATCTATAGTGAATTAGAGATGATCAAAACTACAACAAAATGACCTAGTTTGCACATAACAATGGCAAATCCATACCAGGCATATGTTGTTCTGAATATTGAACCTCCATTTGGGAGTTGTTTTGTGACGTCCAGACCTGGGCACTATATCTTAATGATGGGCTAAACAATGCAGAGTTAACCTCCAATTAGTAGTTGAGTTAATCTGATTGTTTGACCACTGTTTAATCCATAGTGTCTAGATTCAGATGTCATATAGCAACCTCTCAATTGGGACTGTATATTCAAAAAGGCTGCAAGACACCATTATGTTTGAACAGTCCCAATAAATATGTGAATACTTTTTGGTACTACATGCCGCTTTTTCTGACCTTTGATGCAGTGCTTTTAATGCAGTCACTCTTTTAGAGTTGATTCTGACAGGCACAAATTTCAAACATTCAGTCCAGTATACTTTATCGCCAGTGAGAATTGCAATGCAGTTATAATTTTCACCTTGATCTGGAGCAGGAGAAGGTTCTGACAATGATATACTTTAACTCTGACACTGACAATGGCAAAATAAACTAGTTTCAATTCACCTTTTCTCCCATAGAATGTGGGGCTGCTTTCACCAGCAAACTCGAAGGAATGTTTAAAGACATGGAGCTTTCTAAAGATATCATGATCCAATTTAAGCAGGTATGAATACAAAATCTGCCATCATTATTTCTATTGAGATATGCTTTGGATTTGGAGTGATCCTGTAATTAGCTGCACTGAGGCAGGCGGGTTGGGTTGTTTTTTTGTGTGTGTGGGGGAATTGTTTGTGTTTTGCATTTTGGCAAAAACAAATGCTAGTAATTATATCTGAGGCAGAATATTGGAAATATGGATCTTCCATTCTGTCTGCCAAATTTTAGACTGGAGCATGCTGAGACTTGTAGAAATTCTTCTGTCCAAATACAGATAGGAATGTGCGCTTAATGGTTTTCCTAGAGGTAATGTACTGTAGTGAATAAAGGAAATGGACTGGCAGGATCTATATCAGATTATCTGCTTTGTCATCATGGGACTCAGTGGACGATTTGGGGTAGTTGCTGTCATGGACTAGACTTCAGGGTGATTGTGAGAATAAAATGCAGGGAATCCAGTTTTCCCCAGTCTGAACTCCTTGGAGGAAAGGCAAGGTACCCATGTAGGTTTCAAGGGACAGGTGGCTAATAAATAAAATCTGCAACCTGCTAGTAGTTTTTCATGGACAATTTGTGCTGTTTTTCTTTTTACCTGTAGTACATGCAAAATCAGAATGTACCTGGAAACATTGAACTGACAGTGAATATCTTGACTATGGGCTATTGGCCCACCTATGTGCCTATGGAGGTTCATTTACCATCAGAGGTAAGAAAGCCATAAAATTCAGGTACAGGTAATTAACTGGTTAAAGTGCTGGCTGAAATTAAAAACTAATGTGCTTAATAATTGGAACACCCAAGGCGATGGTTAAAAAAAATAATCTGAGAGCAGGATGGATGATTGGATGGATAAATAGATATAGGTCTGAGTAATCTGAATGTGAGCCTTGCTGTCTCATCATAAAATAAACTTTCTTGAAATAAAAAGACCGATATACAAAGTGATACCAGAATTATTGCTGTTTTGTTTGATTCCCATTTTTGAAGCATGTAAAGGAAAAATTTAAGATAAAAATTGAATGATTCTTTGACAGATAAGTAGCATGATTAAGATATAGATGGAAGTATTATTCCTGAATTAAAATTACAATAAATCTATTCTTAAATATTTCATAAAATGCTGGTTTTAAAATGACTGATAATCAAGCTTCAAGATATCAATATAGTATTGATGCAGCTTTTGCCAAAAATAAAGCAGCAGCTGAAGTAGAGAAGGAAGAAACATAGATAAAGTCATGGGGTTTTTTAACCTTTAAAGTGAAGCTCTTACTTCTTTTCTGTTCAGATGGTAAAATTGCAAGAAATATTTAAGACATTTTATCTAGGAAAACACAGTGGCAGAAAACTTCAGTGGCAATCAACTTTAGGACACTGTGTACTCAAAGCAGAATTTAAAGAGGTAATGCTTGCTCTCTATTGTTGTTTATTGTTTATCACATTTAGCAGCCATTATGAAGACTTGAAATGTAGCAGGGCATTTTGCTTAGTCATTCCCATTTGCACATGATTTGTGGGCTCTGGGTTCTGCTCGGTCTGCTCGATGCTTTCTTGCTTTTTATTTAATTTACTTTGATTTTGTTTCTTGGCTAGTTCTGCCACTGACATTCTATACTATGATTTGAATGACATCCTTTTGCTAATAACCGCAAGAATTACTTTCCATTCTCCCTAAAATCAGCAGAATGCAAATATGAGTTAGAACCATTTGTACTCACTAATTCAGCTGGTTGAGCAGTGCCTGGCAATGGTGACCCATGCAGTCTACGTGGGGCTGCCCTTGAAGATGGTCCGGATACTTCAATTGGTCCAAAATAGAGCTGCCAGATTATTAAAGGGGACTGGCAGATACTCTCATATCACGCCAGTCCTATATTGTCTACACTGGCTGCCAGTTGAAGTCCAGGTCCAATTTAAGGTTCTGGTAATGAGTTATAAGGCCCTAAATGGCTTGGGTCCTGGATACCTAAAGAAGAGCCTTTTTCCCTACGTGCTGGCCCGCACCTTCAGATCTGAGGCAGAGGTCCTTCTCTGGAAGCCCTCTTTGAAAGAAATCAGGAGGGTAGCCACTTGGAGAAGGGCCTTTTCAGCGGTGGTGCCCCAACTGTGGAACATGCTTCCCAGGGAGGTTCACCTGGTGCCGTTGCTTTATTCTTTTCAGTGTCAGGCAAAGACCTTTTTATTCTCCCAATACTTTGACAGTTAACTGGTTTTATCCTTGTTTTTATCATTATCAGGTGAAGTGTGCTGCCTGTTGTCATTGTTACGCTTGCTTTGTTTTTGGCTTTTCTGTTTTTTGTAAGCCGTCCAGAGACTTTTAGTATTGGGACAGCATTTTTTTAAATAAATAAATAAAATTTGCAAACACTGGATTCCTCTTGTGGAAGTGGGCTGTGAATCTGGATTTGTTAAGGAAGCTTTGTGTTTTGGTGCTGTTTTCCAGGAACTCTTGCTGTAATCTTACTGACCATCACGTATGTAGTAAGAGCAAGGCTTGCTTTACTAAGCTATGCCCCACCCCCAGGGGAACTATATGGGTATATCTAAGACCTGCTTATTGTCTTGCAAGCAGATAAGCGGTAGAGTCAGGGAAGCTGCCTTTAACAGGGTTCAAACAGTAACAGCGTAATTCTTAACAATAGTTACCAGCTACCCACTGGATGTTCACAATGACTTTCATAGCCATAGCCACTCATAAACCATGATTTAAGTGTTACAGGTGTAACTCTTACCTGCTTAAGACAGACAAACAATGAATAAGTATTTAAGTTGGAGTTCTTTGCTATAAAGGAAATGCAGATTCCTTTTTTATTTTTTGAACATTACTTCTGCAAGCAATTTCTTTATTCATTTGATGTATTTTTTGGCTGTGTTTCAGCCAGAAAGGCTGTCAGGGCAGTTTGCATAGGATCAGGGAATCAATCTATTTCCCTGTGTCCCCAGAGACATAAAAGTTTTGTTTTTGTTTTTTTTAAGTATGTTTTTGAAGGTTAATGACTTTTTTCTCCCTCCCTGACAGGGCAAAAAAGAGCTGCAGGTCTCCTTGTTCCAGACTCTAGTGCTCCTGATGTTTAATGAAGGCGAAGAATTCAGCTTAGAAGAGATAAAGCAAGCTACTGGAATAGGTCAGTGTTGAATGTTGCCTGTGGCTTGTGGTAATTAGCAGCTAAAATAATAAATGTCTTCTCTCGTGCAGAGGATGGAGAGTTACGGCGGACCCTCCAGTCATTAGCCTGTGGCAAGGCAAGAGTGCTCACGAAAAGCCCCAAAGGCAAAGATGTGGAAGATGGGGACAAATTTACTTGCAACGATGACTTCAGACATAAACTGTTCAGGATAAAAATCAATCAGATCCAGATGAAAGAAACGGTACCTGCTTCTCTTTCAGCACATGGTCCGATATTGTCTGGGCAGTGCCTCAGTCAACTGGAGGCAATTTAGTGGCAACCATATTGACCTCGGCTCCCCGTGATTCAGCATGAGTCACCTAAGCCATCTACACCCAGGAGTAGGCGGCAGGGACTAGACAAACCTTCCGAGGGGCATCAAGAAATCAGGGCTTTGGCTCATTACTAGTAAAGTTACAAACTCACTACATTGTACATTAAACTATACATATTTCTATAGCTTTTAGCTTAGTAGTTCTTTATATTGCATGCTTCCTGGTTGAGAAGTTCATGACTAGGAGGCACTTGCTGGTTGTCTGTTAGCCATAGCTCATTGTCTTAAAATCCTGCTTACCTTTACCTTCCATTCTCTTCCTGTTCCAAAGCACCTTTTCTGGATAAGGTCTGGAGATAAGAATAGTGTTTTGTCTCAAGTGCTTGCATTAGAATTTACTCTGACTCCATGTTTTGAATCAGAACTCCTTGTGTAGAGTTGATTTTAGCTGGTGCTACAACATTAGATTTCTTGCAGTGCTCCCAAAAAGACTTTGATAGCCCCATTAACACACAGTGGGAGTAAATTATGGGTTTAAGTAATTTGTCACAGTGCATACTACCACTATTTTGAATATGCAGCCTCTGAGTGGATGTTATCATGTGAGAACTAATCTTAGGTTCCTAGGGTTGTTTAACCCACAATTAACCCATAGTTTTTGGTTTCAGGCATCACAGGATAACCTTTAATCAGAGATTGCTTATTCAAAATGGCTTATGACTGCCAGAAGTTGTGGGTTAATAGGCCACAGTTTGCCAGTCTTACATGTAAACTAAGATTTGTTTTTTATGTAATGCATTAGTTAAAAAACAAACACTATAAACACAATTCATAGAGCAGCCCGTAAGTGAAGAGAACCTTATAAAGCACTAAAAGCAATCAATAAATTAAAAAATAACATCTTATTAAAAGACCTGGAAAACTATTTTCATCTGGTACTTAGTCCTGGGCAGGGCATTCCAGAGCCAGGAAACCACAACTGTGAGAGAGTTGGATTCTCAGTTGTTACCTGTTTAACCTCAATAGGCAGAGCACCAAACGGCCACCCTCTCCGGTTGCCCTTGATAAGCAAACAAGGCTTGCATGGAAGTGGGCATCTTCAGGTGCAGGGCAAAGCCTTGCAGCAGCGTTCTTGACTCTGACCCACTACAGGAGACTTTCTCACTTAAACAGTCATCACAAGGCATAGGGGGCACAAGGTGTACGAACTGGAGAAGACCGTGTGCTGTAAATTTTGCACAAACAACCCAAATGAACTACTGTTTGGAATTACCCATTTACTTCTGGATGAAAAAGCTTGATTTATTTTGATTTCTAGTTTATATATTTTCCCAAACTTCTTATGTTGGCAGGTAGAGGAACAAGCAAGCACTACAGAGAGGGTCTTTCAGGATCGGCAATACCAAATTGATGCTGCCATTGTGAGAATCATGAAAATGCGCAAAATGCTTAGCCACAACTTGCTTGTGTCTGAAGTGTACAATCAGCTAAAATTCCCAGTCAAGGTAGAGTATGGATGTTGTTCTTTTATCTGTAAGTGATATGCGTGAAAGGACTCAACTTGTTTCAGCACTTTTGCAAAAATAATCATTTTTCATGTGAATCTCCAGCACAGTAAAATCTGAAAGATTTAGTGAACCAATAATTTTGGAAAAATCTAGTAAAATGGATGTGCTAGTGCTTTTTCAGTAGTACTGGGAATATGTTTTCTCAGAAACAGTGAACTAAAACATGTACCTTTGTGCTTAATGGGATCATGGTTTCCTACACAGAAGGATTTTGTAGACATGATAAAGGTGTGTCCAAAGCCACCTGCACTGTAAATGGAAAGAACAGAAATAGAATCTAACTCCTGTTTCATTTGGATGCACTTGAGAGATTTAGGTTGAAACAATATGTTGACAGATTATGCAAAATTGAACAATTATTTCAATGGAAAAATGTACACAGTGTTGCTGACTTTCTGAATTGTTTTACAGCCTGCTGATCTTAAGAAGAGAATAGAATCGTTAATTGACAGAGACTACATGGAAAGAGACAAAGAAAACCCCAACCAGTACAACTACATTGCATAAACACACAATGAGCCTTTTTTTCTGCACACGCGATGTTCTCCTTGGTTGCTGGTGGATAAACAAGCCCGTTGATCCAATTAAATTAACCTTTTTCTACTACCAATGACTGAAATGAAAGCAACGTATTGGGGGGGGTCATATAGTAGAGTGGACTTTTTCAGTGGCTTTAACATGCCCATTTAAAGAGTAGTATTTACATTTTTAAGAAGAATGCTGTTGAACTCTTTGCATGATCTTCGGTATGATGTGCAGAAAACTGTAAGGAAGTATCTGGTCTTTGTGATTCCATTTAACCCCTGGGTCTAAAGAGGAGCCTCTGTTAAGCATACAGCTATGTCCCTTTTTCCATCTCAGAGGTGAAATGTAACCTCTAAATTTAAGGATAGCCTTTTAAAAATGCTTAAACTGCATGCAAATTTCTAACTACTATACAGAATTTTTAGATTTGTTTATCAGACAGCAGTGCCTGTGTGGATTTGGCTGTCCTTCAATGACAAAAGTCAACCTCATGTTCCCACGAATACTAAACTGTTCTGCAGCTGTCAGAAAACAAATAGCCCAAGAATGGACTTCTGTGGTTGAGAAAGCATGTACCATTCATAGTCAGTCACCTACACTGCCTGGATTTGTGCTGCAAAGGGTACCACGAAGGCCTAGGCATTTAGACTCCTGATGCTCTCTTCATCCTCACATGTAAGTACTTCTAAAAAATGAAACCCATTGTCAATGTAAAAGCTGCCACTGGAGGGGACAAATCCTTCCTGTCTGTCTCTCCCACCCCTCCATGCAAAAGGATATTCTACCTCTGTTTGAATACAGAAGTTAACAATACCACTGTTGTTGGTTCAGGATTTTTCCCTTCCCCATGCAAAACAGTCCAGGGATTTCAGGCTTCTTCTTTGGCAGATTCCTACATGGTGTTATGTTATGCCAGGAGATATGCCAGTTTATGCCAGGTTTTCTTCATTGGAGAAAACACCCTCGTTTGACAATAGCACTGCTTTAGGTTAGGGGCCCTCCAGATGTCAGTGAATGCCAGTTCCTATCAGCCACAGCCATCCTCAGTGGCTGAGAGTGATGGGAGTTGTAGTCCAGCAACATTTGGGGGGCCACACAGAGCCAAGCCCCACTTTAGAGGGACATTCCTCCAGCCAATCGACCTCAACATGAGCAAACCAGGTGTCACTGTCAGTCTCCGAGGATGGTCCTCTCCCAAGCACATGCAATCATAGCAAGATAACCAGAGAGGTGTGAAAGGCAGGCTGCTTTCTAAATCCTGCAGCCTTCCCGAGGTCTCGAGCAACATTTCCCCCATTTTTACACCTCTCACCTAAACCAAACTTGATCATCTTCTGCCAGCAAGAAAAGCCCTTCTGCTCCCAGCATTCCCCAGCCAGCGTAGCCAGAAACTCTAGGCCTTTATTTCTGCCTAAGCATGAATGCCCCCATGGTACTGCACTGCCCCCCTCTTGCCCACCCTCCATGCAGAAACCCCTCCTGGACATTTTTAGACCTTATCTAGAACAAAGAAGCAATACTTCCAGCAGGCAAAACTGCTGCTCCCTGGACACTGACTAAACTTGCTTGGAGAGCTGTGTGTGCGGGAACGCTCTGGGGAGATGGTGACTAAGAATTCATCACAAGTGTTTTAAAAAAAATTGCCACTAGCATATGATTTCCCATGTATGTGATATTTTGATCCCCCCCCACCCCGAATTGGAGGAGGTTGAAAAATGTTCACAACATAGGAGAGACGGAAGCAAAGGGTGTAGTGCTTTTGTGTGGGTTTGAAGCGGTGAAATGAGGCTTATGATGGAAAAATTTGATGGGGGTTGGAGGAGTGATTTCTTCACAGATGGGCTTCAGTTAGAACCACAGGACTTGCCATGAAACGTCCTTTGGTCCGATAACTAAAGTCGTCACCCCAAGGCACCCCAGATTTTGAAGAGTGCTGGCAATTTGGATCATGCCATCCTGTACCCACATTTTTGTGGCACCAAAGGCAGTGCATTAACACATGGCTAAGGAGAACATGAACAGAGCCTGTTTCTCAAGTTCTTGAGAAAACCAGCCACACCCTCGTTTACTAATTTTCCCAGGGAGCATCGCTAAATCATTCTCTCTCTCTGCCCCTGATTGATGTTCAGATATGGCAAAAACTACTTTCCAGCCATATTGTCCAGCAGCTTCTTACTGCTGGAATCACGTGCCTGCTTTATTGAGCCATAAAGATATTTATAATAGATATTATATATAAATACATTTTTTGCCGTGGGCTTTAGACTATAACCCACACAGCTTATCTGGCCATACATTTTTAAATCTTTCCTCTTGTTGCATGCAGTTTATAGCTGCCTCATTTATAAGAAATTGCCATTTATTCTGATAAATATTTTAGTTTGGGATTTTGGTTTTTTTTTTTTTAAATAAAAAAGCTTTATACCCAACAGATTGAATTATTTTTTTTTTCTTGGCTGGTTTAAATACATTTAAGAAAGTGGCCGTTTTGTTTCAAAACTAATAGCAAAAATTAGTTTTGAAAAATTAGTGTTGTAAAAATTGTTTTGTTCTATAGCTTACACAAAGGTGCCAAAGTACATATAGTTAATTAAAAAGTAAAGTTAGAAACTTGTTAAGTTTACTTTAGCTGTGGTTTTACCTTTTTGATCTTTCAGATGCTCATTTTATGTGTTTGCGCGTGCACACATTTCTGTATGTGTCTGTGTGTCCTGGTCTCTTAACTTCTCCAAAGCATACCATCTGTCCTAATGCTTTATCTTTAAAACAAACGTTTCTGTGCATTTGGAGACACCACTTTTACTTTTAGTGATTTCATATAATAGGGTGAGCATCTCCTTTTTTCAAAAATGTTTAAAGTTCTAAGAGTACAGCAGCATTCAAAAATGTAATATACTTTTTGTATAAAAGACATTCTTCAGAAGAGTACCATTGGAGTTTTGGGGAGGGGAGGGGCGGGGCAGAAAATACCCTGTTCCTTTTAAGAAGCCTCTTCAGAGGCTGTTTAGAATATGAGGTTGTGCTTGTTCACTGCGTAGAAATGTTACACAGGTCTGCAAATGGGGCATGTCAGCATTACGTCCTTCAGTTTTAAAGAAAAAATCAGATGTTTCATAAGAAGTCAGCAGATGGGTACAGAGTATCTTCTTTGGTAAATAATGTAAATATATGTCCTTTAAAAAGAGTGAGTCTGTTATCTAGGTATTTTGTGTCATTTAATAAATAATAAACAGTTTTGTGTTGCTAAACTCTTCATTTTATCATGCATGGTATAGAGTGTGCTCCATGATTGCTTGGGTGTATTAAAGATGCTGTTCTTTTTGATCTTAATCAAATGGGTAGTTTCATCGTCCAAAGCAAGTCATCTTCAGGCTTGTTCTAACTGGTGTTTGGTATTGTGTGTAACAAGCTTTGGGTCCAGCAAAGCTTTGGGTCCTTTCTTCATGACCTTTCATCTTTCCCTCCAAGCTACCCACCTGCAGGTTGATCTTGGTTTACAAGAGAGAAACCAGCATAGACATTCGGGCCTGCTTTTGCTGGCTGTGTTGTGCTTTTCCTAATTGTGACATTGCCCTTCAGTTTTACAATACTCCAGTGTAGTTCACACAGTGTAACCCTAAAACCAGACCATGGGTTCTGTGAGGATCGGTTAACTCATGCTTGGCTTCACACAACATGACAGCCCCTGAGCTGGGGTGGGACAGTGCATAACCAAAAGCGTCGCCGTGCACAACTCACAATCATGTGTCCTGTTGTGTCATACAAAAGCCCCCAGATGTAAAACCAAAGAATGACTCCGCAGCTAAGAGAAGCATTGTGCCCAGCTGTGCTTTTCTTCTTAATGTTCTCTTACTTACTTTTAAATTTATATGCCGCCCACCTGTCTGTAAGGATTCTCTAGGTACAGTAGACCTGACTGCAACTCGGTGACTCTTCAGCAGCTTGCTCTGAGAACAAAAAGAGGGTTTTAAACAGCCCAGGCCGCACATGAGTGCCAAAGCCTATTTGTGAAGGCTTGAAGGTTCAGAAAAGAGACCCTTTAAGACTTCAGATAAGCAAAGAGATTGGGGTTCACTCCCCATGTCAACTGAAGTACAACTAGTTCTTGCATTTGGGACAGCTGCGGGGAGCTCTGAATTTTTCCCTGGGAACATATGCAAGATGATGTCAGTGTGTTCGAAGCAAATGATGTATCCCTTCTGAGCATCATTGGCCAAGCATGTTCCATTTTAGGCACCCTCAGAGAAGCAGGACCATTAGAATTAACATGGGGTCAAATGTCCAACATCCCAGATTCCTAACACATTCCCTGGAAGAAACAAACATTGCTTACCTCCCACTCTGGAGTAAGGGAGTAAAAGCTGATTTTGCTAAGCCAGTTAAAAAGGATCATTCTATTGGGGGATTGTGTGCTTTCTCTGTTCAATGCCTGTTTCTTGCATGTATGACTGTCCACCACAGGGATGACTGCAACTCAGATTGTCTTTCTCTGGATTAAGCAGCAGCCCTTTTGTGACTCAACTAGCTTTGAATATTGAGGTCACAGAGCTGAGCAAATCCTAGCTGCTCAGGTCGAACCAAATGTGACTGGCACCGCTGGCCTCGCTTCCCAAGAGGATCAAGGCAACTTGAAAGCTCCAGAGAGCGGCTGCACTTTTCATCCATAGCAGATGGATAGGTCGTGCCTGACCCATCACAACCCCATGGACAGCATTCCTCCAGGCTTTCCTGCCCTCCACCATCCCCCGGAGTCCACCCAAGCCCACACCTACTGCCCCAGTGACTCCATCCAGCCCCCTCAACCTCTACCGTCCCCTTCTCCTTTTGCCACCAATTGTTCCCAGCATCAGGGTCTTCTCCAGTCAGTTGTTCCTTCTCATTAGGTGGCCAAAGTATTTGAGTTTCATTTTCAGTATCTGGCCTAAAGAGTAGTCAGGTTGATTTCCTTGGAAGATTGACTGGTTTGATCTCTTTGCAGTCCATGGGACTCTCAAGAGTCTTAGCAGATGCCTTGGCCTTCCGTCCAGCACTCCTCCACCTGCGCAACCAGGAAAAGCACTAAGTCCAGGACTACTGTTAAACTATGCCACTATGCTGCTTCAGGAGTGGGGAATACACTCCGCTCCAGAACAACACTACAGTTACCCAGAAACATGAAACCACTTGCCCCCTACGAGTATGTATGTACAAGCTGCTCTGCCTCCCTTTACTCTCAGGGCAACAGGTGGCCAGAAACGACAAGGTATTTTCTGTAGCAGCAGCAAGCCAATCTAATTCCAGTTTTGCTACTATGCAGCTTTGCCTTTTGTAATGTGTTTTGACAAGAAAAGAATAAGTTGATGTTTTTCTTCTGTTTTAAGCTACTCTGTGTAGAACCTTTTAGATTTTTTAATGCTCTAACAGTGTATCCAGTAAAAGGCCAGTGAAAATAGATAAAATCTGCAGGTTTCAAGTTCATTAGCTGCTGCATGGCAGGGAAAAAGTGTGTGGATGAGTAGGAGAGAGGGGTGGCTAGATGAATGAACAAGGGTATTCTTGCCCACTTTTGGCTTTGCCATTGCTGATGGCATCTGATTCCTGACTCCTTCCAGAAAACGTGGTCCTTCAATCCACACTAGAATAGCTGCCCACTCCACTAGTACACCTAAAGAGCCCCATGTGCGATAGAAGCTACAAGTGCTGGGCTGGGACTCAGGAACTCTGGTCCCCATTCAGTCATGGAGCTCACTAGATGACTTTGGGCCAGTCACAGACTCTCAGCCCAGCCTACCTCACAGGGCTCTTGTGAGGATAAAACTGAGCAGGAGGAAGAGAATTAGTTAAGCTGCCTTGAGTTTCTTGAAAAATGGAAGGTTATAAATATAGTAAATCTCAATGGGTGTAAAAATCAGCTTCCAATGTCAACAGAGTTTAGAAATTTACATTTTAACTTACAAAGTATCTTTCATGGTAAACTAATTAGGCATTTTTCGAAGGATCTTGCTGAAAAGTAAGTCAGCAACTTCTAAGAGGCTTTAGTGGGAGGTGGCCCTATTTACTCAGTGGCTCTGTGCCATCAATCTTGTATATGCACACGAAGAAATCAGAGGCATGTGACTTCCTAGCATTTGCCAACTGGATGTTCAAAATTGGTCAAAATTCTTGTGTAGTAGCTACCAAGATAGTCCATCGGGACAGTGAGAATTTTGGCAAAACTGCAGGACTACCAATCATGCCCTACAGGGATAATTTTCATATATGATTTAGCAAGGCACACTGAGTAGGATTTCAGTAAAAGGTTTGTACAAATGTGCTCCTGAATCTCCCACAAATCCGTTTCACAGAACCAGCCTAGGTTTGCTTTAACATCAAACAGAATTACTTTAAGTTTTTTATTTAGTTTGTGTATGATACATTAATGAATGGGCTCTTTGTTGATGAGTCCAACTGCCCAGTGATGAGAAACCTTTCCAGACTTCCGATTTCTCCCATTTGGGTTGCTTGCCTTCCTGATCTTCAGAATGCCTCTCAAATCTTGCACTGTTCGAAAAAAGCAGTGAGACATTTTTCTCCTCCCCCTCTTCCAAAGGGGTCATGCTTTGAAATGCGTTGGTGAGAGAGAGAAGGGGCAGGCCTTCACACTGTGCATAGTTAAGAGGGATCAGACAGATTCGTGGAGAAGGCCATCTACTGCGAGTTCCGGTGTGGTGTAGTGCTGAAGAGTGCGGGACTGGGACACAAGCGATCTGGATTCAAGCCCCTGCTCAGCGATGGAGCCAACTGGGTGACTTCGGGCCATTCACAGACTCTCAGCCCAACCCACCTCGCAGGGCTGTTGTTGTGGAAATAAGAGAAAGATCTAAGTCGCTTTGACTCTTTAAGAAAGAAAAAGACGCGGTATAAATCTAATAGATAGCACGGGCAGAAGGATGCTGTTGCGCTTCTTGTTTGTGGCAGCCGCTCTGGCCCCCGCGAGGACCCATCCTGCAGTAAATGGACCCTTGGTCTGATCCAGCAGGGCTTTCTCCTGTCCCCCCACCAGCTCCCCCGGCACTCGTTGCATTCCAGAGAACAGGCGAGAAAACCCCACCAGCCCCGGGCGTGCGCACCCGCGCAGCGCCCCCGCCGCCACCGCCGGCGGCCGAGTCCTCGCGGGCCCCGGCACGACAATCGCCGGGCCCCTCTCGCGGCAATTATTACAAGGCTTTCACGTGACTGGCCAGGGCGCGCTCTTCCTGAACTCCGCGTCGCCTTTCGCCCGCGGCCCGATTTAATTGTGTGGTTGGCCGCCGCCGCACCCTCAGCCTTGAGCCAGCCTTGTCAGCCCGTGGATCAGCCCGGAGACGACCAGGCATCGCTCAAGCGGCCTTTCCCAGTAATGACGCCCCCGCCCTCCGCCCCGCCTGTTGGCGCATCTTTGCATCTCCACACATGCAATATAAAGTTCTCCGTGCTTGCAAAGCATCGCCAGCCGTCCAAGTTAGAGACGTGTTAAACTTGCGGGGGGCGTGTGGATACACATATGCATGTATACCTATTTCTATCTACGTGGATTATATATAAAGCTCCCTGCGTGTACATGGTGCCGCGCGGGAGGCAGCGTTAGGGGCTGACTTACCAGGGATTGCGCCCCAAATCTTTCGTTTGGCGCCCCGAATCGCTAGGAGGTCGCTTGTCGGAGTCCCTGTCTGTAATAAAGATGCAGGGGCGCGCGGATCCAGCTCCTGCTGCTCCCCCCTTCGGAACTGTCTGCCCAGGTTTTTGCTTCAATCAAAGGTCCTCCACTCCAGCGCCCAAAGAGGCTTTTAAAGCATATATAAATTACTATTTGCTAATATATGTTTGCTTTTGCTCGTTGTCCTGTGTGTCTGAATCCAAGAACTTTTCAGTATTTGGCATGGCCGCAGCGTGGAGTAGTCAGATCCCAGCCAGAGAAGCAAGGTTAGATGCCAGGCTTCGATTTTACTACCCGATCTGCAAAGCTGCGCCTAACGTGGTTTTTGATTATCATCCTGGTTATTATTATTTGGCATTTCTACACCCCGCCATCCTGGGAGTGCAATACTTTAATCAAGAAGCCCGTAAAGCTTTAAAAGTGCAGTGAAATGGTCCCCCGTTTGAAGGCTAATTTGAAAAGAAGCCCCTTTCCATCCTTTCTAACGGCCAAGAAAGTGGGGGCTATTCCCGTTTTTGAGGGTGCACTTCCGGGGGACAACACAGGAGAAAAAAAGCCTCTTTCCGCAAACAGGCCCGGAAGGGCCACAGTTCCCTCCGAAGAACCTCTCCTGCAGACCTGAATCCCTGGGTGGGTTCCTAGTAAGACAGGCAACCCATCCTTTGACCAGGAATGAAGGTAGCTCTTCAGAGATGTTGGACTTCGACTCTTAGCAGCCCCTGTCAGTGTGGATGCTGGGACTCAGAATCCAAAACACAGGGAGATGTACCGCTTGCATGAGCCAAGAAAGCCCAATAGCAAGATTCCTAAAGGGAGTCCATATTGGTCTACTAACTAATCCAGGAGTCCTGCAGCACTCTGAAAGGCTAACGCTGACTTTATAATGGCATAAGCTTCCGCAGACTACAGCCCATTTCATCGTGGGATCGTCTCCAGGAAAACTTGTGCCAGAAGAAAACATTTTAGCCTTTTATGGTACTAGAAGAGTGTTCCTTCTTTCCACCATACCAGTGGAAGCCAGTGGTTGTGGTTACGATTACCTGGGTTGGTTACAGCAAAAATAAGAGAGACTCTTACTGTGCGGTCGGAGGCCTGTTTAAACATGGAAAATGCCTACGATTCCTGGAATGCCCAACCAGGCATGTGGGATGTCCCGATTTGCAGAACTTTTCTCATCATGCATAAAATTGCTCTCTTGGACAGAAAAAAAAAAAAAGGAAAACCCTATACATATTTGCAACGAAAAACTTAACGTGCGCGTTTACACAAGAAAAACCCCTTAGGAGCATTTCGGATCGCAGTCCCTGGGCTACAGTCGGGATGGCAAACCTTGACACCCTCCCTCGCCTGTTGCCGGAGCCGTCTCGCCCCGTGAACCGCAAAGTCCACGGCCGGGCGGGAGCGGCGCTGGGATTGGCTGGCTGGCGCCGCGAGGCCCCGCCCCGCCTGCATAGGACTGGGCTCGGCCGCCCGGCCTGCCTTGCTCGCTTGGGTCGCGCTCCTCCTTTCTCCGCTGCGGGCAAGCGAGCCGCCGCCGGCCGACATGAAGCCCCGCTGCGCCGCCGCCGCTGCTGCTGCCCGCCCCGGCCTCCTGCTGCCCGGCCTCCTGCTGCTCGGCGGCTCGGGTGAGCGACGCGGCGGGAATGGGCGTTTGGGGAGGCGCTTCGGGAGCAGGTGGCGGCTCCCCTTCATGCTTCCCCGAGGAGGGAGGCGAATCCCCGCAGCCAAACCTCGGGAGAGGAGAGGAAAGGAGGGTTTGGGGGCGGCCGGGCGGCGTCCCCGGCATTTCCGGCGGGGTGCTTACTCAGCACTGTGTCTTCTCCTCCTCCTCCCATTATTACTTTCCTCCCTTGGTTACTCTGCTGGACTCCTCGGGCTTCCCTTTGGGAGAGGCGGCTGGCAGCTGTGCGAAAACGCGGCGCAGGCTCGGCATGGCTCGCCCGGGTTGCTGCCGCCCTGTGTTTGCAACTGACATCCAAACCGAGGAAAACACAGCTCTGGAAGAGCGGGGTGCCTCGGGCTAAGTTGAGGCACAAGCAGCCCTGCGACGGCCGGAGTTCCCTAGCCAGCATAGGATGCTCCCCTCCGTTCCCTTAGTGTGAGCTTCTCTCATTACGTACTTTCGTTATTCCTGGGTTTTTTATTACTGTTGTTTTGTTCTCGGTTTCCTAGGTGCCTCTTTCAAAAAAAAAAAAAACCCAAAAACAAAACTGAAAGAAAGTTAAGGCAACTTGCACCTTTGTTGATACACTAATTTGAAATGGCTAAAAACGATTGCTCTCCTAATTTTGGAGTAGCTTGCACGCTGTGAGCAAAGGGGGTAGAAAATCTTCAAAAACCTGAGTGCCAAAAGCTAATTTAAATGTCTTAGGCTGCAACGGTATGCATACTTAGAAGAAGAAAAGCCCTGCAGCTCCCATTCTTCCCCAGCCATCTGGGCTGCTCTAAACTTAATTACAGAATAGCTGAGTTGGAAGGGGCCATGAAGGCCATCGAGTCCACCCCCCTGCTGTTGCACCACCCCACTCAGATGGCTGCCCAGTTTCTATCTGGAGTCTCCAGTGTGGGAGAGCCCACCTCCTCTCCAGGCAGCTGGTTCCTCTGTCGTATTGCTCTGACAGTGAGGAAGCTCTTCCTGATGTCCAGCCTGAATCTGGCTTGCTGCAGCTTGAGCTGATTATTCCTGCTTCATAACTTACACATCCCTTTCCCCATCAGCCTCCCCTGCAGCTGCTTGATTCTGGTTTGATTTTGCCTCAGGTGTGCTTGGGACATCCAGCCACTCCCAGAAATTGAATTGCTGATCCTGACAGGCAGCTGCCTGTTGTATCCTTATGAGAGAACATGCCCTGGCTTTATTTTCTTCACAGCATCCTTTAGTGGAGATAATCAGTAGTTCTTTATGACTGGCTTAACCCCACTTACTGCTATTAAGGTGTATGATGGGATGGACAGTGCCTCTGCATGAGTTACTGTCCTGGCTTTGTTCTACAGTGTCAGAGGTGTTCAGCCTTTGAATACTGGTTATTGGGGAACCTGAGCAGGAGGGTGTGGATGCACGCACGGGTTCCCAAGCCTCGGGTTGGCCACTGTGGAGACAAAATGCTTGTTAGAGAGGCCTTGGCTCTAATCTGGTAATTCTTCAACCTGTCTCTGCACTGAGGGGCATTGAGTGATTTGTTGTCCACCCAGAAGAGAGATGTGCAAAGCAAATCTGTGAATTCTTTGTTGCACAACAAGCTAACGCACAGCCAAGGAAGAATGAACTTTCAGTCAAATGGGGGACATCACATTGTCCAAACCAAGCCGTTCTATAAACCATGCCTTGTTGACTGCGAACAGCCCAACAACACACCATGGCTTCTCTTCATGGGTTGGTCTTGGTTGACAAACCGTGGTTTGTTCTCAATAACTCATAGAGCAACAACAACCCACAGTTCAGCAATGTTCTGAACCCTCAAATGTGAGTTATGTTGTCTCAGCCTAGTCAAGATCTACTTAAGATAGAGATCCAAATAGGTAACTATGGTCATCTCCATACTGAGAATTATTTCAAACAGTCTTGCATTCCCTGTTGCTTAAGTCATGACTTGCTTCTTTCCCTTGGGACATGTGCTCAACATGCTGATGTGCAGAATGCACATCCCTCTTGTTCTTCTCATGCTAAAAACAGAACTTCAGAAGGAGCTCCACTTTTAAAAAAATGAAATATACAGAACTCAAACCCATTCCAAGAGCATATTAAAAAATGCCTACCTGCAGTGCCCAATGAAAGAAATGGCTTTCACCCTTTCAAAATGTCAGGGTTGTAGTCCTAAGCATGTTCCAGCAGAAAGCCTTGGCAGCAGTTACTGATTTAAGAACATAAGAAAAATGAAAGCACTGATGTTTTATCTTGTTTCAGCAGATCCCTTATTAGTAAACAGCCATCCAGAGCTTGTCCATAAGCAGAACGTCTGTTTAGTTCATTTACCGTCCCGCTTCTTTCCAATAAAGCTTGTTGGGGAACATTGATAAACACACTCAGTTTCAAATCTGTTACCGTTTCTGGTTGCCAGTATGTTTCTTTTGGAATTGTCCCACAGGTACTTAAGTGCAGTGGGTGGCAGGGATGGCTTTCTAAAGGCAGGCAGGAACAAGTGTGCTTTTTAGAAAGTGTGGCTTACCTCTAGAAACTCGTGCACCTGTCATGTTAGATTTCAGCGCGCAAAACTGAGTAATTCAGGGCTGAGACTTGTATCTTGACTCTAGTTAATAGTTCAAAGCCGGTCCGTAATCCCTGTGCGTCTGCTTGAGCTGTGAGCAGCCTTTTTATGAGGCAGTTTTCAGCCACTGGCGCTGTGAATGGCTGCGGTTTAAGGTGCGGCTCCCTGGTTGAATGAGAAAAGCTGAACCAAAGTTCCTCTCACCAATTCTCTTAACTGTCAAAGAAAGGGCATGTCACTTACCCATCTTAAGAAGAATGCAGAAAAAGGATACGAGTATTCAGAATTAGTGTGCCATACAAGCAAATATTCTTTATGTACTTGAACTTGGAAATAGGCTTTCTGGGTCTCCTGAACACAAAGAGCGGCTGAGCATCGTGCAAGCGGACAGAAAGCAGGCCAACGGAAAGAAGAGTGTGGAGCGGTTGTGACTCGATGGCGGGCATAATTCTTCTGCGTGTGGGCATTATCCTCACACATAAGAATTGTTGGTATTTCCAAGAAAAGCATTTTGGGTGGTAAAGTCTGAGCAGTTGCAAAGAGCCTAACCAACCCATTGCTAACTCGGTTTAGGATAGCTTCGTGTTGAAAGTCAGCATGGGAAAGAACAGGCCTTGCAACGGTGTTGCAACAGCCTGTGTCAAAGATGTGCATGTTTACAGAAGGATTAGTTGGCTGAAATAAAACGCCTACAAACAGTCTGTTCCCTTTACTTTGTGCTCATGTGTGTAACAAAGGCCTCAGTTTTCAGTACCTCCAAAAGAAGGTGCATACAAGTACTGAATCCAGGCTTACTGGTCTAAGACTTTGGATCCTGCGGTGTCTCTTAAAAGTTTCATTTCTCCGTTCCTACTGGAAGGTGAGACTTGTTGCTTGGAAAAAGCATATACAAGTTTTGCTCCCATACCAGTGAAATAGCTGCGCAGGCTCCCCCCCCCCCCCCCCCGCAAACAATATGTCTTATTAGCATCTTTCAAAAATCATGCTGTGTAATTCTCTAACCCTAAAGCAAGATGATCTAACATTCTTAATGCAGGTTCCAGCAACAGAAGTAGAAGCAGTGTGCTAAAGATCACCTTGAAGTTCACTTTGTAGTTTGAAACAGTGAGTGCTAGGCAGGAAAAACATCTGTTCTCAAGAGCGCATTTGGTTCCGACAGGGTGAGAAGCATGTGACCAGTTGGTTGTAAGCTGATGTTTCTGGAACATTTTCCTTCCGTTCCAGCTACCTTTTTGATGCTGGATAAACACTGCCCTCTTTGTGAAACTGCAATGCTTCGGTCTTTGTTCTAATGTCACGATGGCCACAAATTTGGTACAGATCCTCATGTAAGCCTCTGTCCCTCTTTGCACATCTTGATTCGGTAGCAGGGAATAATATGGACCTGTGTAAAGTGTTTTACAAGAATGGCTAAAAATGTGTGAAGCCGCTTAGCATTACGATCTGGTAAGATTGGTTTTATTTACAGTTGTTTTCTGTATAGTGCATCTACTTTCATATCTTTAGTACCTGAATACTTGAACATGTGAACTGCTTTAAGTGTTTCCACGAAATGAAAATACACTGGAGATCTGGTGTAGTGTTTGGAGTGCTAGACTAAGAGAACTATTCTAGTCCCCACCCAGCATGGAGCTTGCTACTCACCCTCAGCCTAATCTGCCTCTCAGAGTTGTTGTGAGGATAAAAAGGGAGTGCAGGATTGCTATGCAAGCTGTTTCGGATTCCTCTCAAGAGGAAAAGTTAGGATGTAGATGCAATATAATGATCTGATAAATAAAAACCTGGTGCTATTTGTGCCAGACTAACCTGTTCCGCAGAAATCAAGCAAGCATGGCAGATCTCTGCTTCCCAAATATGAACTGGAATCATTTTGTATAGCATGGACTTGCATTCTGTAAGTAGCACAACTCAGAGTGATTTGTAGAGTGTAAGAGTCTTACACTATCCTTGACTGATTTCAAAAAATGAGAAATACCAATACCTACATGATTCAGAATTTACCTAATAGCATGTGCTGGTGTCTGCCTTTCTGGAGGGAAAAACATACAGTTGGGAGAAGTGAGTAGAGCCCCATCTGGCTCTGGATTCTTTCCACACATTTCCCAGGATAATCCTCAATTCTAAGGCTTTTCCCTTTGCCCTCTTTCTCACAACCCCACTATCAACACTCAAGCTACTTTGCCCCATGCTGGGTTCTCCTGGGCCTGAGTGAAAATGGAGACTGACAGTGAGCAGATGAACTTGGTTGCAATTGAAATAGCAAATTAACGAGCCCCCCAGATCTGTTTCCCATTAAATAGTGACTGTGTTCTGTCCTTGTGTTCTGTTCTTCTGGTTGCTGAGCTGTTGGTACATGTATGGCAAAAAGCCACTATGGTTGCGTGCAAATAAATGGAGGAATGATGTGACGAATGGCAGATGATATACACCTGACAGGCTGCGCAGTGGCGTAGATGTGCTTTTCATTTCTGAGTGTACCACGTCCCTTTTGGTCCCCTGCCCCACAATGTGATCTGAAAGTGTTGAGGTGAAGCAGCCTGTCACAATTTCATCGATAACTTCTGAAAGAAGTCTTCCAGAGTCCTGGCAGTCGTTCTCTAGAAGCAGAGCAGCCCAAGTGTCTCAGTATATCTGGAATCCTCTTCTAGAAGTTTCTGGCAATTGTGCAGAGGTCTCTTGGCCCGTGAGCTAGGTCTAAGTTTCCTGAAGACGGGCAGCGGAAAAGCACTGCTTGAAATCATGTTCTAATTGTGCCTTATCAGAGGCTTGAAGGTGTGGGCGATCCAGCCTTAGCATGAGCACAAAGCTGGATCAGACCAAAGAGCCACCTTGGCTGGCATTGTTTTCCTGCAGCGTCAACCAGCCGGACATGAGTCTTCCTGGCAGTGGTGCCTTTTCTGCAGAACGAACATCCTCCTGAGGTTTATCAGGCCTCAGTGCTGGCCTGTTTTAGGTGTGTGTTGAAAACACGCCTCTTCTTTGGCTTTTCCCTAGCTGGTATTTGCATTGTCAATACCATTGTTTGTATACACACGTTACTCTTGTTGTCACTAGCTTTTTTTCTTTGCAAACTGCTTGGAGGTCTGTTTTGAATTAGAACTAATATATAAATATTCATCATAAAGACCCGCCCCCCCCGCCCGCTTGCAGCTGTTTCAGCTGGTAGCCTTCACTGCATCTTGTGCTCATGAACGCGATGGTTTAGCCATGCGTTGTTTGAATTGGTGCTTGCCAGGATTTCCAACCATTCTCCCATTTAAAATCTTTGTTTTAATCCCTCTCAAAGTATGTTGTTAACTATCACTTGGCTGGTACTAGCTCCTCTTGTTTCCTTTTGCTGTATTCTGTAAAATTCTCTTTGTATTTTTATCATGCTCACTGTGTTGACCAAGTTCCAATGACATACTGAGGCTTGTCATAGGTTAACTAAGCCACAGTCTGCTCAGGGGCACATGGGTGCCTGACTACATATCCCACTCCTGCCCAGGTATTGTCATTCATACCTAGTGTGCTTGGTGTGAATAACCCTCGCATAACCCTAACACAGACCATAGTTTCTGAGAGGGCTGTCGAACCCTCACATAATCCGTGCTCACGGCTTAGTAGGGGATACAGATCAGGCACAGTGGCCACACAAGCAGTACTGTGTCAACAGCCCTGTTGTACCTTATTGCATGTTAGATTTCAGTGCAGGGTGTCTAGAAACCTTGCAACAAGCTAGGTATAAAACTTGTCAAGTATGGCAGCTTTGTTGACTCATCCAGGCCAGTGTGCCTTGTAACCTCATGGCTGTTACTTCAGATTCTTCTGGAAGACAAGACAATAGTCTGCAAAGAACCCTTAATATAGCTAATTAACTGTGAAGCATGTCACATTGTTGCTGGCAGCATTCAGTCAATCTTTAACTCGTCAAGTTGTAAAGTCAACATTCTTATTTTCTGGCTTCTTACTATCTTGTTGACTTGTCAATAGTGAACTTGTTCCACATAAACAGGACCAAAAAACAGTGAACTACCTAAGTAGCATGAATGAGAATTAGGAAATACTGGGGACAGGCATAGCTCTGTCTTACAAGCAAACAATATTTTAGTTCTTTTGCAGACCTGTGCTATGGATGTTGAAATGAAGGATGCTTCCAACGTCACATGTCTGTATGCGAAATGGATGATGAATCTCTCAATAACCTATGAATCAGAAGCCAACTTGTTTGTAAGTATTTTTCTGGCATTCCTTCTGCCCTCTCAGAATCTGAGGGATACCGTCTTCTGCAGTGTTACTAGTGGTAAAAAAAATATTTGCCCCACTCACAACCCGCTATTACTCCAAGAAAAACAAAGCCATTCATTCGACTTCTCTCTCCTCCCCCATTTTTATCTTCACAACTTTATGGAGATGTTGTTGTTGATGTTGATCTTCACAGCATCAGTTAAGCTGAGAAATTGATGGGTGCTTGGTCACCCGGTAAGCCGCATGGCTGGGTCAGAATTTGAACATAGATCTCTACGGTCTTAAGGAATTTTTCACCCACTGTCCCACACTAGCCGTCAATATTCAGGGAATACCTGAACGTTTATCATTTGAATTGCCTCTTCAGACGCAATCAGTAAACTGGGCTCCACTTGAGGAGGTATAAAAACTGACCAAACTGGGGGAGAAAAGTATCTGTATGAGTTCTCTTCTGAACCTAAAACAGCATGCGAAGACTTCTGGCCTAAAGCCTAGGAAGCAGCCTTGTGCTGAGTTTGACCACTCGTCTGTTTAGCCCAGTAGTACAGGCACTGGCTGACAGCCACAGCTTTCCAGAGTTCTAAGCAGGTTTTATTGGAGATAATCAGATCCTTTGCCTAAAAAGCGAAGTGTCCTACCCCTAAGCCTCAGTCCAGTCCAAAGCAAAGGAGTATTGACCTGTTGATACAAAATGCATTGATCAGTAATCGCTTTCTTTGAATCTTTCAGAAAACGACCACTTTTCCTCTCCCAGATCCGTTGTCGTATGATGGAAGCAGTTGTGGCAATGACACATATGGACCCGTGTTGGCCATAAAGTTTGGAGACGGTCATTCTTGGGCTATCCATTTCATGAAAACAAACACCTATCAAGGAAGGATCTTCATCACGTACAATACCAATGATACAGAGTTATTCCCAGATGCTAAAAGGAAAGGTCAGTGGGATTCCAAGATGTTTTACCAGAGCTATTTCAAGCTGCTAATTCTTAAGCTTTCCCCCTAGCTGCAGAAGCACCGCTGGCCATTTCCATATATGTCTAGCCAGTCTATCTGGACAAGAATTTACTCCTTGTTTTAACAAAATCTGACCAAAACGATAAATGTTCCTTCTGTACCCACTGCTTCTTTTGCAGCCTGTGTAATTGTACCTTAAGTGAATATATTCTCCTTTTAACTTTTTTAAGGACAGCTTGTCCATTAACAAACAGCTCATGTGTTGTGTTTGCAGGGCAGCTCACACAAACCTGTAGCTAAAGTGGCCTTGCTGCTTTGATTCCTCAGGATAGAATGAGATTACTATCGCATTGTATTTATATCCACCTTTCTTCCTCTTGTGAGCTGCCTTGGGTTCCTTCCAAGGTTTTCTAATGCTCCATTTTATCCTCACAACATCCCTGTGAGGTAGGTTAGTCTGACAGTGAGTGACGGGCCCAAACTCACCCATTTAGCTCCATGGCCAAGGAGGAACTGGAGAACCCAGATCTCCCAAGCCCACAGGCAAGCTACATTCTCTCTGTTTCAAAGACATGTGGAAACTTCTCAAGGGCATTGGCTGGCTGGCTGGCTTTCCTTCGTTCGTTCCTTCTTTTTAATTCCTGGTACTCCTAATTGGATGATCCTGAAATATAATTAGACTGACTTCACTTTGAGTTACAAGTCCTCTAGGAAGAACCTCATGTATTTAATTTAAATCTCAAGATTCAAATTAGATCAAAAACGAAGATCAAGTATACTGGTCTAGACAAAGTCTACATTTCAGTTCCCAAATATCCTAATAAAGTGAATTTTAAGAAGAGCCTCCCAGAGAGAAGTTTGTAGGGCATAGTTCAAGCTCTTGTGTAACATGAATCATTCTGTAGTCCTGAGGAAGGTTGTAGCTTAGTGCAACGTATTCTTTACTGGTTTGTTTTCAAGTTAGTCCCAGAGCTCTTTATCACAAGGAGAATGAATGCAGCAGCGTCCCTGGCCATCGTGCTATTTCTTACTGCAGCTTAAGAATGGCCAGCCTTATTTCAAGTGCTGCCACCCTGTGTAGACCCTGTGCCTTGATGATAACAGACTGGGAGAAACTCTTTTTCTCCAGTGCAGCTGAATATCCAATTTTACTATAAAGTCTTATCACAACAGAAAGCACTTCTGGGTATTTGCAGTCCAAACTGTGACAAAAGGGGCCAAGAAGGAAGATGTGAAATACTACTTGGTACCTGAAAGAGGCTTTTTGCATCCCTTTAAATGTTTATGCACATCTGTTGCCAGCACTGAAGATCATGCTCTCTTCTTTCCAGGGCTAATTACAATCTCTGCAAACTATCCTATCCGCCCCGTCAAATTAAATACACGTTTTGTTTGCAATAATGTGGAAACCATTGAAGCTGCCAGTGTTAAACAAGACTTCTGGAACGTCACTCTGGAGGCTTTTCCTGAGGATGGCTTCCTAAGTAACAAAGGTGAGTTGCTCCTACGAGCATTTCTCTCTTGCCATGAATGATCCCCGCAAGCTAGTCTGGTTGGCATGTACATTTGGTAACCAAATGCACCCTGTCAGAGACTAGAGATCTGACTCGGAAACAGCTAAGATTTGCTGGGACTTGCTGCTGCTTCTAGCAGCCCAGCTAGTGTGTGTGTGTGTGTGTGTGTGTGTGTGTGTGTGTGTGTGTGTGTGTGGGGTTTATTTTTTAGAAGATAGATTCTGATACAGAACAAAGAAGGAAGGGGCTGTTTCTGCACTCCCCATCCAGGGCATCTGTGCTAAAGTTGCCCGTTGCTGGTTGCCGTCAGTTCTGGGTACAGAAATGAGAGGCTTTGTGTAGTTTGGGAGAAGGGAACTTGTGTCCTTCCAGAAGCTGTGGGGTTACAGCTCCCATCAGCCTTCACCGTTGATGATCGGCAAGGGCCCGGTGGGAGTTAATCTTGACAACTTTTGAAAGGTCACAAGTCTGTCCCCACCTTGGAAATCTATATTAGAAGGTTTGGATTGAAGAGCATCTGTATTTGGCAGAATACTGCAACTCAGATATGGACCGCTAGAGAGAATTGTGTTGTTGTTTGTTGTATGCGTCCCTCTTTCACAGAAACACTGTGCGACAAGGATACTCCAAGCACACCTGCCATCGCCACTGTGGCCACGGCACCAGACACCACCAGCGCCGCCACCACCCACTCCAGCGCCGCCACCACCCACTCCAGCGCCGCGGCCACCGACTCCAGCGCTGCGGCCACCGACTCCAGCACTGCTGCCGTGACCACCCCTCCCTCAGCCTTTGTCCAGACAGTTGAGAAACCTGGCACAGGATATTACATGGTGAAAAATGGTAGCACAGCCTGTCTTTTGGCAAACGTGGCCCTGCAGCTGAACATCTCTCAAAAGGTTTTTGCATAGACGTTTAATCTGTAGGCATAGAAGCCTCGGGTTTGGAGCTGCTAGCAGAAATTAAGCATAAGTAGCCAAGGTGTAAAAACAAAAGTCTTGACAAAACTCATTGGAAGTTCAAACAAAGCCTGCTTTTTTTCCTTTTTAACTGGGTTGTACAGTTTTGAAGTGGATTTGGTGGAAGGCATAGAGCAGTTTATGGTATCAAAGCAGGTGCAAATGTCTGAGAACTGCCCCCCCCCCCCCCCCCCCCACACACACACAAATCTCCTAAAACTTTCCGGTTGTAGATGCAGAGTGAGCTTAGCTGTAGAGGGAGCCCACATGTCTGAGTTGTATGGATGCTTGTTAAGGCACTGCTTAAATCAGTTTTGCTGTTTTGAACTACGAGGCAGGGAATTGCCATTTCAGCTGAATTTAGACTATATAATTTTATGGCTGATTATAAGAGTTGATCAGTGTTTCTGAAACCTACCCGTCCTGTTTAGGCATCAGTCAAACTGATGCAGTGATTGGTGCAAGCTTTGCTCTAAGTAAGAGTGAAATGCCTGATTCTCTCGCAACCTGCAGGAACCTCTGGTATACAACATAAACCCAAACACCACTGTTGCTACTGGGAGCTGTGGCAAAGCGACCTCTGTCCTCGAGCTGATCGATGGCAAAAACAGGCTCACGTTCCTCTTTGCAGTTGTAAGTCACTCTGTGTTGCAAGTGTCAACGTTTTTCATGTCATTACAAAACCTCTGCTTGATAATGCTTTGTTGGAACTAGTAATTCCTGTAGGAAGTGTCCAGTTTGCTTCTCTGAAAAAGTGACGGGCTGTGCCAGGGAGGCTCTGTTTGACTTGGTATTATGTGACAGCATCTTGTTAGTTTCAAGGTGGCCAGGAAGGCCACCTCCAGCTATCCTTGAAGGTCTGATTCTGCACCTGCTAGCGCCTGATAAGTCTCCACCCTCTGAAAGTGTAACTAGAAACTTTAAAGTGTTTCTTGGCCACATTTCAGGGTTGGCACTTTCCCAACAGAAAAGCTCTCATGATAAACATGATGCTGTAATGGAAGAGTAAAAGCAGCAGTGGCAGCAACAGATCTACCACCATCCCCAAAAAAACCTGCATAAAATTTAACCAAGAATACAGCTGCTGCTACAGACTATGCCAATAAATCATAATCAGGGAAGCCCAGAGTGAACTTGTGCATTCTTAGTGGCTTCCTTCAATGCCTGGCAGTCTCCAGAAGCCTGAAACCAGTACAGAAAAAGTCCTTCCCACATAGTCACCCCTCCACACACACACACACACACACACACACACACACACACACACACACACACACCAGCCTTCAGAGGTGGGCAAATGAGAAGGGCCTCCCTGGCTGGCTGGAAAGTGAGGGCAGGCTGATATCCCAACTAGTTGAAGATAAAAACGAGCACTTTAAGTTAGGTTTGGAAGCATTCCAGTTACTGATGCAGCTGGTTTGGTGTATCTGAACACTTTGCCCCAGCAGCACTGTATTCCTTAGTTTCTGGACTGTCCTCAGGGGTAGCCCCACATACAGCACAGTACAGCAGTCCAGCCTGGATTTCACTAGTGGGTGCATAATGGAAGCAAGGGCAATCCTTTCCATGTAGGGCTGTAGCTGGCGTGCCAGCCTAATGGGTAAAATGCATTCTAGAAGCACGAAGGCCAGAAAGATTCCCCAGTGCAGTTGCTCTTCTAGGGAAATGCAACTCTGAAAAGCTCCTGATGTTCTCGTTGAGGCTAGTTCAGCTATACATGTAACTCCGTACATGTTTCTTTTAAACAGAAGACTGTGAACTCTGAGAAATTTTACCTGAAAGAGGTGAACATCACTGTGTCTGCATCAGCAAATGGTAAGATATGCTCCTTGCCATCCATCCTTACCCTGTTTTAAAAAGAACTCTGGCACTTTCAGCCTTGATCTGAAGGTATCCAGGCACTGGAAGCTGGGAGAGCAATGTTGGCCCCCTCCAGGGTCAGTCGTAGCAAAGGAACTCTTCACAGTCACATGACTAGTTCTCTTGCCCATAAAATAGGCAGGAGCAAAAGATGGGGAGAGGCAGAAGTAAACGCCACCCAAAGTCTTTTGTGGAACTCACACGTACTCAGAAACCTGCCCTCATTTTGCTGTCTCCAAAATCTGGGTTTGCAGATTTTGAGGGAAGCATTTCATTGCAGCTGGGGAACGTGGGCGGGCACAGCAGGCGGGGATGGGAAGGGTAACCCTTCTGCTTCCAGCGGGATACCCTCTCACAGTTTGTCTGCATGGCAGTTCAATTTAGGAAAGACTTCTCAATGGACACTCTGGGAATAAATACTGCGGCCTCAGAAAGAGGTTTTGGGCTTGGACCTGCAACTGGCAGTGTCGCAGACTACAGCCTTAAATTAATCGATTGGGGCAGAATCCTATGCATGCTTTGATAGGGGAGAAAAGGGCCACAGCTCCCATGCTGGGAGTTATAGGCCTTTTTTGTTGAAACAGAGAGAGATCTTGGTCTCTTAAAGATTCCATTGAGACTGCTCTTTCTCCTCCATAAAATATACATATTTTATGTGTGCCCAGGACTGTACTGCAAGCTTTTCAAACTGAAAACAGGCTTGCTAGTACAGAATTTGTATAAAATTCCCTCCAATAAGATTACAAATGGTGGATTCAACCACCAGCAGCAAGCTTCATGTGGACATATTTTCCTTTTTAGAGACGTTGTCTGCTGCAAATCGCTCTCTCAGTTACTGGGAAGCCTCTTTGGGCAGTGCTTACATGTGCAAAAGTGAAGAGACTATCGCAGTCAGCCCTACGTATAAAATAAATGTCTTCAACTTAAAGATTCAGCCGTTTGAAGTAGAAGACAACGAATTCTCAGCAGGTAAGAATAAACCTCCAAGAAGGCAGTTGAAGTAGGATTTGAACAGAGAGATCAACATTTACAGGAAGAGCAAAAGCTTGCAAACAGCAAAGTCAATCATAATTCTGGGACCCCAATTAATTAGGTATGGTTTTATTTTGTCAGGTAATAACAGAATAGAACCTAGAATTCAACAAAGGTGGAAATGCTAGAGTTTCAGGGGACAACCACACTTTTGATGAAAGTGAGTTGTCCATATTAGTAGATTGTTCTTAATGACCCATGAAAGCAAGGCGAGGCCCTTTTCCTGTTGCAGTACCCCCATTGCGGAAATTCTTGCCAAAACCAGGAGTTGCATTCAGTAATACAGCTGGCAAAATGTTTATTTCAGGAGGTGCTCTCCAAGGTTATGCTGCCTGGGCTTGAACAAGTTCATTTTTAGTGTGGGAACTTCTCTCTGTGTTAAAAAGCAGCCTCAACTCATCGGAGGAGGGAGGAGACGATTACAAAGAACAAAATTGGCATGGGAAGCATATGCAGTACCATAACCAGTGGCAGATCTTTCAAAGTGAGAGGCTTCACCCATGTGCAAATTGGTGATGGCTTCTTGTGCATTTTTCAGTAGCTTCTAGCCCAGTAGTTAAGGTTGTGAGTGTGTTACTTGTTAAGCGGCAGTGCAGTCTGCTGCTCAGATTTTGGCACGCTTCAGTAAAGCTGTCAGTCCTGTTTTGTACTCTATACAGCAAGGTGGATTCAGGTTGTTAGATCATCTGATATCACCACCTGACATGGTTCTGCTCTTGGTATTGTTTCCACCACTGATTGACATGGCAAACATTCGGTTCACGTCATTCATGTAAGCTTGGTCACATTCGGGAATGTGTATCCAGATCGGTGGCTTGAAAGCTTTTGAGCTGTTTTTCCTGGCCTGTGGAAGGTTGTGATAACCCTGCTCTTTGTGAGGCCAGTCTCTAGAGCTGAGGCTCTGATCCTTGCTTAAAAGCAAAGCCCCTAGCGTTACTCTTGGCAAATGTCTTTTCTTCTTCCTCCTCCTGCTCCTCTGTCACTGCCTCTCTCACCTACAGCGCAAGAGTGTTTAATGGATGATGACAGCATTCTAATCCCCATTGTAGTCGGTGCTGCTCTTTTGGGCTTGATTTGCATTATTCTGTGCGCTTACGCGATTGGCGGAAGAAAAAGCGACCCTGGATATCAAACTTTATAAACCTTGTATGACTGTTCTCAACTCTGGCTGTGATAAAACCAGCGCCAGCGTCCGAATGGAAACCAGCTGCCTAAATTTCATGGTCCTCTCCTTAAGAGCATGGAGATGCCCACAGACAAAATGTAATCAAGAACATACTCCTGGACAAAATAAGGACTTCATAAAATCTGGAGCTGACAGCTGGGCCTGACAAAACATTAATCTCACAAGTGTTTGTATGTGAACTTCATGTGTGGAAATGTACCTGTAAGTAGGCAACAGTCCAGAAAGGGAATTAGACTGTCTTCAACCCACTTAGGGCTTCAGAACAACATGGAAGACCTGCCATTTTAACTCGAGCTTGTGCATTTCGCTCTTTGCAGTCGGCAGATAACATAATTTCTCTTGATAGCCAGTTACTAACCGTATTAGTCAGCCCAAATACGCCTGACTAGGTTCACAAGCTTCACTTCACTAATACCATGGCAATAGTAGCTTCTGAAGCTTGTGAACTCTCAGTCCAGTTTGCTGTCTGGTTAAATGGAAGCTGTACCTTCCTTGGGCAGGGTGGCTTGGCTGCCTGCAGTCAACAGCTCTGAAGGAGGGACCTTTCAGTCATATTGCCTGTTCGAATACATATATAAATTGGAAAGTGGGGCAAGGGGGATAACAGGAAAGCGTGCTTAGCTTGTTCAGCCAATGTCCGGGATGATAAAAGTTTCTCTGCAGCTGTCAATGCTAGCTTGAATCTGTTAAATCTGTTCACGCGGATTGATTTCCAAGAGAGATGAAAAGCAACTGGTTGTGTGACGCATGGATTCGTGTCCCTTCGCAGCCTTGCATTTTAATAAGGTGCTTCTTTGTGCATCGCTTCGCGTGGAGCGAGCTCTGTCTGGAAATGCACAGCTGTGTGGAGGCAGTGAAGTTAACCAAGGAATAAATTGCGCTGTGCATTGAAGTAGCAAGTAACTGTGCCTTACAAAGTGGCTACTGCTCAGTTTTCACTCGGTTGGCGGCCGGGTACTGCATGGCACAAAGGCAGCATTTCTGTAGAGCCTGGTGCCCTGGAGATGCCTCACAAAATGGGCTTCCCCTTCTGAGACACAACCTGGCCCTGCTTAGAACTAAAAAAGGCAACCCATTGATTCCTAATAATGGGGGGCGTTGAAGACTCCACTGCAACCCTTCATAAGCATCCTCTTGTGGCTTATTTTAGGGATGGAGAGAACAAGGTAGTTATCCTCATGCTGCATGTATCCACTTGCTTTTCTCCTCGATGTACAATTGACATGTGGTTGAAATTCACTTTTGCAGACTTTCTTCTAGAAAACACTTTCCTTCGCCTGGTAATTTGATTTTGCATGCATGTCTGTAGTAACATGTGCCAGCTTACTGTAGTAGTCTTTGGATAAAGTCATAATGGACTTCTAGACTGCTCAAAGGTACTCCTGGCAGCCAACCTGACTGTATGCCACCGTTCTGAGGGTACAGAAAGAGCATCCCAACTAAAAACTTAACCTGTGCGTTGCCTGCAAAGTAACTGGCTCATGTAAACACCTGAACATCAATGTTTCAACCTGTCGAAGTCCGTCTCTTTCCTATACTTGTATTTCTACAGAGGGAATTGTCTGTCTGCACACAATGCTTTAATTAAAAAAAAACTATTCTTAAGGAACTGATTGGACTGCTTAATTGAAAAGCTTTTGTAGGAAAGCTGTTCTAAGACTGCCATCTTTCTCTCCAAGCTGGAAGATGGATTCTGCATTGCTCTAAATGCAGTGTTCTTTCTTACCTTCTGCTTCTAGTTGATAGTTGCTTTTTTGCTGAACGATTCTTGTGGTTCTCCTATCAATGCGTCTGCTTTTCGTGTCCTCTGGTATCTTCTGATGTGCTCAGTGTTCATTGGGGTAGGGTGGCATGTCTGAAACTTACTACTCTGAGGGCCAAGTGAGACATGATAACTTGGGATCAGAATGCAATAGAATATAGTCAGATTACAAAGAAGCTGCTCCGCTGTAGCCTAAATCTCCTTATCCAGCTATTTTCATTGAAGTCCTTGCTTTAGTAGTGCGCTAACCTTCTGCTTAAAGAAACTCAAAGAACTGGCAGAGTCACGCTGGTAATTTGAGTGCTGCTTGCTTGCACCATTTCAGATGCTTGGAAAGATATCCCTGCATTTCCTAAAAAGGGAGGGCCGTGTCTCTCCTATTCCTCCCTGAGACTGTGGGTGTCGGGGGTATGATAAACTGATCCTCTTCAACATTGCCCTGCTGATGGAGTATTGGACTAGATGGGAGCCAAGATGCGCTTGTATACAATAGCTCTTTTCTGTCATTTGTTCATTTGAGCTAAGATTTGGGCACCTTTACAATCTCTTCAGGGCAGGCATTTCCTCAGACTGAAGGCTTTGGTGTTCTCAACAAGCCCAGAGAAAGTGCTGCTGAAACAGAGAGAAGGCTTTTAAATCAGCATTGGTGGGAACAGGCCACAGCTGTTGAAAGTCAAGGCACAATGAGCCGCAGCAAATGAGCCGCAGAAACCCCTGAATGCTCCTTGGGGTGGCAGCATGCAGCAGACGCTGGAGAAGCCCAGCCATCGGCTCGCCCAGCGCAACAGCCCTTGCTGCTGCCCTGGCTGAGAGGCTTTTGGGCTTCCCCTGGGTTTGTCGTGTCCTCCAGAATCAACCCAAGGTAGCTACACAACTCTAAGCAAGCTATGGCTTGAGGGGCGGGTTTGGCTTGATAGGAAGAAGCCGCCCCATGGTGTGCGGGGGCAGATGCTGGGCTCAGACAACACGTTAACCACTGTGGCTTCAAAGCCATTGTGTCTTAGCTTGTTGTGTGAACGCTGTTGGAGTCTTGAAAGGCGTGGCTCCGCTCAGTTATGTTAGACTGGGTCTGGACCATAATATGCTCTAGTGTGTGTGTGTGTGTGTGTGTGTGTCCCCATGTCCATAATATATCATATATGTGCTCTTTTTTTAGGTAGTTAGAACTAGCCCTAAACTAGAACTAAAACATGCCCACTTCCAGCTGTTTTCTTTGTGGTGGTAAATGAAAGGGCAGGAAATACCTTGCGTTTGCCCAAGTTTTCAGACTTTACTGGGGGAGGGGGCACAGGAGGTGGTCATGTTCAACCCAGAATCCATCGCTGCAAAATGTGACAGTGACTGGTGTACACGGCTTTGAAAGGGGGTTCGATGAGATCAGGGAGGACTAGTCTTGCCAAGAGCTACTAACCAAACGGAGCCTTCATATCGCGGCCTGCGGAGGAGCAGTGGGGCAGAGCGGTCCCGATGCAGCCACGCCCCAAGGAATACCCAGCTGCCTGCTGTTGCGAAGGAGGTGCTGGCAGGTGGACTCCGATCCAGACTGGGCCCCTTGACCTTGGTTCCCTTTATTCCTGGCCATTGAGCCTGGTGGCTGGAGCTGATGAAAACCGTGCTCCAAAGCAACTGGAGAGACTGGGGAAGACTGCAGTAGTGCTCTCAGTCCAGCGTCTGCAGCAGAAAAGCTCTCCAGCTGAGCTTGAGTTAGATAGCCTGGAGAAGCAGGGGGCAAAGTTATTTTCGGTCTGGGGCGGCTCACCCACTTACCTGTTCCTATTACCCTTTCTCCATCTAGCTGAAGAGTGCAACCCCGATGTGGACAACTACTTTGTGCCCATTATGGTGGGAGCAGCCCTGGCAGGATTAATTTTTCTGGTGCTTATGGCTTATTTTGTTGGCCGTAAAACTCATCGCAATGCTGGCTATGAGCAGTTCTAAAAGCGGGAGGCTGAACCTTGGGCTGAACCTTCCCATTGGGCTGAACCTTGACTTGGGCTGAACCTTCCCATTGGGCCGAACCTTGACTTGGGCTGAACCTTCCCATTTTCAACCTGCTAAGGAGCAATTAGGCCCCGAAGACCTGGCCATTGGCTTGCATATCACAGAGGCCACTTAAAGAACTGCTTTTGCTGCCTGAAAGAGACAAGAGTATTGTGTGTTGAATTGGCTACTCATTAATATAAGCTGACTGACGTGGAATGCCTAAACCGAATATGCTTTTAAAAAAACCACTTTGGTGCCAAAACTTTGTGATGGTACAGCCCCCAGCTGATGTCCTGTCCCCTAAGAGCTGGCAGAGAATGAACGCTAGCATCCTGCAACCCATGATATGTCAACCCGGAGCCAGATCTCTCTGTCCATGTTCCTTCCTCTGCCATTTCTCTTCCCTGGGTTAACCCTGGTTTTCATTTACATGTCCATCAGTACAAATCATGGTTGGCAGACAAAACGCGATTGGTGCCATGGTATGAAGTTTCCTTTCCTCAAACCATAGTCATTGAGAGATCTTACTTTCTGGAATTCCTATGCAATGCGAACCCAGGAAGGGAGAAATTCTTGCAGGAAGCAGAAGGCCCCTACAGTTGGCTTCTAAGTTGCAAACTGGAGCCAAGTCCACACCAACTTCAAATGCAAGTAAGTTTTGATTGTGTTTGAAAAAGCAGATAAAACATTTGGCATATGGAATTTCCTGGGTCATTTTGTGAGTTCTTTGAGTGCTGCATTAAAAGGTTTATTCACATAGCTAGGAAACCTGGAAATGTCTCCACCAGAAACGGTGTTTGTGCATCCACAATTTAAAGCTTTTTAAAGGGATTCTGTGATGAAAAGGTGCCATGGTATTGGGTGTCTCCAAGCGCATTCTCCCATTGCCTTCCTAAGCACACTGGAATTATTTAGCTTTCCAAATGTGCACAGAGCCCAAAAATTCCCATTTCACTGGCTTTTTACACAAGGACCTCTGAAACAACCCTATTAAATGTATTCTTAAAGTTTGTATGTTAACTACTTAAAGATGTGTTTTTATATTAAGGAGCTTGGGATGTTGTACTTGTTGGCATGATAGAAAAGGGGGTCATTAGTTTTTTTCTGTTGATTGTGCACAGCATCCAGCGGTATGTCCTATGCATTGTCTTGTATAATGTGAATATGTGCATTCAGCCAGTGTATGTGTGAAATGCTGATACTTAGTTTAACCAGTTCACCCAAGCAAAGTAAGCCATGATCGCATATTTAAATCATGGTGTATGGTAGGTGTGATATCCATAATCAGCACCAGGTACAGCTTACAAGCCCCGGTCACCTGGTTTGTTGGAAGGGAAACAACTCTCCAATAAGCCTCCAGCGGCCTATGGTCACACACCACGATTCCAAATAACCCTTTTGATCATGTGAACCAGGTTCTTAATCAGCCATGCTTGCATGTCTTACTAAATCATGTGTACACCTGTTTTCCCCATTCCCTCTCCTGCAAGGAGAGAAACCTTTGGCCTTGACCATGTTTGTTACATGCTTTGGAGCAACACATTGTGGTTAATGTTAGTCATAGTGGGTTTAAAGCACCAACTCTTACAATCATGGCTTCTTCAAACTAATCAGAGTTAGTTTGATTAACCACAGATTCCAGTTTGTATAAGAAAGCAAGCTGAGATTAACTAAAAGCAGAAGCTAATCACTTGGCTGTCCAAGTGGAGGAGAAGGTGGAACTGTGCAAGCCCAAGCGCACTGTGGTTTATTCCCGCATGTACATGACCGGTTAAACCAGATTCAGTTTGATGTGTGAATACAGATATGGACTCTGCACCGTGTGTACTGTTGGCTAAAACGGCTGTCTCAAGAAGCCCCTTCTGAATCCAAAAGGCAGCAAATACGCTTCCAAATTAAAATGGAAGCATCCTTTGGAGAGAGAGTGGCTGAAAAGATCCTCAATTCTCTAAAGTTGCGAAGGCTTCTAAAGCACACCAACAAAGAATGTTTCAGTCCTACACAACTTCTGAAATATAAACTTTAGAATGCATAACTCTGTATGATGACTTCCTGTAACCAAAACAAAAGAAGTTAAAGAGGATGCTGCGATATTCTAGGGTGCAGCTGGCCTTGTATGTATTTCTAGTCAGGAGCTGAAAATGTTAATAAATGAGTTTCCTTGCAACCCACCCAGTTTGGGAGCTAGATGAAGCCTTGTGATGGTGTGGCACTTAACATACAATGTTCCTTAAAAGTATTGGGGCGCGCGCTCTCTCTCTCTCTCTCTCTCTCTCTCTCTCTCTCTCTCTCTCTCTCTCGTTCGTCTAACATTGGAGTCAAAAACCGATTTGTTCAGTATAAAAATGGATAACGGTTCAGACTTTCTTGGTGCTGAATTGCTTTGGAGGGTGAATGAAGGCTATAGATGTTAGGGATCCATGCACTTTTGGACAAGCCATGAGTGTTTCTGTGTTGAGCATGCCGCACTAACGACCAAAAGAGGACTTTGAGCTTCACTGCCTGATCCCCTGGAAGGAATTTTAACCTATTCTAGGCAAGTAGCCATTGGCAAGCCTATTTATCCTGAAGAGTGGGCACAATATTCCCACCACCTGTCTCCACATGGTCAACTGCCAAGGATGGCAAGATGGGTATATACTTTCTTGTGAAGCAAAGAACTGTGAACAACCGAGCATCCACAACCAAACAAAACTTGGGTAACAGGGATGGCGTTCCCATTTTCAAAACCACCTGCAGTTCCAAGCAAGGCTGATAGTCTATGGCTCCTAACAGTTTCTGGAGGAGGAGGCTGCCAGTTGCTAGGGGACGTGGGCAGAACGATCGCAGAAGAGTAGCATTAGAAGGGGCCAGTAAGGCCATCAGGTCCAGCCCACGTTCAATGCAGCACTCCTAGTTAATGGTGTATTATCCCAAGATATTTGTCCTGCTGAGTTTCCTGTAGGCAGCCGCTTGATCATGCTGGGACCGGAATGCTAGGCAAAGTAAGCATTTCATCTGACGCAGCAAGATGCTCGAGAAGTTTGGTAACCTGAAGCGCGCTTCCAAAGGTTAATCTGGAGAATTTAAAACACAAACCAAATCAAGAACAAAGTTACAAATATATCATTAGTGCTCGAATGCTTGCTGTCTCCACTAATTTTCTGCACCTTGCTCTCTTTCCCTTTCTTGTTTTTTCCCCTTCCTTCTTTCCACAGTTGAAGAATGTAGCTCTTCTGAACTCCTCTTTGTCATTCCTGTCGTTGTGGGTGTGCTGGTTGGCCTCTCTTTCATTGCTGCTTTTGTCTTCTGCATGATTGGGAGACGGAAAAATCACAGTGGTTATCAAGCCGTATAACCCTTTTCCCTGCTGCTTCTCCCTTTTTTTTTCTTTTCCTCTACCCCACTCCCCACAGCAGTCCCTAAACAGGTAACTCTGAGTTCACAATTTTCTAACAGTAAAAAAAAGCAAGGTAAATGTTTCTGTGCATATAAACGGGAGCAAACACTGACCAAAGCTGTCAGCATTTGGATGTTTGGGAAAAGTCTGCTTTTTGCCGCTTGGCAGAATAATTGTTTCCAAGGAAAGACGCATTGGAAGAAACATTCTGGGAGCAGATTCTCTATCCAGTCTGCATTCCTAGAGCCAGTCCCATCTATGATAGCAAATAAGATAATTTCAAGGTCCAGAAGAAATGAAACCACTGGAATGGTATGGACTTTCAGTGGGGTTCTGGTTAAAGGCAATTCTAACTCTTGTTTCTTTGAGCATTTGATAGCTTGGCCAAGAGCCAAAATACCGTGCCCCTAATTTAAACACAAGCACACACGTGTGCAAAGGTAGTGTTGGACTTCTGTTTTTTAAATCGAGCCCTTCCTCCTCCTCACCTGCCAAATTATCTTGGAAATGGAGTGAAGTTTCATTGGGGCTCCAGAGAAGGAGCCTGTGCCATTCAAAGGCAAGCCAAACTGTTCCGGTAGATGGACAGGATGCTTCTGCCTTGGCCGCATTACAGGGTCGGCGCTTGCTTTGCTCACTTAATGGCTCACTTAAAGAGATGCTGGCTGCCTGCTACAGGCAGAGCTTACTTGCTTTCGCAAGGTTGCTGCTCACCCTGGAACTAACGCCATGTAGCTCAGAGAGAGAAGGGAAGCCTTAGTGAGGCCTGCAAGACCCACTGACAAGTAGGCATACACTGGTGCCTTTATGGGGAAAAGCACGTTAAATGTGTGGTATCCATCAGTTCTGAATTCCCAATCTGCATCAGAGTTAAAAGCATCCAGTCACAGGCTGCTGCATCATGAATTTTGCTCTGGACATCCCCTTCAAATTTAAGCAAAACCCCTCTACTTGCTCATTTTGTTAGCATATAGTACATTTAGAAACAGAGTGAGTCAGAAGGGGCCTCCTGTGCCATCTAGTCTGACCCCCAGCTCTGCTCATGACATGCCTACCATACACATGTCCAGCCTATCCTTGAACACCCCCACCAATGTGGCCTCAACCACCTCCCATGGAAGCCCAGTCCATGCTCTCGGGGTCCTAACTGTAAGGAAACATTTCTTGGCAGCCACCCTAAATCTTGGTTCCCTGAGCTTTGCTCCATTGGAACGTGCCCTGCCCTCCATTGCAGAGGAAAAAGGTCATGTCTCACATCTGTGTGGTACCCCATCATGTACCTGTACATCACTAACAGGTCCCCTCTGAGTCTTCTCAAGGCTGAAGAGACCCAGTTCCCTCGGTCTCGCCTCATACGGCATCCCCTGCAAACTGGCCACCATCCTCATGGCCCTACCCTGCACTGACTCCAACCTGGCTATATCCTTCCTGTAACAAAGGACGCAGAACTGAACACAATACTCCAGCTGTGGGTGCACCAGAGTCTTACAGAGTGGCAGTAATGCCTCTCTCAATCTAGAAGCCACGCTTCTGGCTATGCATCCTTCAAGGGTGGCGTTCGCCCTCTTGGCTGCTGTGTCACATTGCTGGCTCATAAAAGACCAGGCAGCGCCTGCGGGTCTCAAACTGCTAACGTTGCCCATGCGAATCTATGTCGAAGGAACTGCCGGGCTGAGCATGCAGTGGCTCTCCCAGTGGTTCACACTGATAAAAGCAATCCGGATGGATCTGGAGTCACAGGTAAGTCAGTGGGATGCTGTGGGGTTTGTTTTAAAATTATATTTGACTTTTCCCTTGAAAGAGAGACAGGGCACCTCATGTGAGCATCCTCTCTCCATTTTACTCTCACAACAGCCCTGTGAGGTGGGCTGGGCTGAGAGGCAGTGACTGGCCCAAAGTCACCTGGTGGGCTTCATCAGCAGTCCGAGACCAGAATGTGGCTCTTCTGCCTTCCAGCCCAACACTAAGCACTCCACTGCAGTGGGTGCCTTTTAATGTGGTTATAGCAGACTTTTTGAATCCTGGCTTTCGGAGGCTTAACACAAACAGGTTTCGTGACCTGAGGAGAGTTCCTGGGGGTTTATGTCTTCATGTCCTGCCTGTAGAAACCAAGGAATAAGTTTAGCACTAGATCAGAGTCCTTGTTTCTTCAGCTCAGTCTTTTCTGATAGCTGATGTCTCTGCCTTGTCTCAGGCATCTGCCTTCACCTGCCACTGAGTAGGAAATTGTATGCTTGGGGCTACCTGGACCTTTTGGGGTCCTAGTCATGCTTCACCTGCTTTCTCTAGGTGACCCTGCCTCCTTTCCCCCAACCATCCAGTCATCTGTTGGTTTCCCAGTTTTGTGGATTTCTCCTGCTGAGAGTTTCCAATTATTGCCCTAAGGCATAGTTACTTAACATGTGCTGGGTTCAGGGTCCTGTTTTCTGTTTGCATCTCTGTCCTTTCTGGCATTGGTCCTGCCTGTCCCTGAAATGCAAGCCCTGAGACCACCTCCAGAGAGCTCTAGGTCTACCTGATCTTTCCTTTTAAATGGAGAGGCAATGAATAAGGCCTAGACTCAGTTTTTCAGCTGGTAACGCATGTTTTCCTCCACTCAGTTCCAATCCCCCTCTGCATAAAACAGTGTCCTCTTCAGAACTGACTTGTTGACCCACAGTTTGAGAAGAACCATTGCCTGAATTTCGGAACAAAACTGGGAACCCTACACAGCTTGGAGCCAGGTAGATGACAGTTCTGGAGTTCATGCTTTATGGGCAGATATGTGCATGCATGGCCCCTCCACGCCTGCGGGACTTTGGCTGTGTGGTCTCTCTTGGCAGTGCACGCTTTCATAATGCACTATTGAAGCTGGTTTTGCCCTCATTTACCTCATGTATTGTTGTGCAAACATATTGGCAGTTTACGATTAGGGATGATTCTTTATTGACAGCCATTCCCAGCTGCTGAAGGCTTTAACATGTATAATTGCAGGTCCGAGGCAGAATCTGCTCTTCCTGGGGTCCCGAAAGAGCCCAGATGGCCTCACCCTCACTCATCCTCTTGTGGTTTCCAAGTGTGTGTACAGTCTGTGCCGCATTCTAAAAAATGCGGATATTCGCTCCTAAGGTTTACTTCTAGCAGCAAGAACGTAAAGCTATAATGTGCTGCTATTTTGGGGGATTTTGGACCCATGTTTTTTCCTTCGGGCCTCACCGTGGAATCTGGCCCCCTGAGAGCTTCTCCGAAGATATTTGGCCCTCAGATGGAAATCTTCTGCATCCCTGCTTTAGAGCATCAGGTGGCCCTGATGATGTTGTAGTCCAGCACCTCTCAGCCTCAGCCAGCAGGGCCAGAGGATGGGGCAATGGGAGTTGTAGTCCATCAGCATCTGGAAAGGCCCTTGCAAGGAAGGGCCAGGCTACTAAGCAGAAGGAGATGTCCTGCCATTTCTCTGCTCCTTATTCTTCACCTGTCTTGTCACCTCACCTCTATTCTGATGTGAATAGAGTTCACATCACACTGTGAATATTCAGTGTGGCCATGCACACTCAAGGACTGAGCTGAGTTTGCGTTGTCACTGAACTTGGGTTGTGGTTGAAAAGTGCGTTATGGTGCATGAGCCCAGTCTGGTGACAAAAAGACGAACATAGACAATCCCGAAGAACAGCAACGGCAATTTAAATTCCTTTCACCTTGTTTGTATATTGCTTTAGTCAGAACCTTGCATAAATGAGGATTTGCAAAATTAGGTTAAGTTTGAAACCTGAAAGTGGAGAGCAGTGAGTATTTCTTAAAGCATAATTCACAGTCATTGTGTTGGTTCCAGATAATTAACTCTTGTCAGGAGAAGGTGAAACACCCTGTAGAAAAAAACTACCAGTTGATTTCTGGCTTGAAAATGAGAACTACAACAAGAATTGGGGTTCCTTTTGTTGTGTAGGCTCCCTTCTACATACTTTCCAGTGGTTGGGGTTCCTTTGTAGCTGCCTGCTTCTCTTCCCAGTTTCCTTCACAGGTGCACAAGAACTGGGGTTGAGCATCACTGCAGGATCCTCCACCCCAGACTTTACACAACCTCACTTGAATTCTCAATGATTTTTGTGAAGGAGGATCAAATCATATCCTCTAATAGGACTTCAGATGGTCAAGAACTAGACCACTCGAACTGGAACATCTTGGGAAGTCCAAAAACAGGCACATTAGACACAGCATGAAATTGAGTGATCCCTACCCACAGCATTCTTTGAGACCACAAATCTGTTGCTGAAGGTAGGTTTATGTTGGTGTTAAATAATAAAGTTTGCTGCGATTTTCTGATTGGATTATGTGTAGGTAATTCTTGAAGCAAAGAACACTCACCTTGAGGTGTTCTTTTGTGTGTACACATCAAATTTAGGAATGTGTACACATGAGCATGTGATTTACACACACGTGGATGCGTATACCCTTGGGTGTACAAAAGGGAAGCAAAACCAAGCAGCCTCAGGCCAGATTTTTGGAACCCCAGTGCAGAATGAGTTTTCTTTAGTGCCTTGTGTTCCGGAGGCATGTGCACTCGTGAAAGGAAAACAAAATAGTCCTTGATTTTCCAAACAAAGCAGGGGAGAGTGGCTGGCTGACAGCTCTGCCTTTTAATGCTAAAATTCATCGGGGGTTCTGATCACTACTTTAGGAGAAAGCACCATCGATGGCTGAGTGGCTGTTCAGCCCCAGACAATAGGTTTCACTGCAAAAAAAAAGCCTTAACCTGGCGTTCTTTCGACCTTGCACCTGCCTTTCTGAAATTTGGTAGGTGTTTTCCTGAGGGAAATTTTCAGAGCAATGGTCCAGAGGGAAGCATAACTACAGGTATTCAAAATGATAGTGCTATTCTTGCACTGGCTAGCATCCCAAAATTTTGCAGGCATTGTCACTTCAAAGTGGGCAAATATCCTTGCCATGGTCATCCAGTCCTGCCCAGACATAGTTATTGTAAATATACATATGGCATCACACACAGCCTATTTCCTCTGATATCTGGCAGGCAGGACCCTCCTGAGAGGTGTACATGCTTGTAATACCACTCAGAGTGGGCTGACTCCGAATCAGTCCAAGCAGAAGCAGGCATTTCCTCCAAAGTACCAGATCAGGGTCTGCTCCCATGCAGCAGATTTATGTCTACACAAAGCAGAGTAATTTCAATAGATATTTCATGCTGAAGAAAATGGCTACTTAAGACTTGACCTTTATGCTATGGCCGCTTCGATATTGCTTTGTCAGATATTCTGGAGGGCAAAATGGTTCCTCTAGTAGATGCTTGGCATCCAAAAGCCTCATTCTCTTACCCAAACAGAGATATCAGGTCCACCAAATTTAACATGAAATGAACTCCAGTTAAGATACTGCTGCCATTCTGTCAAATGCTAAGCATGTACTCATTTTATGTATGCACACCTTTGCTATGGGGGAGCCTCTGGGAGTAATTCTGAATCACAAGAAGGAAGGATGTGAAACAGACATGTGTCTCTCTTTTCCCAAGGACATAAGGCTGCACCAAGGGAATGCTGGGATATGGGTGGAAGCATCTATCAAGCTCAGTTCTGCCTAGTGTCTCCATTTTCCATGGTTAGGTTCATTCTGCCCTAATTCTGCATCAAAAAATTTGCCAATGCACTCAAGATTTGGGATGATGTAACTAATTATGTGTAACTGTGTTCCAGTTTGCATTTAGGTTTGGCAGCTGTGAATTGGATAGGTTTTCATTAAAATGCAAACCAAACTCAGCTCACCCCTTTTCCAAACAATGATTTTTGCTCTTACAAAGGACATCAATGTATTAAAAAATGTAATTTGCTTTTGTGAGGGATTTTACCTTGAAAGCAGACTACAGATCTAAACGATAATCAGAAGAATGCAATCAGTTTGTGTGGACTGTGGATGGAGTTTGCTTAACCAGTCTTGGAGATCAGTAGCTTAAGTGCATCTGAAGCAGGTCTCCCTCCAAGACTCTTTGTCAGAGAGTCTGCCAGCCATGTGGCAGAGAGAACATAGTGCAGCTGTACTTTAACCATAAACTTGTAGCTGCGATCCAGCACATAAAATGCTAATCTCCCTCCCATCTCCCACAGTTCACAAGCCCCTTTCCCCAAACCACCCCAGATGCTGCAGAAATAAAGAAATGGGCTCAGTGCACATTATAAAGATTTTTACTAATTCTTTTTGATTTATAGTCCACCCTGTCCAAAGAGCATGGGGTCAAGTAAAAAGACGTTAATAACAAAACTCCCAGTTACATTGATTATGTCCCATCTTGCCCTCTCTTTGGATGCTCACAGCTACCAGAAATGAAGGTGGGTTTACAGTTCTTCCAGAAAGCATCCTGACTTGGGCTAGGATGAGCTACTGAAGGAAGGGAGAGTTGGAGGGGCAGCCATGGGAATCCCCCCCCCCCACTCTTTCAGCCCTGACTTGCCATATAGCTGGTAGGGAGCAGGGGCATGAATCTTTATTGCTACTCCTTTGCACCTGAACCTGGAAAGCGGCAAGGAATTAGCATGTGCTACAGCCTTTTCTAGACCAAAGCCAGTAGATTCAAATAGAAGTGTTGCATTTTTTTCTTGACCTTCTTAACATTAACTTTATGGCCAGCGATCCATCCACAGAGCACTTGACAATATTTAAAGAGGTGTCACAGGGTTCTGCCTCAAACAGGGCAGGTGTGAGCTTGGAACATCTCTTGGAGCACAGGGACTTGAGAGAGCTCACAGGATGCAGTGAGAGGATGCAGGTTTCTTCCCTCGGAACATCCGCTGGGCTATTAATTGACAATTGGTTGGTTCCCCTGTATGGACAATGCTTTTAACCCTCAGGATGCAGGAGCAGGGAGAGAAAGAATGAGAGAGAGAGAATAAGAGTTCTTGTTGAACTTGGTTGCCATGGTCAAATTGTCCCTTTGCTACTGGACACTGTCCCTGTTGGTGCACCACTGAACGATAAAATCGAAGCATCTTGCATATGCTTTAAAATTAAAATGTTCTCTGACATGACCTGGGTTTTCATTCAGGATGAACCATCTCAATGTTTTGCGATTAATTCTTCTGACTGTATGGTTTATCAGCTATCCTTTCATTTAATTTGTGAAGAAAGCCAAAGGAATCCTCCAAAACAGGTTTGAATTTTCATGGTGTTTGGGAATGGCCACCTGCTCCCTGTGGTTAGGAAAGATTTGACTGCTGCAGAAAGAGTGGTGGCAAATGCTTCTCCGGTCTATTCGCCAATGTTCAGTGTGAAGATGATTCGGCCCAGAAACCGGTCATTGTTATAGTCATTGATGATGCCCTGCCCATTCAGCTGGCACTGGATGTTCATGTTGTGGTTCCTAGACACACTGGTGAACTGCACAGCCACCACCGGTTGCGTATAGTTGACCTGGAACAGGAGAAGCAGGTAAGAGACAGGGATCGCTTGGGGTAGTTCCGTGCACAATCCTATTCCACTTTACCAGGGAGCTGTTTCCAAGCAGACGTTCAGAGGTTTGCCCTGCTGCATGGGCTCAAAGCTGGATGAGATGCCAATCAGTGAAACATAGAAACTGGGCGAGTCAGAAGGGGACTCCTGGGTCATCTTGTCTGACCCCCGGCTCCAGCCAGCTCTGCTCACGACATTCCCACCATGTGCATGTCCAGCCTGTCTTTGAACACCCACACCGATGGGGCCTCAACCACCTCCCGTGGAAGCCCATTCCACACCCTTGGGGTGCTAACTGTCAGGAGGTACTTCCTGGCATCCAAATTGATCCTTGGCTCCCTGAGCTTTGCTCTGCTGGAGCGCATCCTGCCCTCCTCTGCAGGGGAGAACAGGTCTCAACCCACCTCCGTGTGACACCCCCTCACACACCTATATGTGGCCAACAGATCCCCTCGGAGTCTCCTCCAGGCTGGAAAGACCCAGCTCCCTCAGTCTTGCCTCATACGGCATCCCCTGCAAACCGGCCACCATCCTTGTGGCCCTGCACTGCACTGACTCCGACCTGCCGTGCTAGCACACCCACACTCACTTCTTTTAAAGGGGGCTGTACAAAGCTTTGGTGGAGCTGCTAAGGCAGTTCGGAACAGCACGAGAGAGTTTTGCCCCTCCCTGCTGGATAGAACACGCAGTACCGCCAGCCAGAGAACCATGGGCTGAACAGGGTCGATCTGGCCCAGTACACTAGCCAGATGCGCATTTGCTTTTATCCTTTTCTCTTCCAATCCCTTTTCCTTTTGTGTTGTCTTAGAGACCCCACACGTTTTAAGTATGGGCTACACATTTTAAGTATGGGTTAATCTTTCTAACCTTTTTTGTGGGCTAAGTATGGGCTAATCTTTGCAACTTTTTTTTTTTTTTTTTTTGGCTAAAGGATGCAGTAAAATTCTGTAAATAAATAGGTGAAATACAGAATAACTTATTTGATGAATATCTCACCCTTCCTCACAAACAGCCCAGGGTGATTAATGTCCTATATGTTTAGTATAATATAATATATAAACAATTAATGTTTAGTATAATATACAGAATTAAAATAATGACTCTAAAATCACAAAGTTATAATGAGATACAATAAAACCATCAACATAATCTATCACAAATAAAGCAGTTGTCTATACTTCCAAAGTCAGCACAAATGCACAGGTTTGGCATCTGAATGGTAACAACACAGGGGACTGCCTAACTGCTACCAGAAGACAGTTTCATAATTGGGGTGCCACCACTGAAAAGGCCCTGTCACAGGTAGTAATGGTACAAGCCTCAAGGATACCACAAGCAAGGCTTTCCTGGCTGATCTTAAATTCTGGGATGGCCAATTTTGAGGGTGGCAACCTTTCGACATGTCACAGTGAATAACATTAAAAGAAAGTGGGTATATTGGAATGCATTTCAAAGCTTGAAAACTTTGCTTGGCATCAGAAAGATAATATTTTGGTCCTGAACACCAGGAACGGAGGCAGTCTTTCTGACCAGTCTTTTCTGGCAGCTGCTCGTACGAGGCATTGCAGTCATCAGTCTTGGGTACTTACTGCTTGTCGCTTTTTAACTCCCAGCCTCAAATCATGCCTCGCATTTGTGGCAGTTTAGCACAGAGCCACTCAGAGAATGAGGAGAATAATCCAGCAGCAGCTGAATACTTCTTTCTTCCATTTTGATGGGGTTCCAACACCACACAGGCAGTTTCAGTAGTAAAAATCTGGTGCAAGGTGTAGGTATTTCTACAGGCTGCATTTCAGTATTATCTTTTGGCAATACTTGTGTGTTTTAGCAGCTGAAATTGTAGTAAGAAGAGAGTCCCACCACTGACTCAGTGCAGCGAAGCTTATTCTCAGCTAGCTATGCACAGAATCACAAATGGTGAGATTTCATTACTGATTAGTTTGGGATGCCTGTGTTTTCCCATGGGATCTTTATCCAGAGTGTCAGTTCCTTTGGAGTTGGATTGCCAGTGTGGTGATTAGAATGTTGGACCAGGAACCTGGGAGAGCCAGGATCTGGTCCCCACTTGGCCAAGTCACTGGACTCTCAGCCTAACCTACCTCATGGGGTTGTTGTGAGGATAAAATGGAGTATAAGCTCCCTTGGGTTCCTTGCAAAAGGAAAAAAGTGGGATATAAATGCAATGTAATAGTAGCAGCAGCAGAAGAGCAGGATATAAATATGAGCTAGGCCCTCTCATTAAGGACTTGACAATGGAGAGCCCTCGTGAGATCGAGACCTCACGATTTCCCCAATTGCCAATGCCCATGTTTACCCAATTGTCTGTCTGTCTGTCTGTCTGTCTGTCTGTCTGTCTGTCTTACAAGCATTTATATCCCATCCTTCTGCCAAGCACTCAGGACGGCTCACACAGGTTTAACCAGTTAAGTTCCTGCCTAGACCCACTGACGCAAAGGAAAGCCCCACTAAGCTCCGTGGAGTTTCCTTCTGGGTGGACCTGTGCACTGTGGTTGGATCCTGTGTTTGACAGCCCCCGTGATCCAGCCAACAGAATCCAACAGCTGAATTTCAACTTACATGCGTGCGTTTGCCGTAGTAAGGGAAGTACATGGGGTCGAAGGCTTCGCTTGGATAGAACTTTATCTCATGGAGATGGCTTTCATCACCCTTCTGCAATTTAAAAATAGTAATGAGGTATACAAAGTGCTCAGTAGGGCTCCTGCAACACCATATCCGCCCACAGAAGCTGGATAACAAGCACATGAGCCCAGTGGCGGAGGCTGCGCAAAATGCCTGCAGTTCAGTCCCTGCTACTTCCCAGCTTTTGCTTGCTAAGTAGCGCCTGTGGCCCAGCCTTCTTTTCCAGAGACCCTGGAAAGCTGCTGCTGGTAGGAATAAGACAACAGAACCACAGTCTCTCCAGCCTGTTAGAAGGCAGCTTTCTACATGTCTTGCCTTATCTCCATGTCACATTTCTCTCGTCTAACAGGTAAACCTCTGAGCACAGTTCCTGACAATTATAACCCTAAAATACAACCCAATAAAATGGAATTGCAGAATGTTTAAAACTACAGAATATATATTTAAAACCCAGCAGTTGTGCAAAGATTTCAAATTCAGTAAAATAAGGTCTTTGCCCAGTGCAGGGAAGACCACGATGCAGTGCTGGGGGAGCCTCTTCCAGAGGCTCGTTCCACAGCCTGGACAGTCTTTATGGAGTCACTGCTCGCTGGGGTGGGGGACATTGACAGCTGCCCAACCACGCCTACCCTCGGCACCAGCTCTGCAAATGCATGCGCTCCTTTTGCAGATGTAATGTGCAAGCACCCACTCTAAAGGAGACCCTGTGACGGGCCCCACTAAGGTCTGGACACCTGAGGCCACCCTTGCAGTACAGAATGTATGAAAGCAAAGCGCATTTACCTGCATTTTGCAGCTCACGGTGACGGGTTTCCCATACCCAGGCTGATAGCCTATAATCTACAGAAAGAAGAGCCTTTTAATTGCGCTTGGTTAAATAGAAAAATCAAATCATCAGAGGCAGTTCTAGTTCAATTTTTGCTATGTGGCTCCTGCAGATCAGGAAAGGAAGCGAGCGGGAGAGTTTCCAGCTGGCACCTTCGTTTGGACTATAGAGCAGAGCCCTCAGAGCAGCTAGCTAGCCTCTGGATCATCACCGAGAGCCCCTGTGTGTATGTTGCAGCCTGGAGATGCAGTGTTGTGCGTGTTCAGTTTCCTGGCCTGCCAGGATAAAGTCCTACAACTCTCAGTGTTCCCCAGCAGAACCGGTTCTCCTCCGATGACAGTAACCCAGGGAGGCATCAGCACCAGTTCCCAGCCCTGCTGAAGTGAGGCCGCTGCTTGTCCGGTCCACCCCCAGGGAGGGCTTTGGACTGGCCTAGCCGGCGAGGAGCACTCAGCAAGGCGTCCCCAGCTGGCTCCCCGCTTCTCCAACTTCATTCCCTAGAGGAAGCCAATTCCTGCAGAGAGAGGCCGCTTAGTTAGCCAGGTGCAACCCCTGACAGGTTGATGGCCCAAGCCCTGAACCTAACCAAAGCTCCAGATGGTTCCAGGTGCCAGCCGGCCAGCCAGAAACAAGCCCTCTAATTCACAGGGTTGCCCACCCAGCATGCAGTGTGTTACAGAAACTTTCTGTGCATGGTGCCCTTAAAAATGGGCATCCCTTTAAAAAACTCTTCATGAGAAATTACTAAGGAGGCTTTTCCTCCCACCCCTCCTTGGCTCTTACACAGTGAAACCGCTTCTCCAAAGCACATTTTATTTTGAGCTTCATAGGAGTCCTCTGTGGGTTCCATGGTGGAGCACCTATTGGGGCATGGTGTTCACCCCATGGGCAGCTCTCATAAAGTTCAAAATAAATGCTGCAATGGATTAGAAGCCCCGCTGGTGTAGAGTCACTATCCTCAATGCCACCTGCTTTCTCTGAAACTTTCCAAAGGCATCAGTCTACCCCCCCCCCCACCCGCACCTCACTACAAGCAGAATGCCCCATCATATTGAACACCATCGGTCTGATCCAGGAAGATCAATGCTTGATTTCAGGCCCCATAGAACAGTGCAGCCTTCCCCAACCTCCAGGTGATTTAGTTGAACAATGAGCATTCCTGTCTATTGTCCATGCTGGCTGGAGCCGATGCGACTTGAAATCCAAAATATCTGGAAGTCCAAAGTATTTGGCTGTCATAAAGTGTTGACTGCCCATTCTACAAGGTAAAAACAGTGAGCAAGCAAACATACTCGGTTCATCTTTAGCAGGATGCAAGGCTGTCCGAGGGAGAATCCAAAGGTTTGATCATCTATCCCGGAACAGTTCAGCAATTCGGAACGCTTGAACTGACAGGCTTGTTTAATGCTGCTTTCTTCCTCCTGAATGAAATACTGGCCTGGTGTGCACACAATATTTTTGGATTCTTGAATGGCATCATTGTAATCTAAAGGCAACAGAGAAAGTTAGTGTTCCATGCATCTTTTGCCACATGTCCTATCATCCCAGCAGTACAATGTTAGCAAGGATTGAACGGGCAGGGATACGCTGCATCTTGTCCTGCTCTTAGAGGCCAGGAGCCATGATATTTTCAGTATTATACGAGGGCAGCAAACATAGCAAAAACTGATACTTTGCCATTGGCGATGCAGGCTAGGGCTGTTAGGGTCATAACAGGAAACAGCCAAAACTTCTGGACAGCCGCAAGTCACCTTCTCTTGCTCTAAAAGGATGCTTTCTTTACATATGACAGAAAGGAAACCAATATTCTTCTGTACATTGGTCTTGCTTGGATATGCCCCTGACAAGTTTCCTTTGCTGTAACCACCCCTGAAGCCTACTTTTGTGATGTTTATTACTCTGTCAGTAGATCTATTGGTAAGCCCGTAAGACTCTTATACGTCAGCTGATCCAGCTAAATCACATGATAAGGATGCAGATCAACTGCCCATTGTAAGCCTCCTCTAGATAATCTGATGCCCTCAGTTGTTTTGGGATGCAATTTCCCATAAGTCCCAGCAACTACGCCCTCCAGAAGTGTGGGGCTACAATTCCCATCAGTCTCAGCGAATACAACCAGTAGTCAGGATGATGGGAGTTGTAGTCCAAGACTTCTGGAGGGCACCAGGTTGCCTGCCTCTGCTGTAAGCGAAGCTGAAGAAGCCCTGTTGAAATGATTTATGCTAACCAGATCTACCTTCCAATGATATTCTTCTGGACAGGTATACTTTTTCCCAGTTTGACCTCATCACCTTGGCTAACACATAAGCATTGTGGGTACAAACCACTGAGCTTCCAGAACCCATTTTGAGTATCTAACAGATTTCAATGGTCAAACTGGGAGGGAGGGAGGGAAGGAGGGAGCCACCTTGAAGGAAGTGTTCCATGTTTTCCACATAAGGTTCCCATGTGACGCGCTGGGAAATGTTGAAAGCAATGTTGAATGTATTTCGAATATATGGCCGCATCATAACTCCTGCAACAGAGGAAATGAGAGATGAGTTGCAAAACCAGGTCAGACTTGCCTTGGTCCATGGGATGGAGATGGTAACCTTCGTACTTTGCAGAAGACAATCCCATATTGCAAGGGCTCTGCAGTCCCAGTCCAGCCTAAAGACAGAGACCCATCAGGAGGAAGGCCTGGAAGTCGTCCATGAGCAAAGCACAGGGTCACGTCCTCCACACTGTGCTGAGACGTACAGTCTTTTAATTTTCAATAATCACTTCTAAACTGGCATTTATAGGTGTTAGCAAATGTAAATGCTGCACGATCCAGTCTTCCTGTTTTGGGCATGCGCTTCCTCTCCCACCATTTCTAAGTGACCGCTCTGTTTTCATCTCCATAACATGCAGGGTCGAGATGGCTGCGTGCACGCATAAGCATCCATGCAAAGGGTCCCCATGGAGTGGAAGGCACAGAGAACAGAGCCAAGCTCGCGTACTTACCGGGCGGAGCGACTCTGTCTCTATAGGTGGGCGTGTAGGGACTCAGGGTGAGCAGCATGATGTACAGGCAAAATGCAAACATACCCGCCAGGAACGTATACAAAACGAGATAGAAGAGAAGTATCAGGCCTGCAAGGCAGAGACGATGTGTTGGTGACTGCCCAGGAAGCAGAGTTATATCTTGCCATGGTGCATAATACCGTGCCATGTCTTCGTAACGGAGGGCAAGATTTAATTTTTGGCTTTGTTTACGTAGTTATTTGGTCAGGTGGAACTCAAACCGCACATGCCTGGCGTGTCAAAATCACAGAAGGAAATCAGGGAAGGCACCAGGAGTGGGCACCATGGATCACCTGCCAAGGCCCAACCCTTGCTGGGGTCCACTTCTACTCTCTGGCCCCACAGCTCTGTTCCACACGCAATAACGAGGAGAGAGGGAGCCAAAGCATTGCTTTCCCGTGTGCTCTCCCTCTGGCATTTGCGTGGATCGGGCCCCGGGGAGGGCAGGGCAAGTCAGTGGGCAAAGGAACTTTGGAGAAGAGCAGAAGGACCACTTGGGGTCTGCACAAAGAAAACCCTCAGTGAGCATGCCACAAAACATTGATGTTATGACAGCTCCACCGAAGCAGCAAAATGCATTTTGCCTTGGCTGCATCCTGGCCAAGAGCTAAAACGACGGCGGGCTGGCTCGTCCCAGGGGAATAAAGGCCTTTAAAAATAAGAGCGGTGCTGGAGCAAAGGTCGAACCCCACCTATTTGTGCGCTGGTGCCTGTCTCTCCGAGTGTGTTTCCCAGCGGGAACCCGAATCCAGTTTCAGGACAAGCCTGAGAACACAGATGTGCCCTTTCACCTCCGCGTTCCTGAGGTGTTTATGCTGTGGGGAACTTGAGTCTGAGAACAAACTGTGGGTGGGGCTGTGTGGGGAGAGAGAAGGAGCAGCCCTGGAGAGCCTGAGAGCAGGAAGGCCCTCTTGAGAAAGAGCAAAGCACCCACGCATGGCTAAGATCACATTTTCCCCTTTTAACCTTTTTTAAAAGTATTTATAATTGGTAAGAATCAATGGGGCTGATTCTGCCATTTCTCTTTCAATGTGACATCTCTACCCACCTCCACTCAGCAACCCTCCCCCCCAATTAAAAAGATAAATCAGAAAGACATGCCGGGGGTCAGACTAGATAGCCCGAGAGACCCCTTCTGACTCCCTCTAGTTCTATGTTTCTATGGTTAGAATGGGTCAGAATGAAACCTGGGTTCAAATCTACATCCACCCGTGAGCCTCACAGGCTGACTTATGTCACAAGGTTGTGGTGAGCATTCCATGGATGAAATTAAGTAACCCTGAACTCCTTGGAAAGAGAACAGAAAATGAATTTGGCATTCGTGTCCTAAAGCTGCAACCTCCGCTGCCTACAAAAAGCAAACAGGAAGTGAGCTTCAGCTATTGGGTAGAATAGAAATACAATAGACAGACAGACAGAAAGAGAGTTATACATTGATGGTGTTGGGAAAATTTGGATAAATCCTGGCAGAAAAACATTGCTTATGTGTGCTTTTGTGTAATAAAATCAAACCTGCACTCTTTCTCAAAAGCACCAGCTTTCCAAGCCAAGTCACTGTTTAATATTGCTGTTGCCTTAAGAAAATGGCACTCTTCCCCCCTCCCTTTCTCTCGCTATTCTTCTCCTCCTCTCTAGCTGTAAGCCAGAGCAGACAGGCCATTCAGTGGAACTGGCAATCACTGCTACAGTGTTGCTGCATAGTCCCTGCAGGAATTCACAGTTTACCAAGAAGTATTTAGTTAGCTAGCCCAGAGCGCTAGAGCCAATCAGAAAGGTGCGAATCCATTACTCAGGGTCTGAGTCTTCCTGATAATGGATTGCAACAGATGAGCTTATGAGTTCATAAATGGATTCTCAATAGCCTGAATTTACATGTTTAAGCAGACCCAGAGATGGGTTCAAGTTTGTGGAATTTACTCAACTGAAATCTCAATGCACTGCAGTTAGAAATATTGTAATCTTATTGTCACTTGTATGTTTGGCTGATCTTCATTATCTGTTCTGTATATTATGACCTCAGAATTTCATTGCAGTGTCTGCTTTCTGTCATTAATTGCTCTGTACTGTCTATGTGACGAGGAGAATATAAAATATAAAAATATAAAAAGAGCCAGTGTGGTGTAGTGGTTAAGATCATGGGACTGGGACTCAGAGGATCTGGGTTCTAGTCCCCGCTCAGCCATGGAGCCAACTGGGTGACTTTGGGCCAGTCACAGACTCTCAGCCCAACCTGCCTCACAGGGTAGGGGGTAAGATGGAGGAGGAGAATGGTGTAAGCTGCCTTGAGCCCTTTGTAGGAAAAAGGCAGGATATAAATTGAAAAATAAATAAAAATAAAATAAAATAAAATAAAATGCTGTGCACTTGTATTGAAACCTGGCAGTTGAGTTTGCCTCTGCCTGGTAGTGCATTATCATTAGTAAAAACTGCAGGGAACCTGGGCTTATGTCAATAAATCAGTGGAGGTTCAAACATTTGATCTTTCCCACAAACCCCAGTTTTTATTTCCTCCTCACAAATTGAAAACCGAGATTCTGTCAATGGACAGGTGTGGAGATGCAACAAGAGAAACCCGGATCAGCAGACATTATTGCCAATCAGCAAAAGGTATCTGTTGTTAGTCCTGCTTAGAGACTACTTTTTATTTCAGTGGTATACTCTAAGGAGGCCTAGCACTGACTTCAACACCATGCTTTGAGAGCTGAAAATGGGGGTAGAGTAAAACAGAGGACGCATCTAAGGTTTTATGGGAGCTTTGAGTAGGTTCCAGAGTGTCCATCACACATACCTACACCCCTAAAACCAAAGGACCAGCAGAGGAGGGAAATCACATAATCTTTCCAACTCTGCATGTATTTTATTGGAAACACTTTGATTTACTACATGTTTATAATGTGGCCCAGGGTCATGGCTGGGAAAAAAACAGTTTATGCTAGTCCTGCAATATATTTCACTCTGAATATTGCAGATATGGGGGGCGGGGAATCAGAGTTGAGGCTGAATTAGTGCAGCTGTCCTTTAAAAAACCCTGTTTAAATTGTCCTAGTGCCACACATGTCAAAAATCTAACTGGGTTTCCAGTGGACATGTTCCCAGCTAGTTGGGGATTATGAAAGCTGCAGTCCAGCACATCTGGAAGGAACCAGCTTGGAAAAAGCTGCGTTGGATTGCAAGCTTAATGTTTTTGTTCTTGTTCCTGCTTCCAAGATCCTGCGTTCGTTCTTCGTCCTTGTCTCCAAAGCTCTCCAGAGACTTGGTTCCCCTTGCCTCTCTCCTCTTCTGCTCTCTGCCTGTGACTTTGGTTGTGCAGCTCCACAGAGGTCCAAAGCTTTGCTGCTCCCCAAAAGATGCCACTGTTCTTCTGTCGTGGCCCTCTACGCTCAGAACGGCCACCCGGAACACCTTTGCCACACTGCCTTCTCTCTTTCCACTCATTCTTTCTGCAAAACCCACCTCCCTTGTGAAGTTTTTGGCACAACCCTGGGTGCCCCCCCCCCCAACTGTCATCAATTCTCAGTATGGGCCATTGAAATAAATACAGAGCCTTCCCCTATTTATCCCGGCCAAGTCCATTCTGTATCGTTTCCCTGGCATCCACTGTAAGTTCCTTGGGGCAGGGACCCAGAGGCTTTGTTAGGCTGGGATCCTAGCCCCAGGCATATTTCCCAGGGTCCCAGAGCCATTTCACAGAGTCCCAAGTGTCCACTGGGTGAATGCAAGATTTTTTTCTCAGCATGGTTGCCCTTCAAGAAGAAATTTTCAGAGGAGATTGCAAAAGGGAAAGGAAATGAAAGCTGATCTACCCCAGGGAAGGCAGGAAACCTTTCACTTACCCCAACTCTGAGCTGTCCTTCCCAAGCATTGCCTTGTCTCTGGATTCCAAAGGAAGATCTTCATCTCCCTGATTACATCCCCCCATGTCTTCTTGGCCATATCTTTCCCTCTCGTTTCCTCCTCTTCGTCTGAGTCCTGCTGATCTCGCTCTTCATCCTTATTTTCCTGGATTGATGACAAAGCAAATCCCTCACATGCCAGGCACTCCATGTTTTGCTTTGTTTTTATTTTGCTTTTCCCCCCTCCAGCCAAAAATAAACATCAGCACATTTACTATCTGGAGATGGTTCAAATTTCCATTTTCTCATCATTACTCCCTGTGTTATAGCCAGGCACAGTTTCTCTCTCTCTCTCTCTCTCTCATTTGCAGCTGGATAGGGAGATGGCTGTGGGTGCCATTCCCTGTGCAAGATCCTTAGCTCCATCACATGCAGAAGGTCCAAGGATCAATCCCAAAGTCTAGAGAGGGCTGGGAAAGATCCTTGTGCAAAACCCCAAACCGCTGTTAGTGTAATAGTCAGGCTTGGAATAAGGGAGCTCCTGTTGCTGGGGAGAACAGCCTTTCCAGCACGGAGCACATCTTGACAGGGTTGGCCCTACCATTACGCAGGGTGCGATGGCTACTTTAGGCAGCAGATGCTAGGAAGCAGTTTTGGAGTGGAGAGCTGTGGGCCACCTGACCTGTCCTGAAGCCACTGTGGGCTCTGTTCCGTAGCCTGCCATTTCCATCACCAGCATCAAAGAAAGGGCCGACTGCCCATCTGTCTGGTCAGCATTTGTGCATGGAACAGGAAGGGCTCTCACCCACCCGTTTTGCCTTAAGCAGCAACGTGGATGGGGCCAGCCTCACGTGTGGTACAGGCAGACAGTCTTGGGGTTGCTTCCCAACAGCTCTCGATATAGTTGGGAAATGCCGCTGCCTGGAAACCATGGGGAGCCGCTGCCAGCTGGTGGAAGCAATACTGAGCTAGGTGGCTCTATGGTCTCGCTCCATCCAAGGAAGCCTCCTCTCTGTTTCCAGTGTTCCTGCTCTGAGGGCCATCGCATTTGTAGCCAGAGTGGCACCACCCACACAGAAAAGACTTGTGGGGCAGTCGGTACCCCAAGCTTAAAGGAGTACAAAGCATTTTTAGAAAAACATCTGGGGTACAAGGAGAAAAACCCAAAGCAGCCCAGAGAGGATGGGATGTGGTCAGTTGCTGTAGAAAGATGTCTGACTGCTGAGGAAAACACGGAAAACCGGAAGGGAAGGGAATGGGGATTCGGCACATCTTGGAATCCTGGACAGCAGCTCCCCATTCGGCAACATTCTGTTGCCAGTCACTCCTTCTATTTAGTACACTGCTCTCCGCTGTGTGATGTTTCCAGCACTAACTCCTCAATGTGACAACCCGCTCACATTTTATTTTTAACCCCCTTTACTTTCAAGAGGACTGGAAGGAAAAAATCGGAAGAGGAAGGAAATGTTACCCCACGTGGACAAAGGCAGGCCAAAGCCTGCACAAGTGGGAGAGGGCAGTCCGGACTCCATGGTGCTGCAGCGTGAAACCAGTACAAAGTTCTTGTGAAGATCTGGCCCAAGGAATTCTTTAGTCCTTACAGCTTTCATCAGTGTAACAACATCCTTGTCCCATTGTTGTTGTTAGTCGCGAAGTCATGTCCGACCCATCGCGACCCCATGGACAACACTCCTCCAGGCCCTCCTGGCCTCCACCATCCCCTGGAGTCCACCTAAGCTCACGCCGACTGCTTCAGTGGCTCCATCCAGCCACCTCATCCTCTGCCATCCCTCTTCTTTTGCCATCTATTGTTCCCAGCATTCCTTGCCTCATAACCATCACTAAAAGAACAGTAACACTGAAGAGCACCCAGATGTTTTGCACACCTGGGCATGACTGACTCATTACAGGCTTCCAGAAATGTTTTGCATGTTAAATAAGAAGTGTGGTGTGAGCAGAAACGTCTACTTGCAAATGAGAGCCGGTGTGGCAGAATTTCAGACTAGCACTCAAGAGACCTGGGACTGAATCGCAAACCAGCCATGAGGCTCACTCAGTAGCACTGTCCCTTCCAGCCTGACCATCCTCACAGCAATATTGTGCAGATACAAAGGGAGGGAGAGCCATGGGGAAGCAAGGGTTTAAATCCAGCAGATAGCGATGACGTCAGCCTTCCTCAACTCTGTGCCAGCCAGCACAGCAGTGGTGAGAAATGCTGGCAGTTGCAGTTCAGAAAATGTGCAGAGCACCAGGCTGGGGGAAGTTAGTCCATCAAAGGTATACTTGTCCTGCAGCTAAACCGGACAGCAGCGATCCTGCATGTGTGTGTGGCTTTGCTGCTGGTGCAAAGTGAAAGGCAAGCAGCCAGCCCTGGATCTCCAGCATCACAAGCATCCCTCCACCCAAGACTGTGGCAAGCAGACTTGAACCCCCAGCTTGCAGAAACCTTCTACTGCACAGGCTCATTTGGGACTTATTAAATGAGGTGGCAGAGAGATTTCTACCTGGCAGAAGCAGACTTATAGTATACTGGGACACTGCATTATGGAGATGCCTGGACAGTGCATTAAGTCCCATCACCCCCAGCCAGCATGGCCATTCAATTGCCTTGCTTGCTGGGAATGATGGGGTGTGTGGTCCCATGGGAGCCGAGTTGGGGGAGGCTGGTCTAGTCCAGCCCTGGCCAGTGCAAGAAGCCCACAACTGCAATCACTCTGAAAGGGGATGTTTGGGCATCCCTGGATTCAGCCTCTGCTTAAAGACTCCCAGTAGAGCTGGGACCACCACCTGCTAAGCCATCCCATCAAATGGCCCCAGGAAAGCCTTTCTCCTGTACTTGGTTCAGGTCCAACTCTCTGGAGCACCAGCAAGTGAATTTGATCCACCCTGTATGTGACGGCACTTCAGACACTTGAAGACAGCAGCCCCAGCACCTCTCAATGTATCTCTTCTACAGGCTAAATTTAGCCAGTTCTCGAGGGAGGCTGGGCACTCTTCTATCAGTGCGACCCCTTATCCCTTGCAGCTTTTATTCTGAGCTTTACATGAGATACCCGTTGTGCTGAGCAGAACCCCATGGAGGACTCCTATGGTGGTGAAACTATTCCGGGGGTAGAGTTCAACACCATGGATAGCTCCCCGAAGGCTCCAAATAAAGGCTTCTGTGGATAAGGAGCCCCAATGACAACAGGGTTGTCAGCCTCCCCTGCCAGCTCCTCCAAGATCTCTTCATCAGATTTGGTCCCCAGGCACCAGATCAGCCTACCAGAACCCACTGGCTTCCTTCATATGCTGCCAGATCTGTCACTCGCATGAGGCTACATGAGACATGATGCGTGCAGGAACCTTCCACATTGCTCTCTTTGAGTTTGGGCTGCAGGACTTCAAACCCATGGGCCAAGTCCAATTTCCGTGGGGGACCCAGGCCAGCCATCTGAACTTGTCCAAAGAAGCACATGCCTTTCCTGTGGCCCCGCTCTCTCTCCCTCACTGATGTTCGTTTCGTGTCTTCCTAGCTTTTCCACCCCATCCTAGAAGGCTGAATAGCCTCTCCTAAGCCTTAATGGCTGGATGTAAGAGCTTTAAATTACCACATGATGGTATTTTGGCCCTTCCTCCTCTTCTCTGGCCTTGCCCCTTTTTGTCTTTGGCCCTGCCCACCAAGCGAATGTGAGGCCCCAGAATTTCTCCAAACTGGAATATGGCCCTCAGGCCCTTATCCCTGCTTTAAATGAAATCAAATACCTCTCTGATGGGGGTGATTTTGGTTCAGATTAGGACCCCGGAGCAGGTTAAGCTGCATACAGGTCAGGGGCAGAAATGCATTTCATTTTGAAATACTCTCCAATCTAGAAGAGGAAGATGTTGTATTAAGAAAGATGAAATGGTAGAATGTATGAACCAAGAAGTAGAAATTCTGGCACCATCAAGGCAGAACTTTGGGGCATATGACTGGAGTCCACTTTGCAGAATGGCCAGGAGTGCCCTCCAATAGAGATGGGCTGGCTTAACAAACACACTGTAACATAAGTAAGCGATGGGGTGCAGAAGTTTGGAGTCCAAAATCACCCAAGGATGTGGTCTTATCACCCCCTCCCTTGGTGCAGACACCTCTGATGTCATGTACCTCAAGCCTAGACTTTTATCTTGACAACCCCCTAGATAAGACACCCGGGAGTGAGGGGAGAGGGAAGGGATTCCAACAGGAAGCAGCATGGGAAATAGGGACCCCCAGTGTGCTCCTTTTTCCCTCTTCGAAGGTGCATTTGTGATGTCAGGAGAGATGGCTGACACGGTTCTTTCAGACCAGAGAACGCAGTGAGAGCACCTTGAATGAATCCTTCAAGCACCTGCGTGAGACGCTTGCTGTTCCAGACAACCCAACTGCGCTGTGCTAGGTTACTTCTGAACACTGAACTTGCCATAATCCCACGCCTGCAGACCTGATGACGGAGCAAAGCCAGGACGCCCCGATTCATCCAAACAGGGACGTCCCAGGAAAGGCTTCCTGTGGCACAGTCTGTCTGTCTTCCATGGGTTGTGAGAGCTGGAGTCATGTGAGCAGAGAGAGGAAGTGAAAGCTGAAAACAGAAGAGTGCAGCACACTCTGGCCAAAGGGAAGCACCTTCATGGACTTAAATGGCAGGTGGAAGCACCTCTTGAGTAGCACCATGCCAGGCATGTCACCGAGTTCAGCCAGCCTTGCTCCCAGACAGAACACTTTCCATGCAGGGGCAGCCACCACAGGCTCCCCACACAAGAGGGGCCTCATACATCGACACAGGCCTTGCCTTGTTGCCTTTCAGAATCCCACTACCCTGAGCTTCATAAACCTAGCAGGAAATACAGTCACAGAGCAAGCTCTACTGGCGGTCCCGTCCTGTTGCCATGGTGGCACAAGCAAAATGGCTGCAGTCACAGGCGCGATAAGAGAAGCAACCCAGCCTAGCTGAAGTCAGGCACACACCGCAGCTTCCTCGGCACAGGGGCTACAGGCACCAGCCTGCGCAAAGACGTGTCTGCGTGCCCTCCAGGCTCCTGCCTCCTTCATCCCGCAATTACACATATAATAGTCTCCAGCTTCTCTCAAGTCCCCAGCACAGTTTTCTCTGACTTGCCAGGAGAATCAGAAAAAAGGGGGCGAGAAGGAAAAGGACAGCTCTAAAAGGAGTACCCACAGAGGGAGGGAGAGCCCATTTAGAACCATCCACTGAGAACAGCTCAAACTGGGTGGGACCAGCAGGGAGAACAGTGTCCCGATGGACACGCTCAGCAAGCGGAGATGTGGGCTCGGGGGAGAGGCAGCGATCAGCTCTCCCCGTGTCTTGGTGGACGAAGGGGCGGTAGGTTCCACGGGAGATGGAGATTCGAGGATCTGGGTCAGGGTTTGGGGAGGAAGGAAAAATGGAGCACCCAGGGCCTGTGGGGGAAGGAAAGGGAGCATGTGTAGGATGGGAGAGGGCTATTTTAGGAACGGAAGTTCAAAGGAAGGCCTTTAAGTTTGGGGCCCCATATATGCCGCCTTGCCATTTGCCGAAGTCCTAAGACAAGTTACTTGTCTTTTAGCCGCCTCTGAAATGAATGCTTTGTTGCACTAGTCAATACTGGGGCTGTTCGTACCCCATTTTGTGACTGGCCCTAGTCCTCCTGGTGGCCTTTTGTGGCCGTGCCTACAGTGCTTTCTCAAAATTCAAAATGTGTCATGGACCCTAAAAGGTGGGGACCTTGTGCAGTTATTAGCTGCATTGTTTTTACTAATTTAAAAACTATGTAGAATGCAGCTGCTCCCCCTGTGTGAATCTGTGCCTTTAGGAGAGGAGGCTTGCTAACACTTGGCACGTAAGATAGAAGAATGTCATCTAAATTAATTTCATCAAAATCAATAGGGCTTATTTCAGAGAAAATATGTTTTGGTGGAACATGGGAGCATTCTGTGAACTTTCTGTAATTCAGTCTCAGAGGTCTAATTTGGGACATGGCTTGCCCACTCATGAATGCCGTTTGCATCAGAGAACAAGGACAAACATTGTCAGAAGGGGCTTTTAAGTTTTATATCTACAGGAAACCATCTCTGCTTTGCCTGCAAACTTTTGCACTTGTTCAGAGTGATGAAAGCTGTCATTTTGGCAGGAAGTTTCTCAAACTGGGAAAAGTGAAGAAAAAAAGATCAAGGACCATGAAAACACCTCCTCTCGCAAAACGGTAGCATGGCCTGGGCTTTGAGGAAGAACACCGTGAAGGAACATTTTCACAGCCAGATGTGTGAAGAAATCAGATCCTGGAAAGAAATAGTGCTGCTCATTGTTCTTGCTGCTATTATTTTTCTTGTAGAAGGAGAAGCAAAACAAACCAAAAAATGGTCCCTTTCCTGCCAGTGTGCAAGAGCTGCGTATTCCACAGAATACATGGCACTTGAATCTTAGGACCTGTCTGCCACTTCCATGTTTGTAGCCTAGTGAACCCAAATATTGAGTGATGCACATGTGAATGAGCTAACCGCCGAAGGGAAGTCTCAGGCAAAAAGTGTTTCTCAAGGGAGCCCCGTCCGCAAACTTCCCTGCCTGACATGATGCGTGGCCGAGTGGTGAGCTGTGGATACACTAGGCATGCATGTGGGAAATGGACTCAAGCATCCACAGGATTTCCACTGGCCAAGTGGAATCGAGATCACCAAACTACCAGCACAGCACGAAGTCTGCCAGAGTTCCAGCTTGCTTTGTGGACATGATCCAAGCCACATACTGCAGGCAGAAGACACAAGAAACCTAAAGGTTACTGGTCTATATGACCTTAGGAGGCAGAATGTCCTTCCTCATGCCGGACAAGGCAATCCACAGACATGGTCCAAAGCGGGCCAGTTGCTGCTCATGAGTGTCAGAAATAATTTAGAGAGCAATCCAGTAGGGAGGCCCATAAGACTTCACACTCGGAGTATTACAGGCATCTGGGCCGGATGGGAGGAGTGTGGAGACCATCTTCCACTTCCTGCTACCTCTGACCTGTTTTGGCTGCCTAGCTGCTGGAGCATCAGATGGGGAAGGAAAGAAGCTGGAGCATGGCCAGCGTGCACCCTGTCCTGGTGTCTTTCGCCGTCTCCTCTTCCCAGCTCCTGAAACTCCCCTTTACCCCTTCTCCAAGGTCATTCTCGGGAGCTCAAGGAAGCAGCTGGTGTGGGGCTTTTGATCTAGCAGGAGTGGGCAGGGAGGGAGCCTCAAGCACAGACCCCAGGCTCCGAGGCTGGAGCTCTGCTCTAGGGATCCCAAGAATTCTATGGCCACCTGGATGCTTTCATAGGACAGTTCTTTGATTTCATTTTTGTTTTTTCTATGATCTTAGAAACTCTTTAGCCGCCCCACCCTGCTTCCTCTCTTTTTCACACACACATGCAAGCTGGCAACAGGAACGGCCACAACCACAAACAGGACGTTAGGTAGCCTGAACCTGCAATTAGTATCTCCTTACTGTGACTCCAGGTCAGAGTAAGCATTGTCTTTGCTATGCCATCCTTGCTATGGACACATATATAAACTGTTTCTCGTGGTGATGTTCCATAGGACTAGTAACACTAGTAAATCATGTACAGCGTAGATGAGCTACCTGTGGCATGCCCTGAGAACAGCGACATGTCTTCCGTGCAAGGTACTGTTATGCTCTTGCTGTTGAGGAGGACTAAATCAGGCCAGGCTCCTGGGCAGGAACTACTTGGAGCAAGGATATAAACCATCATTTCCTAGCCTCTGTTAGACTACAACTCCCAGCATCCACCCAGCAGCTTGGGAAACACTGATAAAAATTATTCTGTGCTCATATGAATGTTGTCAACAAATACAATGGGCTGTAACCAAAGCACCTTCACTGGGAGATTGCGTCTTATTATTGCATTTCTATCCCACTTCATTTCCTGTTAAGCAATCCAAAGTGGCTTGGAAAAGCCTTCTCTCCATTTTAGTCTCACAACAACCCTGCAAGGTAGGTTAATTTGAAAGTCAGTAGCAGGGCGAAACTCACCACTAAGTTTCATGGCCAAGCAAGGAGTAGGAGCCAGATTTCCCAAGTCCCAGTCCAACCAGCATCTCACGCTGGATACAGATTATTTCATCAATTAACCTATTGATATTTTCAGCCCTCTCTCTCTCTCTCTCTCTCTATCTGAGCTAAGTAACACCAAAATGGTCTGAACAGCCTTTCTGTGTGACATATGGCAATATCTAACTTTGCATGTTGCATTATGTATGTGTCCGTTCATTTTTTTTCCTTTCCCTTCCATCTCTTGAGATACGGGTGGCAAACCTTCAGCTCTGCCCACCTGAACAAGGAAAGCAGGTGTCTTTTTGCATAGCTACAAGCCACTCCGTTTAGTGCGGTTGGGGACAAATTGGAACCAACCCTCTGAGCAGCCCTTGGGTATTGTCAAAGGCAACCTACTTACCGGCTTCCGGTGATAATTTCCATGGTAGTCCTTTGCACCTCCAGAGGTGGTATTCACTTCCATGGCTTTGTACAAAAATGCAGGAACAGGGGAAACAGAACAATTAGAATGGTAGCAAGTGAACTTCTGGGCTAAGGATACAAACGACTCTCTCCACCATGTATGCCAACCCTGGAGAGTTAAACCGAACCCTCTCGTTGGAATTCATCCAACAGTCCCTTTGCACAATTATTTTTCCTTTAGGGAAATAAAACAGATTCAGCAAGAAAATAAAGCACAAAGGACGGAGATCTCTTTGGAAGGCTTCAGTGCCAGAACTGTGTGACCAGTGTTGCTTTTTCGATGTTGCAAGCAGGGAGGGTATGCAGGCAGGAGACTAATGAAGAGATTGCTTTCCTCAGGCAGCTGAGATCATGCAATAGGATTCCAGACACAAATGGATCTCTCTTCCCCAAAAGTCATCAATGCATAGATAAAAGTCTACAGTAGGAGAAATTCCAGGAAATAAAAGAGTCTCCTTGGGCAGACAGTCAGTTTACTCTGTCTTGGGAGGCTGATGATTGGTACATTATTATTAAATAGCGAGATCCTAACCAAGGGGACAGCATTTTTGTGCCAATATGTTCCCGTCACTCATTGGTGAGAGGGGGGCCTGTCTGAACACTCGCAGGATCTCTTCTGCAGCCAGGGACTTGCTAAATTTATCACTGCGTTCAGACAGGGTGGGATTCTGCAGTGTCAATTTCCCAGCCATCCGGATGGATACAAACCATCTGAAGATCGCTGGAGCAGAGCCAGACTGAATGCACAGAAATACTTTTGGGTAACTATTGGTGGATAATTGCCCAAAGAGCTTTGGCTATCGGGTGGTATAGAAAAGAATGAATGAATGCTCCCATGATCCTTTATTTATTTTCCACTTCTTGCAAGCAATCCAAGGTAGCTTATCAAATCCCTCTCCATTTTATCCTCAAGCAACACTGTAAGGGAGGCTAAGAGGTTAAGCTGAGAATCAGTGTCCGGCCTGCAGCCACCCAGGGCTGGCCACATCCTGGCTGTGTGGTGACCAGAATCTGGGTCTCCCAAGTCATAGCCCAGCTTTCTAATCGCTGCACCACACGGGCTCCTACATTTTTCTGGGCAAAACTCTGCTTGACATGCTGAGGACAGGGCTATACTGATTATGCCCCTTTCCTTTTGCCTTTCACAGCATCTCAATCTGCTTCTAGGCTGCAAGCCTCTGGGGGCAGGGCCCTGCCAACTCATTTTCTGTAAATGCCATGTACATAGAGGGGGATGCATGGTCATGAATGGGGTTGTCGTGGAGCCAGGGCTCACAGGGATAAAGCAGCAGGATGTTGTGGTGAGCAGGGAAAACGAGGTGCAGAACTCAACACGCATGTGCTCCGTCGCACGCCCGTCTCCAGGACTGGTGCCGGGGTTGGAAGAAGCCTGCACCACACCGTGGCACATGCTCCACGCATTTCTCTGATCAAGCCTGGCAAAGAGGTTGGTTGTTGTGGCAACATATGAAGAACACTGAAGCAGCTTTCAAGCATGGGACCACGGCTAGTCTTATGAGTTGCAGCTGTGTGAAAAATGCATACAAACCCCAGAGTAACCCCCCTCACCCCAGGGGACCTCTTTCAGCCCAGGGGCCAAAGTCAGTTCCAGGGGCCACATTCCAGCGGTGGGTGGGAAGTCAATGCGTTTAGCCCCCAAAGTCCCTGCATGTTGCAGCGTAAAGCCCTTAGCCGGTCTCTAAGCTTCAGGGAGACATTTCAACCCTTTCTAATGGAAGAAAACCTGCACAAAAACCGGAAACTACCAAACACAGCTGTCACTAGGAAGGGGTGGAGCCTGGAGAAGGGGTGTGGCCTTCTCAGGACCCCAGAGTCAGATTAGGACTTGGAGAAGGCCAAATTTGTCCCCAGCTTTCAGGTTTCCCACTACAGCTCTAAAATTACCTAGCTGCCTCTTTGCATCTGGTCCCCCCACCTCCCCACACACACACACTCCATGGCTCCCCCAGATATCAGCTTGGAGGGATTCCCTTGGAGCTCCTCACAATCCCTTTGGATTGAAACATAGAATCATGGAATAGTAGAGTTGGAAGGGGCCATGAAGGCCATCTAGTCCAACCCCAGCTGTCGCAGGACACCACGTTACACCATCCCACTCAGATGGCTTCCAGTTTCTTCTTGAATGTCTCTAGTGTGGGAGAACCACCATCTTTCTAGGCAGCAAAAAGAAACCCTGAATAGTGTTCTGACATCAGCAAATCTCACTGCTCACTCCTGATTCCAGGTCACATATAAATAGGTTGAAAGCACTGATACTAACAGAGAACAGTTTCACTTGTGTCCTGGTTGTGGGTGTCTGGTTTGATCCCACATGACTCTTCTTAAGGTCTTATGTGCTAGTAGCTTGGAAAAGGCTTTTCTAGGATGAGAGGAGTGAAGACATTCCCATCTGCTGGAGAATACCTGGACTTTGGCACATCTAGACTACCAGACACTTTTGACAGACACAGAATCCTCTGTTCAGGACAGACTGTTCTCTCTGGCCATCTGTCAACATTCTCCGTGCTATTTTGCTAACTTCCGGCCTCAGGGTCCAGCCTCCCTCGCTCTCTATATATACTGCTTCACATGCTTCTCACCTGAAGCAGCAAAAGATGAAAAGCCCCTCTTTTTGCAACACGCTTTGACATCTTGCCCCCCACAGTAAAGCCCCAGATGAACAATGGCCATTGTAAAATGTGCTTGCTGTGTTTCTACTAGAAGTCCTGTGTTGTCTCCATGGCAGGAGAGATGTGTTTTCCAAACGTTTTCTATTTTGGTTTCAGGCCGGTTGCCGCTGTTAGCCGCTTCATGTTACATGCGGCTGCTTATCCCAGTGTCATCCTGATCTCATTTTAAACTCTGCCCTGCCGCCTTCTGGCATGGACTGCTCTGAAAGTGGGGTGCTTTTCATTCAGGACTTGGTAGACTTCAGGATAGCAAGCTCTGCCTTTCTTTTCACTAGTCCCCAGAGACCCACCAAGCATAGCCTGCTGCACTAGATAAAATCTGAGCCTGAGAATCTATCCTGGATGCTAGAAGCTCATAGTTCTGCCAAGCAAAAATCCACTCCCAGTAAATCTTCGCTTTCTTCGTTTCCGCAATATAATTTTAATTTTGCCCCACATGTGCTTTCATTGTTCCACAAGCAACAATAGGAATTTCTCAGCCACTGCAGATCACCTCCAAGGTCTGGCTCTACCATCTGCCCTGCCCTCTTTTAAATTGCTGCAGGTTGTGGCCAAATCTGTTTTAGTGACAAACATGTGGAGAAAATCGGTGCAAAACAAACTGAAAGTTCATTATTTTTTGAATTCACACTTTGCAAAGAAACTCTCCCAATGTGCAGCAATCTTCCTTTCCTGTACAATTCCATGCATGCTTGTTCAGAAGGAAGTGCCACTGGATCTGCTTAGGACATGCTTGTAAGTGAATGTGCTCATGATAATTAGTTTCTTAGATTCCCAACAGAACTGTCTCTACATGCCTGCTCAGCAGTAAGGCCCATTCAATTCAATGGGCCTTCTTCCTGGATAAGGCACCAGTCCTGTTCCCTGTGACCATGTCCCATTAAGCTCTTTTTATAGGACTGCACTGTAAATTGGGGGGGATGGGGGGGGTTAAATGTCTTAATCCTACTGAAGCCATTCCTATTTTATTGCACTGCTATATCCTAACATTTCTTTGGTTTACAATGTTTATCTTGCTTTTTTATAATTTTCTACTGGACTTGTGTACCATATACCATATGGTTTATCCTGTTGTGCTTTGCCTTCCGTTTTCAAACAGCACTGTTTTTACCTACTCATTCGCAATGATGTGCGTCCACATATGAATATGTGCATACAGCTAACACAAAGGACTGCAACTGTGTGTTATTTTATTCATAGTGTTCTCCAGATCATATGAATTTATTCAGCAAGTTCACTAGTTTTGTTTTGTTTTTTACTGTTTCAGTTTTCTCTAACATGTTGGGCCAGCTGAAAGAAGAGGACAGGTTTGGAGTGGGAAAACAGGAAAGGCAGAACACAGAGTGATGCAGGGGAGAGTGGAAAAATGGCCCACCTCTTGCCTGGAACCTGCTGGGTGAGAACGATGGGGGAAAGAGAGAAAGCTGTGACAAAGAGGGGCTTCATGATGATAGCAAGGGAAAGGGGGTGCTCCCGCTAGGACTGGCATCAGAGACGGCCAGCATTTGCCAAGGCCCACTGACAAGAGCCCCACTCCCCACCCCGACTTTAAACTCCTCTCCAACCCGCTTGCTCGTTTGCCTGGCCCAAACGACAGTGGCGCAGAGGACGAGGAGGGGCAGGAATCCCCCCTGCCTGCTTGCTCCTCAGTGCTGTCCCTCCCAAGTGAGCAAGTGGCAGCCATGATGCAGAAGAGGAATAGGTGCAAAGCAGCTGGTGAGAAGGGCGGCAAGAAGGTGGACTGGAGGGAGGGAGGGGCCCAAGGAACTGTCTTGCCCTGGGAAGCCTCCAGCCAGCACCGGGCAGGCATCCTATATGGGTGTATGTGGACTCCTCCATGATTTCAGACTGGGATCCTCCAGCCTTCTTCTGTGTGGAAGAACACAAGGATGGGGCCCCATGGAAGGGGCACCCCAAAAGCTGGAGCTGGCATTGGCCCCTGCCCACCTTTGTATCCACCCTTGCTCAGAGCCAGCTCTTGGTGTCCAAAAGATTTTCCCTGAAGGAAACCTTCGCTTAGCAGAAAAAGGGCTCCCCATCCTTGTCTTAATGTGTGGTACGTGGCTCTTTTTATTTATTAGATTTATATCCTGCCTTTTTTCTTACAAAGAGTGGCTTACATCACTCTCCCCTCCTTCTCTTAATCTTATCCCCACAACAACAACAACAACCCTCTGAGGTAGGTTGGACTGAGGGTCTGTGACTAGCCTAAAGTCACCCTTTGGCTCCATGGCTGAGCAGAGACTAAAACCTGAATCACCTGCGTCCCAGTCCAGCGCTCTTAACCACTACACCACACTGGCTGTTCTGT